AAAGGTACAAAAAGCAGTCAGCCTTAATCCTTCAACCTCCTTCCTGGGCCTGGTTGTAAATGAACGGCGTGACCTGGAGGAACAGGGCTGTCTCGCCCGCAACCGCAGAACGTCTGCTGACGGTCATCATTCTTGGAGTGAAGTCAGGTTTCAGGCATCTCAGGGCATCTGATGGAGTCCTGGGGTCATTCAGATTCACCCCCTCCCTCATGGCACTGCCCCTCCCATTCACATCAGAAGGACAGAGAAACATCACTGTACCCAGGAGGTCTGTCCTGTCATAGCAATAAAAAGATGCTTTATTTTATTTGAACAAACACATTAGAATGTCTTTTTCCCCAGTACACCACCAGTCAAAAGTTTTGCATATCACTGGTTTACCACTTTTCCATTCATTTAATAAGTTGCACCTACACCTTGACAACTATCAGACGGAGCCCCACACAGCTGTAAACATCGCTCTTTGAATCACTGATAAAGGTCTCCGACCCCCCAGGCAGGCATATCGCTTGGCGCACATGTACCCAGGTGAAAAAACAATTAACACTTTGTCAGACTTGCAAGCTGCCACGGCCCAGCGCACGATGAAAGGAAGACCCAGGACAAGAGCGAAACGCTCTTGGTGCCGCTCGTCCTTTTAATTATGCCTCCTCGTTATCCCTCAATCGAAAAACAATTCTTGAAATATGTAACGGCGCAGGCGCCCCATTAGCGGAAATTAAATGCCGAGGTTAGCGGCATTAAGGTTGCGTAAGCTGGCAGCTAATTAGTGAGAACGGGAGATTAAATTTACATTTCTGTCAATTTTCGGTGGCGGGTAGGGTGTCGGTTTAGGGGGATGGAGGGTCATGATGCATGCTGGGATGCGTCACATGGGGAGGTGGATGACATCGGCCCATAACCAGCGTTGTGGCTCCAGGACGCCGGCTCTGCGTCACCTGATGAGTTACGGACTCTCTCCGCGGCGCTCTGTGACGGATGTGTTTTGGTGTTCTGCAGCACTGCAGACGCGCCAATAAATTAGCTCCGGGAGCCTTTCTGCCGGCTCTACTTTACCGCTGTTTTCCGCCTCTGGAGTTAAATAAGCCCATAAATGCTGAAGATGTGTGCGAGACGGATGGAGGGAATTGGAAACGGCGGAACACGCGCCGCGAATCGGCCCTGATGAGCGCTACGTGATCCCTGCAGTGCTCACTGTAATAAGGGACCCCCCCCCCCCAGCACTCACAATAATAAGGTCAATGGTGTTTATTCATGCTACTGCTGTATAAATAATTACATACGTAGCTGGCAGTGATTCTGACATGGTGGCATGTTGTCTGTCCATCCATTGCACACGTCTGCGTCAAGCGCAACAAAGGCCAGCACACGTGAAAAATTCCTTGGAAAGTCATGGACGCTGGAAAGATACTCTACACTTTTTCAGGGCCTGAGAGCTTTAGATGCAATTAACGGGCAAGGAATCAATATTTTATTCGCATTTGCTGCCACCTCCAGGTAAAGTTATTTTTTGGGGGGCGACAGAACATCGATAATGACATATTGCTGGGCCTCTCTCTGATTTTTCCCCAGTTGTCAGTGAAAAACTCTGTAAGTCAGCCCAGCAGGGGGATGGGGGTGGGGGTGGAGATGTGGGGGGGGGGGTAAATGAATCAATGCGATGAGGGAGAATGATTGGACAGACGAGGACGCATTATTTACGAAGGCAGGACGAATGAGCGCACCACTCTGCCTTGTAAGTAGATTAAAGTTTTATGGTGTTTTGAGTTGGGGAGGCAGGGGGAGAGGCTTGTTAACAACACTAGGGGTGGGGTTACAGTCCTTTTGAGGATTCAGGGCAGATGGGACCCCCTTGCCCCAGCAGACCCTATGAAAATGCGGCACAACCCAGAGGCAGGAAAAAAAAAATCCCACAAACCGCCGTGACCCGGCGAACGGGTTGCTTGTTTTTCTGCAGCTCGCGGGGTCTTGATTTGGCACCAATTACGCTCCCCGCCCTCCGGGCTCTGCCAGGTGTTCATGAATAAAGGCACATTTTCGAGGGTTCTCTTCCCTTCACCTACACGGCAAATGAGATAATTAAGCCATTTTTTAAATTATTTGCCGTGAAGTTGAAAGGCCCGCGGCAACAGGGCTCTTCAGGCTGAAAAAAATGGAGCATAGTGCCGCAGTGCGGGGGTCAAACTGAGGCAGCGTGAGCGGGATTCCGTAAGAAGGACGCAGCGCACGCACGCCAGAGTGCGGGCTCCCGCGAGGCGTCACGAATGAGGTCGTCTGCTGTTTGGTGCTTCTGCATGGTCACGGATTCGAGTTGGAGGAGCCTTGGTCCTCTACCTGCCACACGACTTTAGCGCCCCCCAGTGGATATGTAGCGCTGGTGGCATCCGTCTCTGAGCCCCACAGTAAACACTTCACCACTTCCCAGTTCTGGTAATGTCTTCGGCCTTGTGTCCCAACGCCATTAACCGGGGACCACAGCCGGGCCACCAGAGTACTGCATGCCGGCTTTGTTGCTGCTTTTTCCAGAATCATCTCTGCAATTACACCTACTGAGCGGCTGCAAAAGCTGTGGCCCGTCTGATAATTAAGCCCGCGGCTCTCTAATCTTGGCAAAGGCCGTTTCATGGCTTATCCCTCAATGAGGGATTCATTATGGCTTAGCAGGAAACACCGTTCTGTTGGTCTGCGCGCTTTCCGATTCCCCTCAAAGGAGGGAGGCAGGCCCCAGAGTGTGAGAGCGCAGGTCACCGTCCATCGCGCTCAGATCCTGTCACATTCTCCATCCCCGGAGCATGCAGAGGTGCTGCGGCCTGGGAAATCAGGATAAGGCTCGAGTTTTGGGAGAATTCACAACCACAGCCACAATCGACGTGTTTCCTTTTAGCATTTGGCTAGTGTATCGTACCATTCAGGCTAATTTTTTCATTGCAGATATCTTTAAGCGCTGCTCCAACTTCAACTGCCCCGTTTCAATGCCGATTGGTCCATTAAACTCTGTGTCATCATGAACAGCGCTTAAGAGCACAAGAGCCTAATAAAAATCGTTTCAAAGGCACTAGCTACATGTTTTCCTCTTCAGTATAATTTATTTTTAAATATAGCGCATGAAAAACATAACAACAAAGAGTACTGTATTTACCAGTTCTTCTGTTGCACCTGTGAATTGTCTGTTGGAGTTACTAAAATTGTTTTGGGCCTAAACCTCTATAGCTATCTGTGCTATGTAACTTTTACATATATTTATGTAATGTGTATATTTATCATTTGAAATGAACTCCAAAATGCCATTGAAATAAGGCCTTTATATTTTTACTACTTTACATTTATTGGGTTTCTGACTGTAACAATTATCCCGGCCTGCTTTGGCCTCATTCGCTTTAATTTGGCCTCGTTTTTGCTTGGCATGGATAAGCGGCACAATCTGAGCCTAACCAGAACACTACCTTCTGGTCTTCCCAAGCAGAACTTGCTGTCGGATATTCACTCTCCACACACAAGGCGTCACGTTAGGCTTCTGTGTCCCTTCTCCAAAACGGCAGCGCCTGCACCGAGGGCAATACAGCCGTACCATGAGGGGTCCGGGAACAAAAGAACTAGACGGGTTTTGAGAAACTGTCCGAGCCGTTTCACAAATCGTCTGAAGGCACCCCGTGCTGAATTACCAAGTCGACAGCAGTTTGCGCTTATGGAATCTATCAACGGAATAAAAGAAACTTCAACAAAAAAAAAAAAACTCATTGCTTTCGCAGTTCATTTCGTCTCCCTTTACACAGTCTCTAAAAATATATCCCAGCATCCATTTGGCCAACCTTTTCACTATAACCCATCACTGGGCACAGAGCAAGGCAGTCTTCGGAGTCTAATACGTTTCGATGCTCTTGAACACTAATTGTCCGCATGAATCTCTGTTTAGGACATCAGACACTTGGCCAATGACAGTACAGCACCTTTATCCAAATTTTGGAAGGAAAAAGACAACCCGCCTTTGCTAACACGTTGCTGACATGACACATAGCGGAGATATATCTTGATATATCTCACATGTCCGGGGCCCCACCATACAGCCCGGGGATTTACCCCATGTCATAGCAGTGGTGCACAGTGCTTAGCTTCCTGTTACTCGTACCATTGTTCTGGGTCACACCCCGTGTCAGGATGAAAGATGGCCGACAGTCAACATGGTAAACATGCCCACGCCTGGAGATTCTGACAAGGTAACATGGATATTAGTTACAGTGAAGACGCTGGTTGGTTTATTCTGAGAAATGATGCCTACAGTATGGTTGGATAGGAGGTCCCATGGCCCCCCTTCCTCCTGCCGTGATTCCTTGTGTAACCAGCTGTCAGGAGTTTGAAGGCTGCCCCCTGCAGACCGACTGCATAAATCACAGCCCCAAAAAAGACCTTGTATTCTGGCATCCTGAGACCAGGCATCTGGCATTGCAACACCCAATGGGTTCAAGCTGGGGAAGGTGACCTGTTTCCCGCCAAAACTAACTGCACAGAAAGAACAAAGGAATAAGCCTGCCGTGTCACCTACGGAGTCTCTGCTGCGGGGATTCCCCAGCATGCATCTGTGAGCAGAGCCTGTGACAGTACCTGTGAAACCAATGGAGAGATATGGGATTATAGTCCAGGGAGATGTTTTATAGGACTTATTAAATATTATATGTACAATTGACATCCACCCCTACATGTTGCCATAAAACCTTCCAACTCAGCATGAATTTCATGCATCGTTCTTGCCCTCCAATGTCAAGCTGGGCAAATACTTTACAAGAGCAATAGGCAAAATTTTGAGCGAATCCTTGGCAGATGTTTCATTCCGTGTGCCATGTCCAGAACAGCTGCCAGCAGACCATCGAGGGTCAGGGGCGCGAGCAGAGGCCCGTGTGCATGAAGCACTTTCCCGTGTGTCACATTGTTTATTCGGTGCCTTTACCGCTTCCATGTCCTCCCCCCATCCCCCCCCCCCCCCCCCCCGCAGGTGCGCAGTGATACGAGGTCTAAGTCCGATGGTGGAGATGCCGAAAAGAAGAGACATTCTCGCCATCGTGTTGATCGTGTTACCGTGGACGCTGCTGATCACCGTTTGGCACCAAAGTGCCATAACCCCACTGCTCACCATCCGAAAGGGTAAGGAAAGCCGGGGGGGGGACTCATCATCCANTGCTCACCATCCGAAAGGGTAAGGAAAGCCGGGGGGGGGGACATTCAAAGGCTTTTGGAGGCAGTGGGACCCTCGTCACCTTTTCATCTATTGTGACCAAAGCCCAGTCAGCCCGGTTTTCAAACGTCCACGAGACAAATTTAGACTCTCAGCTCAGCCTCTTATCCTAATCCATATATCTCGCTAAAACCGGCACGCTTATCCGATGATTGGGGAAAACCCACAGGACATCTGCGCATTCAATCAGATTACGAAAAAATACACACACTCACACAACAGTCATTCTCTCTTGCGCCTGCTGCACTTTAGCAACAAGTATATTGACTTATTTCTATTTTCATGCTTCATCTGCAACTTGGGCCTGGAAAAAAAAAATCCAAATTACTTGCAGCAAACGAGCCTCCGTTGCCTCGCAAGCCATCCTGCTAATCTATTAAGCAGTTGAACGGAAACAGGCTTTTCATATCAAAAGAAGATTAGATGTATTTGTGATGCCTTTTAATCACTGTCTGAAATAATCAGTTCCCTCAATGTATCGGCTTTGCTGAAACGTCTGGGAGGAGGTATTTATTTTAAAGAAGCAGGCGCACCATCACAAACGGCGAACGTTTATGGAATCTTCCATCCTATAACTGTCTTCTTGACACATGTATCATACCAACGGTTGGTTTTTTTCTCGTGAAGTGCGGGAACGTGCCAAGAACCCTCTCTGGCAGCAGCACACAGAACATCTGCTCGCCGGGAAATTTGGTTAATCTGCAAGGGGCAAAAATATCTTCTTAATGCCCGTAATGGGAATTGCACTTTAATGGCAGACTGATAAAGACCGCCATTAGCAGGAGCACAAGATGAGGGGGGCGGGGGGGGGCATGCGCGTGATTAACGATGCTCCGATCTGTCCGCCTGTGATACCCGATTGGCCAGGCGCTCTTCCTGTCTGGAATGGGACAGACAGGGACTGGACGAGCTCCGGTTTTACCGCCTTCGCTACGCTAAGGGGGCAATGGAGGAAGAGGCTCCGCCCACAGCCTTGCCGCCCACTCACAGAGCCCTGCTTTTACTCTTTGCAGCCTGTCACCACCTAGTAAAAGAGATCTTTATCATACCAGAGAGGCTTGCTGCTCGACGCCACCGGCTCGCAGGTACTTCAATGCCTCCCGGTGTTCTGTGGCGCGAGACGTGCAGAGGGGGTGGCCACCGGGGGGCGCTAACTCCTCGATCGTTCTCCCTCTGTCCTAGATGACGGAGCCGAGGGGCGTCACGAGACGGGCCAGGGGTCCGACTCGAAGGAGTACTGCTCGTCGGACAAGGACATCGTGGAGGTGGTGCGGACGGAGTACGTGTACACGCGCCCGCCGCCCTGGTCGGATGTGCTGCCGACCATCCATGTGGTCACGCCCACCTACAGCCGGCCCGTGCAGAAGGCGGAGCTGACGCGGCTGGCCAACACCTTCCTGCATGTACCCAACCTGCACTGGATCTTGGTGGAGGATGCGCAGCGACGCACGCCACTGGTGAGCCGGCTACTGCGGGAGACGGGCCTCAACTACACGCACCTCAACGTGGAGACGCCACGCAACTACAAGCTGCGGGGTGATGCCCGGGACCCGCGCATTCCCCGCGGCACCATGCAGAGGAACCTGGCCTTGCGCTGGCTTCGCGAGACCTTCAGCCCCAACAGCACCCAGCCGGGGATCGTCTACTTCGCCGACGACGACAACACCTACAGCCTGGAGCTCTTTGAGGAGGTGGGTCCAAAGCCCACCATCTCGGGCCCGGTACAGGGTTCAGCTGGGATGGGCTGCACATAGAGTAACCATGTAATCCATCTTACGGGGGGACATTATGAGCTACTTCAGGCTTTACAAATTACTTTAAAACTGAAAGGTTCTTGAGCTCGGCTAAACAATTCAATACTTCTTGTACTTTTACAGATTTGGTTCCTTGAAAGACTCATCCAGCTGTTTCACATTAACATTAGTGACACCTGTGTGATTATAGGAGACTGACCAATCAGCACACAGCAAGAAGTCAGTGCTTAAGTCAAATCCAGGTCTTCTTAATTGAAATGGAATTTTTACAAACCCTGTCATGGCTCATACTGTCCCCAGTATGGTTGAAGTAATTTTGTCCTGCGCCAGGGAAATATGGGCAGTGGGCCTGTGTCGGACTCCATGACAATGTTTATGGCCCCTGTCAGGGGAATCTTCCTAACCCCCCCCCCCACCCCACTATCATGCTATCTAGCTGGTCTCTTCCCTTTACTCCTTAAAAATGGCTGCCAATGTTCGTTTTTACGTCAAACAAAGAAAAAACAAAATCATGCAATATGTCACTAGCTACACCTCTGTGGCAATCTTACCAGTTAAAGACCAAACAACCCATACGTTTGCACTATATTTGCTCAGCGAAACAGGCTGAGAGTGTCACTTAAACCGAACTCCTCTTGCGGATTAACACCTGCATCTGTTTTCCCCGTCGACACCCAGTGAACGTGAAAATGAGAAAAAACGGATTACCTTAGCGGATGTGTGAAATACACCTGGGCCTGTAACCGCTGCTCTTATTACCACTGAGGGGGGGGGGGGGGGGCTCGTAAATAGCAATGGATGTCGCATTGATGGCCACCCCTCCCTCGCTGTCACATGACACGTCTCCTTAGACAGGCCCCCCCGTGCTGGTTCTGGCTATCTTTATGGCAGGTGTCCGGGCTGACAGACGACCCCAGCCAGGACAAAGACTCGACGGCCTCTCGTCTGCTTTACGGCTCCCCGTGGAAGTCGCTGTAAACACCCAGCTCATTTATTTCCCCTTCTTCCAGCCTTTTTAGCTGACCTAATGGAATCATCTGAAAACATATAGACAGGGCCTGCTCTAGCTACAGGCAGAACGGGTGATTGCCTACGGCCTCCAAACTACCTGCATTGGGGGGGGAAGTAAAATGATCATCGGTTTTCGTGGCAGGGGGCCCACCCCAAATAAAGCTGTATATTTAGCTAACCCCCTCAAAAGGTAGAGCCTGCCATGTCTGAGGTATCGTATGCAGAAACGTGGGCCTTAAGTTCCAGATGTACCAGACCTCAGAACGCATCCCTAATTTACTGTTTCTTACTCAGTGAATGTTAGAAATGTCTGTATCCATAGGTCAACTGTGCCCTGGGCTCTCACTGCTGCCACCTAGCCTCATATCTTGTAACTGTGGGCTGAATCATAATGTAATTTGAATCTTTGCAGTGCAAATAAGGCAGTTTGAAAGAATAAAGAAAGGCACCACAACAGCTGTTATCTGGCCAGCGGCTGGCAGTGGCTGGTAATGTTTTATTAAAACCCCGTAAAAGGGGGGATTTTCTGCAGATAAAGACTTTTTTTCGACTTCTGCATGCTCAGCAGATCTCCGTGGCCCTTGTGCCATCGATTCATTAGGGCCCCAGGTAAAAGTTCGTGGTCTGCAGAGCAAACAAAACATGGACCCTGGAAAAAAAAAAGAGAGAGAGAGAGCCCATTAGTTCTGAACCGGGGCCAGAATGATCTTATTCATCTTCACTGGACCCAGCGGCGCAGGCAAGTGGCATGAGCTGTTCCCCTTCTAAATCGGCCAAGTTAAAATAGCCCATAAAATATGTATACATTTCTCACTGTATGAAAAATCCATACATCACAGGGATGCGGGTATTAATTATTCAGCTTGTATTTTTAAATTTGCTTATTCTGCCATTCCGAAACATTCCATTTATTTACAGCTGTAATCTATTTATAGCGAAGTCTTGCCTTTTGCATGTTTTTTGCTTCTAGATGTTGAATAGCACCTCCTCAGAAGCGGCAGTGTTACCATGACGCACCTCCTCCTTGCCGGGGCCTGGTGCTGGGCCTGTTCACACTGATCATTTATTTCCGTTCCCGTCGCATTGGGGTCGGTGGACTCTTCCACAGATTAATCACAGAATTATGATTAATTTGGTGCCTAATAATGTACACATGCAAAGCGTCGTACTTATGAATATTTCTGCTGAATAAACAGCTCATAAAATTTAAATTTAGCACATGCAGTTGTTATAATTGAATATAAACACAGTTGTAAATATAATTACAATTCATGTGTACATATGATTAGGAACAGCAACAAAAAAAAAATCTTCATCAACTGCAAAGATTATGATATGCTAGAGAGCATTTATTAAACTTTGACTTCTAGAGGGTAATGTGTTATATTAGTAAGTACATAATTTATAAAGAGGCATAACCCTCATGGACACGATGTCATTGTTACGGCATTGATATTTCGATCCACAGACAAATGTTAATCTGCAGCATCAGTCTAGCCTGGAGCTACATTAATATATTATAGAAATTGACTGAATTTTCACAAATCACAACACAAGTCTTGTCCCGTGTATGTAAACGTGTGCATCATTATGGTGCGAATAACGTGTGATGATAGTGACAGCCTTAAAGCCACAGCACACTGACCGTATCTAGAACAGAAACACATTTTTAAGCTATTGGCTCTGCTATTCCATTCAGTACAAATAAAAGAATTATGCATTCCGGCAGTATTGTATTTTTCTGTAACCACTCAGCTGAATCTTTAAAGTGTTTGATTGTTTCCTTGTAAGTGTAATTTTGGTTGAGGTGCATTGCATTTGGTTTTTTGTTAAGTGTGTATCAAAAGTGTTCATTTGTCTACCGTCTTCCAGATGATAGTGCCGAAATGTTTTCAATTAATTTCATATCACAGAAGTCCGACACATTTCACTATACCTGTAAGAATCCTGGGGCTCTGGCACTTCATTACCTCAGGGCCCAGCCTGCTGCTGATGGAGTTCATCTGTTCTTACTTGTCTCTGCTAAAATGTCTCAGCATAAAAATGCTTCCTGCTCCATCAGTGTGTTTTGTGAAATATCTTACATTGATTTGTTTGCCTGATGCTTTCATGTGCCCTCTAGTGATGCCGATGTCCCCCGTACCCGTCTGCAGGACACCCAATGCATGTAGCTCCAAAGACACGTCCGTGACACCGATGGCATTTCTGCCGTCTTGGCAGTAGATGAATGGCTAGTGTACCCGTCTTTGTTAAAGAAAAGTTCTCGCTTCTAAGACCGAGGGACCATTCTAATTAGCGGGCATGGAGGCAAGTGTGGGGAGATTAAAGGGACAGTGAGACTCTTTTGAGCTGATCGTCTGATTGGCTCGTTTCTTTTCACTCACTTCCTGGTTTCAAGTGGTCAGCCTGATCGTATCTTTGCGCCATAAAATGACCCACATAGACTGTCACATGGCTAACATCACTATGACATCACTATGAGACCATAGCTTACTGTCACGCGGATAACATCACTATGACATCACTATGAGACCATAGCTAACTGTCACATGGCTAACATCACTATGACATCACTATGAGACCATAGCTTACTGTCACATGGCTAACATCACTATGACATCACTATGAGACCATAGCTTACTGTCACATGGCTAACATCACTATGACATCACTATGAGACCATAGCTTACTGTCACATGGCTAACATCTTTCTTTCCCTTTCATGCATCATTTTGTGTCAAGTCTTGTGTACATCAAGTGCTGTGAAAGGCGCTATATAAAAATGAATTCAGTTTAACTGAGCTTTGCCATGAGATAATTTTATCTTTAGAAAGTTATGTTATACAGTATGGACACTTCCTAGCCAAATATGACCATCATATTGTTATTAATATTATGTTGTAAATTAAGAGACCACAGCAAAATTTTGAGTGTCACTCATTCCAGTTTATGGCTGTGCTTCTGTGTAAGATACACATTTTTCTGTAAACTGCAGCCTGGCTCCCCCCGATGCTCATTGGTGAAGGCCTTCTTCCTTGCTTTTTGAGTCTTCAGTTGTGCATCTAAGAGCCAGTTACAAACTGTCCTAACAGTGCACTTACAGTAACATTTCCCATTTTTTTTGAAGGTCAGTTGATGTCATCCTCCGATTTATGAGGCACCGTCGGATAAGTGACCGGTCTGGCATTAGAAAGCTGCTTCTGCCCTCTACCTGGCCAGTTGTTCCCAGTGTCTCCTGCTTCACCTTAGTCTTGTGTACTGATGACTTAGAAATTTTGAGCCTGCCACTCAGTGCCCAGGAGAACCAGGATTAAACCAGGATTAAACCAGGATTTAATAATGCAGATTCGTAAAACATATGGAGTGGTCTCTTCATTTTTTCCCGAGCTGTACAGGTAAATATGTCCCTCCTCTTACAGATGCGCTCGACCAGGAAGGTGTCCGTGTGGCCCGTGGCTTTCGTGGGAGGCCTCCGCTACGAGTCACCCAAGGTCAACGCCGCCGGCAAGGTGTACGGCTGGAAGACGGTGTTCGATCCGCACCGGCCCTTCGCCATCGACATGGCCGGCTTCGCCGTCAACCTGCGCCTCATCCTGTATAAGCCCCAGGCGTACTTTAAGCTGAGGGGGGTGAAGGGCGGCTATCAGGAGAGCAGCCTGCTGAGGGAGCTGGTCACCCTAAACGATCTGGAGCCCAAAGCAGCCAATTGCACTAAGGTTAGAGAATGGGGGGTGGGGGTACAAGATGGCAGTGGATATTTCTAACCAGTTTGAGTTTCAGCTGTATCTATGGAAACCATGTTGTTGCGAGCAAATCCATATGCCCATTTACCTTCCTTGTTATAGCCAGAGGTGATTTTGGGTCGAGGGCATAGTAGGGGCCAGCTGACTGTATCATTAGCCAATGTGACTAGGGAAGGAGCACTATGATGGCCAATCAGCTTTAAGTTGGGCCCCTGTGACCCCACCCCAGTACATGCTCCTAATTGTTGCACAATTACTTAGTATTTATATATTGTAATTTCTCTTTTTTACTCCGACTTCTTACCTTTTTCTATTTTTATTTCTTTCTATTTTTATACAGCCACATAAGGGTGACACAGAGATACATTTCACTGCATGTTGTATGTATGTGACAAATAAATCTCTTGACTTGACTTGACTTGACATAAGCAGGGGCAGATTAATGCATAGGCTATCTAGGCTACAGCCTACCCCCCTCCCCCACAATCATCAGGGCCCTGGCCCACCTCGGGTTAAATGGAACGATCAGTTAAATCAGCAACACCTTACTGTCAATGCCGATGTCAGCCTAGGGCCCCAGATAAGTGAATCCACTGCTGTGCACATAGTAAGTCAGCACATATATAGGTGTCTGTTAATAATCCTGTGAAAAATGGCATGTCATGGCATTATTCAAAGGAAGCTTAGGGTTCAAACGAAGAGCTAATGAGCGGTTAGCCCTTGAATAGGTCTAGGAGCACTTAGACACGCTGTGTGATCTCCTCCGCCATAAACTCCCATCGCTAAGCAGAGTCGGTCACTGAGCCATGCGATCCTCTCGTGCTGATGGGGGAGGGGGAGACACGGAGGGGATCTCCGATGTTAAAATTCACGCAGCTTGGGCTGGAGCATGCTAACAGCCATTCCCTGCCAGGGCGGGGCAGCGGGTCAGCGGGGCGCGGGAGAGGAGCGATAGAGGCAGGCGTTAGCGACCGGGGGGAAGAGGGAGGGACCGGAGGATGGGGGCACATTGCCACACATCACCCCGCTTCAGGTGTGATTGGTACTATTAACCTCCCCTGCGCCTGGGCACAAAGGCCGAGAGGCACTGACGCATCTCCAACGGCCATGCATTATTCACGTGATGCGACGAGATGGGATGGAAATGCGCGATCGCAGTGCCGCTCTGAGAGGGATAAGGAGGAGAGATGATGCTCTGCTCCACGACACATTTGTATTTCTCTTTTTTTCCCACTCCTAGGAAGTAAATCAAGCCTGTCTGTATCCCCGTGGCCATCCGCCGCGTTATAAACGTGAATATTTGCCCGTGCAGCACAATGCAAAGCACCTAGGTTGCCTTGACGACAGGAATCAATATCAAATGCATCTTTGAAGCGCACCTTAGGGGTTTGGAAAGAGTCTTTCGTCTCAAAAGCAAAATGCAGAACTTTTTAGGGAGCTTGCAGAATAGCATCTAGAATCACATGTTAAAGCTTAGAAGGCCTATTTTCACCCATAGAGAATGATGCGTATTCTTAACAAAAGACAATACAGGTGATGCACCAATGCTTGTGATTTCAGTGATGTGAGGAGCATTACATCGCCTCCTACACAGATCACACCTGAGCCGTCGCATTTTCATTCCTGCTTCATATCCTCAGTGAAGACGCCCCTGTTACTCCGTCATGTGCCGCCGTCGTCTCCTGCTGAAAGTAGGAGCAGATGCTTAAAAAACAAGGCAGCTTTCTTTTCATCCAGAGAACAAGACATGAGAGCAACAGGGACCGTAAGGCGAGCCCAGAATCTCAGGAGCCACAGAGAGTGTGGACCCTTTGGGTTTCTTACAACAGAGCTCTACTGCCAGGAGACACGGCACATAAAATTGAGTCGCTTTAGCGAAATTGCAAGATACGCACCGAGACAAATCCTGGGTGGATATGGGGCGCAAGGCAGGGCACACCGTTGGCAAGATACGCAGTACTAACGTGCTGAATAAAGATACAAACCTACTCAGACATTCATTGTATAAGTGAGAGTGTGGATTTGCATCCTCTGGAGATGTTAGAGACGGGGAAATTTCTCGTACAGGGACTGGTCAAAGCTGGCAGGGACAGGCAGAAACAAACAGCTCAGAGGTTTTGTGTAAATTGCAAAATCTGGTTATAAATGTGCTTTAATTGCTGCAAAAGCAGGTCTGCTAAGTGTTGACTCCAGTATCTTAGGTACTGCAAATTCACAGCAGTGATACATCAACCCTTAGGTCACGCTTGGAGGTTTTCTGAAACAAAATGTTAATGAAGCTTGCTAATGTTTATGAAGTGAAATGGTACTATGAAAGAAATGTTGTTGTGCTCAGTTGTTAGAGCAAGATTGTGACTGATCCCTAAAACTGGTGCTAATCTATGCGTCATTATGGTAGGTAATCATGGAAGAGGATGCGTAAATGTGCTTATTAACTGCTGACGATTTAACATACAGATTCCTCTGAAAAGCGTCTGGAGGGTCTTGGCTTTGCCAGCATAAACGAGAAAGTATTAAAACTCATCGGATTTACACGTTCACATAAAATGTGGAAATTGTCTGGAAGTTTCCCCTGACAGTGAGGAAAAAGGCTTCTAATCACAGGTTTCTGCTGAAATAAAATTGCAGAAATCTGTATGCAAAAACTGCAAAAAGTAGGATTGCCAGATAGTCAATGTCAGGGAGAACATGGTGAGCTCGGACAGGATTTGTAAACTGCCATTTTATTTAAACCGACCTGGATTTCACTAAATCACTGAGTTCTTGCTGTGTACTCATCAGGACTGATCAGTCTCTTATAATTATGCATGTGTCACTAATGTTAATATGAAACAAAGCATAAGAAGAACTGAACTGTTTAGCCAAGCACAGGAGCCTTTCAGTTTAAAGTAGCTCTTAAAACCTTAAGTAGCTCACAGTGTCCCTCGATCCTGACGTGGATTATCTGATCAACCTAGTGAAAGAGGACCGGTGGGCTTATATTAAATGAATGTGAGTAACATGTCAGCAACTTTCCGTATATGGAAAATGATCTCTGTATCACGTTCTCATGCAGGCTTGAACTGAATACGATACAAACTTAGCTTTTTACTACTAGTTAGAGCTGGGTGTAGGATGGTCAGCACACAGCCTTTGGTATCCGTTTACGTTTTTTCTTTTTCTGCTCTTTTCTTCCCCCCATTCCACAGATTCTCGTATGGCACACCAGAACAGAAAAACCGGTTTTAGTGAACGAGGGCAAGAAAGGATTCACAGATCCCAACGTGGAGATTTGACAGCCGTATTTTTCGACGCTGGTAAACACACGTTTCTTATAAACGTCACAAAACTGCACGGATCACAAATTGAAAATTCTGACGAGCGATAAACGCATTATGAGAGTTAAAGCCCGATATTTATAACCAATGCCCACTTTTTCGTTAGAAACCGTTATATCCACTATAGAAGAACTGCATGTTGAGGCATTTCTTACTTAAAATTGTAATATGGTAATAATTTCTTTGCCTACTCAAATTTCTAGCAAAATTTTACGGCTTAAGAAACACAGAGTCAGCTACAGCGAGCCTCAAAGGTCATAACAAATGAAATCAGACCCGTTAAGCATAACTGTAACACCAGCGAAAACTTCCATCTCTTAAATGAAAGGAGAATTATTATACCCTAAAGCTACATTTAACTGGAGGAATTGCGACACTGTCAGGAATGAGGTTTTAGGATTTCATTCACAATATTATTTCACACACATAAAATGGGGATGACTCATCCCACTGTCTCTGCAAACATCTGAGACTCCAAGTGCAAACATTATTAAACAGATCGTCTTCTCTGAGTCACTCCGTGCTCGGAAAGAAGGGAGATCGCTGACTGATGTTAATTCGCGACGTGACATGAGAAAGGCGAGGTGTTTCACGGTCTCCCCCTTTGCTTTGTCACATATCTTGGCACCGTAGATAATCGAGTTGACACATCTGCAACGCCATTACCGCTATCGGGAAGCCAATACAATAGAATCCTTCATTAAATCAAAATTCTAGTAAATGTACACCTTTATGTGATTTATATTGTTATAAATGTGATCGACTGCCTAAGACTTTTGCACAGTTCTGTATATATAGGCCTATAGAAGCAAATGATGTTTGAATGATCTTTATGTTGGTGTAAAACTATGAAAGTGTAGTCATTTCAAAAGCTCTCCTAAAATCACCCCTTATTTGCAACAATCATCCTATAAACTTGTATCGTATTTTTAATGTATTTTTGACTCAACCACTACCCTGTCTCCTACGGCTAATCAAACCCCATCAAGTGATTAAAATCAATCAATCCATCAATCAATAAATCAATCAATCGAGCTGGTGGTGAAATTTAACATATACATGAAATGGCTGGGGTGCCCTTGAGGAGGGGAGTTTGGGAACTGAAGCAGTGTTCATCTAACCATCTAACAAGATATCAGTAACTTTTTGGAGAACTGGAGAAATTCCTGTTAGTTTTTGTGTTGCTTTTAATTGGTGTAGTTATAATGTTAAATTGTGTTTTTTTTCCTGAGCAAATATACACATACTACCCAGATAAATAGCCTTAAACATTGTCTTTGACTGCCTGAGATTTTTGCCCAGTACTGTATATAGATAGGGCATACAGTATATAAATGCAATGCATTGTTTTCTCTCCAATTTGTCCAGCTGGTTGCTGTTGGAAGGACCCCTAAGGAGGTCACCCTGCGCAACATCTCCAGAATATTTGGACTCACCCAATCCAAATGTGCTGCCTGAGAACGACAAACTCTTTTAATAATGAACAAAAACAAAAAAACAACTGAAACATATACAATAGTAAAGCACAGATTAATACAACATGGCAATATTAATCTATTTTAGTCTAAAAAATAATATGAAGCAAGGAGGTGAAGTTGAAGACAAGCCCAGTGGGGAGCAAGGGACAAAGGCGTCTGCATCTGCATGTTGAGACACCATGGCAGCCATGTCGTCCAATCGGGAAAGAGGACACTGCGCCAACCCCATCATGTGTCAACCAATCAAAAGCAATGGCACTGACTCATGAGTAGGACAATCACAGACCTCTCTCCTCCAGAGTCTGCAAGCCGGTCCTTTGCACCTGAGCCTAGAATGATTTTTTATTTTTTTTGGATTTGAAACTGCTTAGTGAAAAGTAGTATCTGTCTCACTGGAGTCAGCAACAAGCGATAAGCTAGGCTTTCCACTCCACTCGTACCCAGGAGGGAAAAGTCGCCATAAGGTAGATATTCACCTCCCCTCCAAAAAACGAATAGCTTAAGTGCCCCACCCAAACACCTAATAAGAAAACTAAAGAAAACAAATATCTCCGTCTGCTCATTTTTTCCAGCAAATACCAACCCAAACGAAAATATAAAAATGGAAGGAATGTCTTATTTTTACATACCTCTTTTAACATTATGCCTGCTTTTAATTTAATTCGTAGATGTTTACATTTTATTGCTAGTCCAATGCTACTGACTTCTGTCTGTATTTAAAACCCAGGTATTGGCGAAACGGTACATTATATCAAGAAATGTCACTGAGTGTGTGCTGCAGCCTTGTACACCCCCTGCCACCCCCCACGGCTTTTTGGGGAGAAAATCACATTGCAAACAAGTACTCTAGAACTGCTGTGATTGTGAAGCACGGCGTAGATTCAGATTCAAGTGTAAATATTGGTATGATCAGAAAAAAAAACTGGTACAATTGATTGTGAAATTCATGTGTATATGAATTAATCTATTTCCTACCCTGGAAATTTTACAATTGTGAAGGTAAATTTATTAAATGCAAACATTTTCTTGCCCACTGCTTATGATTAGGCCAATGTACTTATGTTTCTTTTACTGTATTTATGTAAATGTGTAATAATTTTATTGAGAGTTTAAAAATGACCGACATATCTTAATTTATGACCGCTGTTAATGAAGTGTCTCTGTGAAGGGTTTTTTTTTTTTTTACCCGGTGCTTATAAAGAGCACTCAGTCAGAAGTATTATCAGACTTTAAATGGGAATATTATAGATTTTGTAGACAATGTGGTCTTTCTATTGACAAGCACTGAAAATTTCCTTTCCCAGAGTCTGGGAGTAATACCATGGTGTTGCACTGTCCTGCAGCTGTCTCAGCTAAGCTACAGACCAACGATGACGTCAAGGTCTAAGAGGCAAAGGCAGATGGCTGCAGAGCATACGCAGATGAAGCATTCCCACCCATCTGTCTCTATTTAAGTTATTTCGTTGTCTCAAGCGTGTTTTTTTTTCACACTATAAGAATTTACTGCAGATTCTACAGAACGACACTGTCAAAACTGGCAAGCAGGCAGCGGTTCCCACTGCAGTGTTTGTTTATTCACAGATGTCACGATCTTCTCTTTTTCCTGACACGTTAGTTTTTTTTTTTTTCTTTCCGGGGCATATGTCAGTGCTGTTACACACTTTGTGACAATTCTTGACTAATCTGTGGGAAAAAATATTAAGACAAGCACAAAGTAATAAAAATGGTGTTCAAGATGGCTGAACTCACTGCTGCTTCGATGCACTCACACCGGCGTCTGGTCTCAGTCGCGTATCTCGCGTGTCAGATTTACACGTCTGTCTCGGAGTCCGCGTGGGAGTCGCCAGACTAAACCGAGCGAGAAATGGCAGGATGCAGATGCTTTAGATTCTGACTTCTGACTGCTCGTAAAAGCTCTTTTGCATATGGTGATGGCTTAGATAGATCATAGTGTTATTGATTCAACTGACATTTCAGAAACAAAGAGCAGTGATGGTCAGTTAAGAGAGAGCGGCACATATATTGGATTTCAACATACATGAGGCTTGGAAATGTGATATTTAACATCAGCTGTATTAAATGTGTCAAGGTCAGTACAATATAAAAATTTGATTATGTTTTTGCAACATGCTCCATATTTATGTCAGTTGGCTTTAGTTCACAGTTTAGTTTATGGAGGATAAAATCCTACTGAGTTGTGACTAGCTGCCGCCTCTCGCCTCTTCCCCTTCGCACGTTACAGATGCGTCAAAAGTCATTCAGATTCAAATGATTAGTGCCTCTCAGACCACCAGCCACCTGAAAATAAGCTGCAGATGCTCGATGAATTTCCTTCCTTATAGCTGTACTCATTCCCGGCGTAAGCGAGATTTCTGAGAATTCCAAGCCCTTGCGGATGCCTGAATGCGTCACACAGGCAGCCTGGGTTCTACCTAAACGCACCTGCTGCCACACACAGACCAACTTTGGCGTGCAGAGGCCGTAAATAGCTAGACTGCATGTCAGTCAGAACCCTACAAGCCTTTGTGTTAAAGATCCAGACCCTTCAGTGCTCCAGTACACATTTATGACATCACTGACTCAGACAACTTGCCACTGACCTCTTCCTCACTTCATAAAGAAAGGACGACACAGAAACGAGGACTGTGTTATTGTGTGATTCACAGTCAAAAGGGGCCATTTTATTGTTAATGGCACTAGTCTGTTTTGAGTATCAACGGTGTCAAAGCTATTGAAATAAATACAAAGCATTAAGAGAATCCCTTAGACAAGAAGAGGACATACACCACTTTCAAAGGGAGTAGAATGGGTCAAAATCAACAGAATGATGTTTGTGATGATTAGGCAGCTGTTTGTAATCGATGTCTACTGTTAATCTCCACTGTATCTCCCAGAGTCACTATTTGAACTCCTATTAACAAATTTGTTTACGTATTTGTTCTGTAAATTCTAAAATGTACCCGTTTGAACCCACACTGGACAGGTGCAGTTTTATTAAGTCATTCCGAATAAACTAGAAGATTTTTTAACAATTTACTTAAAAGTCATCATAATGCATTATAATGGTCTGTATAATGAAGGTATCTATAGTGCACTATAGATGAGAGTTTATTATGCATTATGAATGCCCTATAAAACATGGTTATAATGTGCTATGCCTGTTGTATAAATAGTTATAGCTGTTTTTCTAACACTTTATAAATGCATTGCAGTGCATTATAAATGTATCTATAATGCATTATACATAACTGCTTTAAGTAAAGTATTACAGAAGATACAAAGGCAGCTGTCAGTGTTCGGCAAGTTGGGGTTTCAAAATGTCTGCTTTTCTCCGAAGAGACAAGAAGAGCTTTGTAGAAAATGCCCGACACCTTCCACCCCCATGTGTCGGGGCCTTGCCGTCTGTCTTGTTGAAAGCCCGGTGTGGGCTGCCGGGGCCCATGGCAGCTGTCTGGGGACAAGAGGGGAGCTTGACCAGGGGGCAGCTCTGCAGCACAGCCTGGGAGAGCCGACACACCTGGTCTCCAACCCTGATGACGGCACTTCAGAGATATAACACTCCAGCTCTATTCTACACCTCTTCTTTGAAATTGGAAAATTCTTCAAGCAAAGTGCTAAAAAAAAAAACCGGATGTCTATTTACAGTAGCTGAAGCAATCATTAATTTTTTGCTCAACATTTGAATGAGCCTCCATAAAATAAACATTTTTGGGATTCATTCTTCACATGCTATGGTATAATAGACTATTTTAAATTAACTTTAGAATCCCCCCCCCAGCATTTGGGCTGCATGAGCTGCGTGTCAAATGTTATTGCAGCTGAAATATTTACCCCAAATTCTAGCACAGAATCACATTTATAGAAGAAGGTCCTTCTTCAATCAAAGGATACGGTATCATATTACAAGTCCGGCACAGTTAGAGTTCTGTAGAAGAATGCAAAAATATATTAACCGCACTAGACTAGGTCATGTATTGATATTTAGGATAAATGAGGCTTTTTTGCCTTTTTTCTCAGAAAACATTCCCATTTGCCATTATCACCTGACAATGACATGGAAAAAACATAGTTTTTGCTTAAAGACGCTGCTGTAAATCAATGGCTGACCTGATTGCACTCATTATGTTACCGGCTGCAGCTGTTTAACATTTCCAGAGAAAAGCTTTTGTTGCAAAGGATTTATGGATCACTGGAAGATGCACCAGGACTGAAATGTCACGAGAAAAGGTATTTATTGTATTTTAAAAGACCAACGTTTCAAAAAGGAGCTAATTTTTAATTCAAGTGTAATTGTTGTGACACATGATTAAATTATCTGCGTATGTTCAATGCATAACACTGTTTTGTCTTCAGTTCTATATAGAAATACCATAAATTATGGGTAAAAAGACCAAAACCAGGTTTGGCTGCCTGTCAACACGCAATAAAATTACATCCAGACGTGTGCTTTAAAAATTAATAAAAAAAAATATTTCAGACTACAAAATAAGTTTTTCAATTTTTCAACTGGAATTCTGACCTTGCAAGAAAAATACAAGCACACAGTGCCTATAATTCAGTGTGAGGGTTTCACACTCAAAACACTCCAAAGAGTGCGCCAGGAACACGGTGGAGTGACCCTCACGGACAGATATCTATATGTGCAGCAGCTGGACAGATTGGCTAAAGATGTTTTAATTAACGTCGACAGTCATTCCCAGGTCATGATTGTTGGTGAACTGCATTTTGAAGTCGGACTCCTGTTCCTCAAACAAAATGAACTGAAACAAAAAATAAACAGAGTAAAAAACATGCAGCGCCGGTCAGATTAAATAAAGCAGAATAGCATCTTGAGAATGCTGACAGTATATGGTAAGCAGAGTGCTTATAAAGACATTGTGAGTGTTTGATGCATTTATTTTTAAAATGTGTGATTGTTACGTAGGCCAGACATACCTGATTCATTCCAGTCTTGAGCCAGGGTCCTGGAAGGTAAAGAGTTTGCTGAGGCCCAATGGACCAGTACCGTCCAAGATTCTGCCCATTCACGAATGCAACGCCTTTCTTCCAGCCCTGTAGATTCAATTAGCATAAAACCTCCATGAAATATTTCCCAGTAACTATTTTTCCTTGTGCATTTTGAATGACTTTTGCCAATCATGTCGCATCCACCAGCACTGGCCAAGATTGCAACCAGCAACAAGCTGGTCTTAGTGATGCAGAGGGGTGTGGGAGAGACGTGTGTGTTGGTCTCACCGGAAACTGTATGAAGCTGTCTGCTGGGTACCCACTAATGTACAGCTTGCTCAGGAAGAATGCTGGGAAGGAGGGAGCTTTCTGGATGGGCTTCCAGGACCTGGAGCTCAGTCTGACGCACGGAGAGAAACCAGCCGCAGATTAGCACTGAAAGGACCGTGGCCTGAATCCGCCCTTCTCTTCTCGATACACCTGCTACCGCTCTATTTAAAAGCAACGGCAGGCCTGCTCAATAAATAAGTAACTCTGCTTCTTTAATTGACACTACAGAAAATGAGAGAAATGTATATAAAACATACCAAATCATAAATGTGCTCAGTTTATAAATGTACCCAAAATTACAAAAGCACCCTGATTAAAAACTAGAGAAATTTTATACAAACTAGATTTAATACCCCTTGTTATTAAGCGGCTAATAACTCAGCAGTTGAGGTATTCTCACAGTCATTTCGGAGAATAGGATTCATTTAGAATTAGAATAGAATTAAAAACCTCAAATTACTAACACCTAATAATGATTCTGTCATAAGGGCTCTCTGGCCGTAGACACCTCACTGCAGAAAGATGACAACGTCGAGTAAGCGGCGGAGCGATTACGCTGTAACTGCCAATGGTAGGCGGACGGTTAAATCAGACCTTATGGGTCTCTCGAGGGCCTATAAATGCCCAAAAAAAGAAGGGGCATGTTAATCGATGGTGGCATGTGCTGACAGGCACAGTGTTTTTAAAAAAAATCCATTTAACTGAACAATACAGCCCTGTAATAAAAATGCCGCCGTTATATAAAGCAGAACCTAATCATAACTGGTAGAAATCCTGAAAATAAAAGACACACACCTTCGAATAAAGTCCGGCTTCATGTCCAGACTGTACATTCTGAAGCCTGTCAGAGGCTCCTTGTTCAGTAGAATATCACCAACCAAACCTAAAAAGTTATCACACTTCAGGACTTAATGAAACACAATGCTGAGTATTACGCCATTATATCGTTACGTTAGAAGAACAGATAAAAACGTATAGCGATAGTGATAAATTCATTAGATACAGAGTAGGGATATGGACAGATAATTATGAAGCTGAGGAACGCGAGATGGGAATCTGACTACATAATCTTTCTTAATTGGTTATGAGGAATACTTTTCATGCACCATTGTTTGCCCTGTTAAATGAAATCCTTATCATATTCGAACATCATGCGATCTGGGACCGTCTCCAAAACCCATACGAGAAGCTCAAAATACAAGATTTATGCTTAATAATGTCCTGGTCTTAGCGAAAAACGCTCTAGGTTCTTCTGTTATAAGAATATAACTCCCTGATGATCTTCACACGACAACCTCACAATATTTTCTAAGTTTTTGCAGTATTTCATCATTTGAACTAATGGGGGGTCAGGGGCAGCTTGTGGCTCAGCCTTTGTGCCTGTGATCAGAAGGTCACCAGTTTCAGCCCAGCCTTGGCAAAACAGTCACGTCCGCAGGCCCTTGAGCGAGGCCCTTAACCCCCAGCTCCATGGGCACCGCTGCGGGTGGCTGCCCTCCGCTGCCAAGCCTGATCTCACCTACATATGTGTCTGCGTGTCAAGGAGAGCATGATGATGTAGGTAAAAAGTGATTTTCCTCACAAGGGATCAATAGAGTGTCCATCCATCCATTCATTTTCTGAAACCACTTATCCTGTTCAAGGTTGTGGGAGGTCCAGAGTCTATCCTGGAGCCTATGGGCAAAAGGCAGGGAACAACCCAGGATGGGGAGCCAGCCCATCACAGGGCACACTCACACACCAGTCACTCACACACCAGTCACTCACACACCAGTCACTCACACACCAGTCCCCCACATGCTCACCAATGGGCAGTTTGGTAGCTCCAATTAACCTCAGGATGTTTTCGGACTGTGAGGGGAAACCAGAGTTCCCAGAAGAAACCCCATGACGACATGGGGAGAACATGCAAACTCCACACATGGAACCCTGGCAGAGACCTAAACACGGGTTCCAGAGGTATGAGGCGACAACGCTAACCGCCCCGCCACCATACCGCCCCCAATAGAGTGGAATTATTATCGTTTAGCCAGCAAAGCAAAATAAGCTAAACTGTATCAGTAACTTTTTTTATTTCTCATTTATGAAGTATGTGTTGGAACATCTTATCAGAATGTATTTTGAGTTTATTTCTTTAACCATACCTTTACGCTGGTCATCAAGGTCTTTCCCATAGTTCACTCGCCCACAGTTTTCCACAAGTAAACTTAAATTCCGTCTGCCCTACAATTGAAAAAATAACATTTATTCACGTTTTAGGAATTGGACGTGCGATGCAACACCCTGGATTTAAGGTTAGGTACCATCACACGCGTAAAGGCCACGGGAGACTCAGGAACTCGGAATCGATGACATTGTCGATAACTTTCACAGACTTGTGTTCTTGGAATTGCAGCGTAAAGGCTTTGGTCCTGAAGTTCCCCATCGGGAGGTTTGAGTTTGTCAAGAGCTTCATGTTTACATTGTGTGGAGAAGCACATTTATCTGCAAAGGTCTACAATAGGTTTGTGGCATGTGAACATCATAGGTGTAATGATGTAAGACAGAATGAACAGACAGACAGACGGACATGTAAATGGATAGAAATATAGATATATAGACATATAGATAGACAGACAGACAGATAGATATACCTTCCTGTTAGGAACTATTATTTCTATTGTGTTGTAGTCAAGGACGCCAATGAACTGCCTGTCCAAGAACACCTACAATGGAGACAGACATCATTATTGTATATTCAGGGACAATGTGTTACATTCAGTGGGTGTTCAATTTAAAAATCTTCCATTCTCATCACACCACTTGGACATCTCTGCTCCAAGCACCGATCAAACTCACCAGGGCTCTGTCCCGCACGTGGTTCCTGGAGTTTAGCATTCCTCCGCCGGTGATGTTGGTCTCGTACAGCGTGTAGCCGTAGGACTGTCCGTTGCCGTTGTTCACCGGCAGGTTCTCCATATTGACGGGTCTTTCTGACTCATGAGGCTTAAGGTGGCAACGGAGCAGTGACTCAGTGGCGATTTTCCCCTGATGGCCTCGACTACAATGGGCCCAAGTCTAACATTGTACACTCTTACAGTCCTGTACAGAATCTATAGATATTCCTTAGTCTTATAAGCATTGTGGTGAGATAATGGATGGAGGAGTGCAGGGTACCGTATATATCAAAAATAACAAAATAACAAGCAGGTAAACTCAGAGTGCTTGATTCTCGGGAAGGGGGGGGGAGGGGGTTGTGTCTGAGAGAAACAAACCCCTCGCTCTTAAGAGCATCCTGAGGGCCTGGATGGTACTTAGGGGCTTAATGAGGGCAGGTGGAGTTACCACACGGTGCCCCCCCATCTCCACCCTTACGGCGTACGTCACACGCGCGCCACGTCCTTATGCCATATTTAATGCTTAAACTGCTGTATAAAACTTTATACATTTCTTTTCAAAGCACTTTTTCACTTTTGACATCATCGTATATATATATTAAAATGTTCAAATACTCCGACTGGTCATTACTTCCACTAGAACAAATCTATGGACACACAAATGAGAACATTACATTTAGAGTGGTCATAATTATGCTAATTCATTAAACTAAATGGTCTGGACAGATAATCATAGTTAGATAGGCGTCAGATTGTTATTACCTGGCAGACAGTTTATCACCCACCTTCTCCAGAACCTCCAAGACGTCCCAAAGCAGCAGATACTTATGGGTAGAAACCGGCCTGTACACCTTCTTCCACTGAACGGCGGGCATCATGGGTAAATTGCCATCTAAAAATGCATGATAAAATGCAGGGAAAAGGAAACCAGAGTGACAGAAATGGGCCACACAAACTGGGAATTATGGCAAATCTCCCAGTATTTCCAGTACAAACAAACAAAAAAGATAAACAGCCAATATGGCTGGCAAGGTTATCAAATCAGCACTGTTGAAACAGATGTCGCTGTTAATTCAGTGCTTAGGCCAAGACAATGACATTTTACTAAATTAAAAAGGTAAAAAAAAAGGAATGGAATGGAAAGAGGGATTAACCACACATGGGTAACAGGGCTGTATACAGGGGCAGTCGATGCAGCTGAAAGCTGATTGGCCGCTACCCTGTTACTCACTGATACAAAACATATCACTGGCTAATGATAATGTCTACCTCTCTATGGCTTCTCTTATGCCCCCGTCTTAAATATAGAATCACCTCTGATGGGTAATATCTGAAATAAGATGGGAAAAAAAATATGTAAAAACGAACCAAGAAAACCCCAGAAATTATTTCTGTAAGGCTTGACATTAAAAGCCTTATAATCGATAGCAGAGCAGGCTAGGAGGAATAAAGGCCAAAGCGTTGAACACTTCCTGTCCGATTCTCATATGCCTATAGGGCACAGGGACTAAATACCAAACCGATAATCACAGCTAAATTAAGAGGCCCGATAAAAATGCCTGACTGGAGCTTGTCTTCAGGACCAAAGGATCCAAGTTAAATTGATGCAAATTAGTTAAACTAATAAGCAGAAGTGTGCACGGCTAACGATCCCAGTCTGCAGTAACGTAATGGAGCAATCCCCGGAAGTGGATTTAGCCATATTACACAGAAAGACACATTTAAGACACATTGACAGGCCACCACAGCCATAATAAGCTGTTAAAATATCCGAGTCAAACTTTAAATGAATGGAGAATGGCTTAGTAGCAACAGCAGGATCAATAGCTATATAGTCATAACTAAATAATTGACGAATTAACTAAATAATTGACAGAATCCCAGCATTAGGCTGCAAGACACTGTCCCAGATGTGAAAAATAGAAGAGTATTAAAAACGATGATTGATTTATTTTATTTATTTATTTAAATGTCACTAAGCAGACTTAAGAGTCTGAGATGTCCCTGCGCTAATAGCTATTAGCGTGTTAGCACGACTCGCTCACGATGTCACAGGCCCGAGCGGAGGAGGCCGCAGCGTCTGATGGACGGAGCGATGCGTCACGGCCGCAGGCTTTTTTAGCGACTGCTCACATCTCCACGGTGCCAAAATGTCCCGATGCTTCAGTCTGAAGATGCCTACTGAGTCATTCATATGTGGGTTACCACACAACCTAGCCGGGGATGGTTTAAAAGGCGTCCGACTGGCAGAACGTCAAGCCAACGGAGCGTCGTGCGACTGCTAACGATTTAGCCGTGCCGGGAGGCTGCCAGCTCTGGCTCGGGCAGCGTGAGGACGCCTTCAGATCTATACAGACCCATAGTCTGGGGAGAGACACAGAACCCTTAAGTACCCCTGTCCATCCAGACCGCGAGCTGATGCTATAGGGCATGGATCCCATGTCCTGTGTTAACCCATCACCACCACTGCTACCGGCCACTAAGCATGAACCTAAAGACTTGACGTAAGAAAATGCAAGTGCATTTAAAGGTCTTTTTACACTAATTAAAAAATGTAGTTTAGGACTAAGATATTAACAATACATAGTGGTATTTCCTTCTAAAAAAATTTATATGTTTTATAAAACGCATAATTGATTATTACCTCTTACAAACTCATTACTTCATGACTCCTACATGGACAATTTTATTAAATGATACCATAAAACATCTATTACTTATATATCTTGTTCACGATCTACAAATAAAATGTGACCTGCTTCACTGCTATTAAGATGTTGTTAGCCTATGACCAATAAAGAAATGCTAATAAAGATTAGAGAGTAAAACAGCTGAATTCATAAGCAGAATTGCTCCAGACATTCTCCATAAACAAAAGATATTTTTTTCTCTACTAGAATATGACCCATATGCCATTTTTCATTGCCAAATTTTATCTAAGATCCCCACCCCTGGTGGCATTTTAGATAATTGACTATAGGCTTATTATGCACCATAACAGGCATATCATAATTAAATAATAGCCTGTGCACATGGTAATGAAAACCGAAGTGTAGTTTTCCATTAATGTAACACTAAGATGCCTTGTGGTGTGATGATTAAGGTATTTTTTTTAAATGCCCCCTTTCATGCATTCAGGTGTGATATTCACACACCCTTAATCTTAATAAGCATTAAGAGGAAGCAGCGTGCATATCAAGACAAAAACTGAAACTAGCCTCCCGTTCACAGCGCAATTCAGGCCAAACAGCACCAACAGCTGTCAAAAAATTAATGAACAAGTACGGTGGAGCTTACTGTGGAATCCTCCGAACAGCGTCCTCAGACGGTGGTACTTTGCAGTGTAATGCCCGGCTTCAGAAAGAGGCGCGTCGTAATCTGCAAGGAAAGCATCTTTCAGGGCAGCAATTAGGGCCGATGCGCAGGGCCTCCTCCCTCGGTCCCGGCGGTGCTGCTGGCTCAGCACTTTTGCACCCCGGCTGAAAACGGACCTAATTTGATCTCGCACCCTGTCCGGGGCCGTTCGGCTCGCGAAGGAGGAGTTGCCATGGTGAATTCACAATGGCTTAAAAGTGCCGTGTAGCACCCACACAAAACAATCACAGAAAAGATTCCTGTTTATGTTCTCCGACAATTTACAGCCAATGCCACCTCCACGCAATTACCAAAGGGAATAATAAAAATAAAAAAAAACAGAGAGAAAAACAACTGTCAGAGTAACACTTCATGCTTGGAATAAATAGCAGTTATGAGTAGTACTCTGATTAACTTCACAAAACGTGCACATCCACAGCACTCTTCATCTCCGCTCTCATTATAAGGGAGCTTTCTGCAAGGCGTAGTTCAGAAAAGGTGTAACAGCGCGACCTAGTGGCCATTCAATAAAACTAAGCATACACTCAACCAAGCCACCCCATCCATTTTGAATCAGGGCTTGCATCTCTGTTACAGGAAAATTCCAGATTAAAGAAAGATGACGGAAGCGGCATTACCATAGCTAGTGACCAGCGGCTTGTACGGGTGGTTGCCCAGTGCCCCGCTCATGAAGCCAAAGTTAGTGCCACCGTGAAACATGTACAGGTTGATGGACAATCCTTGGTTCAGAATCTCCATGACGACCCGCATCATCTCTGCCGTAAAGAAGAGGAACGTAAGACAGCCACACCCACACATCCTTGCGGTGGGGGGGGTCACCCAGGTTAGGAGTCATGACTTTCATCAATTCACTCTGTCCTGGTCCCCCTCCCCTTTAATTAATGTGGGAAATCTTAAAGTAAAAGTACACAACGTGAAATGGTTGTCAGTCGCTGATGTTAGTGTGCGGCTCAGCAGGTTACTGAGGTGGACAGTTCAAGCCCAGGAAGTAAAAATCCAGGCCAAGATTTTGTTTCAACCAACCAGCTGGGTATAAAGAGTCACAGTCAGAGTACTCAACTGGTTGGTTGAAACAAAATCTTGGCCAGGATTTTTACTTTCTGCACTTGAAATATCCACCTCTGGCGGGTTAGGATACTGTGGCAGTGTTCAGAAAGTTGCAGGTTCAAATCTCATGGCTGGCAGAGTGATTTCACTGCCGAGGCCCTTTGCAAGGCCCTTAACTGCCAATTACCTGAGCTTGCCTTCTCAAAAATGTAAATGAATAAAATGCAAAAAGCAGACAGAACCAGAACCAGTATACTTCTGGGAGATCAGATTGGCAACAATATGGAACATTATAAGTTTAGGTTGGTGTTTCTCAACCCGGCCCTCGGAGACCCCCAGATGGTATATGTTTTTGCTCCCTCCCAGGCAGTCCATATTTTTGCTCACTCCCAAACAGTCCATATTTTTGCTCCCTCCCAGGCAGTCCATATTTTTGCTCCCTCCAAGTTTCTGGTATGGAAGTATGAGGGAACAAAAATATGGATTGTCTGGGGCTCCCCGAGAACCTGGATGGGAAACACTGATACAGACATTTTATGGCAGTAGGATCCTAATTTACTGCTAAGTTCATCTCAGTAATTCACATTCTCATCAGCAATATTGGTTGCAGATGTTTATCAGATTGCATTATGCACAGATTGTCGGCACAATCCCCTTCATTTGTACTTGAAATGATTAAACCACTTAACAGAGAGAGCTGAAGCGCAAAAAATAATGTTTTCAAAATGGATGCTGCAGCACTACACTGCAAAATTCAGTAATCAAATGACACTTAGAGCAGCATTTGTCTAGCTGCTCCAGGAGAATCCCGTTGGAATTCTTGCTCCAAAGGCCCAGTAATGGCCAGCACACGCTCTGGCAGGATGAGCCGTCCCCTAGCGTGGCTGATGATAATTTACTTTGACTCTTGAATTGAGGCAAAGTGCCACTGGGAAAATCCCAGATTAAAAAAAAAGATGGGGGCAGAGCATGAGTCTCATACAGAAGCACTGCCTTTCTGTAAAAAGACACCAGTAGCATAAACAGACAAGTGCCTCAAGGAGCATAATTATCAAAGCAAGCAAGCAAGGTTTAGTAGCCAGGTGAAGCGAAGGCTGTAAACATCTCAGGTTTCCTGGGCTCACCATCTACGTCATAGACATGGTGGAGACCACCCCAGTTGTCAAACCACCCGGACCAGTATTCCATCACCAACTTGGGCTTCTGGGGCTGCAGATGAATAGAAAGTGAAAGTGAAAGCGTGCATGTCAAAGAGGGAGAGAGAGAAAGGGGGGTGACAGAGCACACCATCCTGCCGGGCGAGACACTAGCAGCGGTGTTGTCCTTACAACAGTCACAGAAATGCGAAAATGCCCAAGCTTCTTTCCGGGCAATTTTTTTGCAGCTTCAGGACGAAAATGTGCAGCTGCAATAAGTCACCACCCATCAGCTGACGAGGGGGTTTGAAATGATAAGATGTGGGTCACGGGGGGGGGGTTTGCCACTTTCTGGCTACTAGCTTGGCATTCCCTGCCCACGTGACCTCAATCTGACCTCTGACCAATTCCAATTTCTGTAGCTCATTTCTGGGAAACACCCAATCCTAACGCGACACTGGTGTGCGATCAAGCACTGGATTAGTTTGTACCCCCATGTCGCTGAATGAGGTGCAGACAATGCAAACATTAAGCAACACAAGTACTGGTTAATAAAGGATTACTCTGCTCACCTGTAAAGAATCTAGGTGTCGGATGTCTTCAGGACGTAGTTTCTGGAAGTTTAAGGTCTTCAGGGCTTTTGGTGGAGAGAAGAAAAAAACAGAACAGCACTTTGATCTTGTAATACGAACCCACACGATGGCAATAGTGGTCTCCTCAACCAGTTGGAACTGGTCTCCTCCTCAAAGGCTGCTTCTCTGTACGACTGATCTGATTATACACGATTACACCCATCACACGTCTTGAAGGGAGAGGAAGCTGGCAGAAAATTCAATTCAATTCAATTTTATTAGTATTAGTAGAATAGCGCATTTTCACAGCATTACATTGTTTCAAAGCTCTTTACTGCACCTTTCTGTGCAGAAAACCATGCAGCGGATCAGCTCAGGCGCCAAGGTGCACCGCCCCCCCCCCCTCTGAGACGGCATGGCGGAGGGAGCAGCAGTCACATGCATGGGGGCACCAGCCTACACAATACCTCCATTCACAGATCCGTGATCCAGACCATTCCGGTTGTCCGACGTGAACAGCAACTCCCTGACTCCCCTGGAGACCAGCGCCTGTCAGTGGACAGCAGATGTCTGTCCCCCAAATCAGGGAGGTGCCATTGGGCTGGCATGTCCTCACGTTAAAGCAAAATCATGTGCACCATTAACAAAACAGTACATAACAGTACTGAAACTTGCTACAACAGTAACAAACCTCTTTAACGAAGGACATATATCGGCCATCTTTTGCATAGGATCCATATTCATTTTCCACCTGAAATGCAATGACGGGGCCTCCGTTCACGTACTAAAACAAAGACCATAAATGTTAAAATTGACAACTGGACAGTCATAGGCTTGAACAAGTCTTTTCTTAACAGGACAGAATGGAATTCATTACTGGGGAACCACAGAATACGTTGTTGTTCACGCTTAGTCAATGGCTGCAGTGAACCCATCAGCCTAAACACATTCCAATTCCCTTAGTTGTGCAATTTTGACGATTGCATACCTGGACTAATACAAATGAGCCGAATATGTTCTTTAGCTGTAGAACCTCCGTAACAATGGCTTTACACAGAGAGCTCACAGGACCGTAAAATAGGGTAGCCATTTACACTATCGCCACCTGTAATGGGACGACTCTCGGGATGAGCTCATCGAAGAAGGAGTTGACTGCTTTGGTGAAGCCAGGATAGGTGGTTCTTAACTTCATGTTCCTGTCACGCAGAAGCCAACTGGAAGGACAGGGAAACAGGGAAATGGAACAGTTTCAAAGCTGAGTTAAATTGGAAGAAACCAGTCACTTGGGTTATGATTCAGGCCTGGGTTAATACTACCGTTATATCTGAGGGTTAAAGAGGGAAACATCCATGCTGTTCTGAGAGGCTAAAGGGTCTCCACATCCCTCCACACACACACACACACACACACACACACCAGGCGAAATGCTCCACAAAAACAAAATTTGCACCACTGCCACTGCGGATACATATGTTGCACTGTTTTTTTGAGAGAGACCAATTTCAAAGATATTTTACGGTATTTTATATATTAACAGTTCTTTTAACACAAGCAGCAGGGCTGCAACAAATATCTGATTTCAATAAATGAATTAAATTGATTTTTTTTTATTTAAAAAACAGACATTTGCATAGACAGGAACTGGGCGATTCTGCATACGCAAGAATTAAAGAACCGTCCATTTTCAGTCCGCGTTAACGCAGAGTGGCAATGACTGCACTGGGCATCACGTCAGTTAACTTCGAGGTATTCATAGTATTAATAAAAATAATAAAATAAATATTTAAATGAAATAAGATTATGAAAATTTTAGTAGTAGTAAAAATAAAACCAGGAATAATCATGTCCTGAACCCCGCATCAGTAACGGCCGCCCCCCCCATACATAACATTCCTAATTAACAATTCTAAAATGGACAATTCCAAAATAAAACTAAATTTATTTAAAATGCATTGATAAATAAAAAACACTAAAAAATTATAACGTACAAAACTTCCCAATAAAACCTTCGTTTTACCCATCAGACTGCAAACACCCCCATCACAAGCGTGTAATGTCACTTTGGTTTCACAAGTACAACAAAAAGGAAAGGCTGCAAGTTCAAGTCGCTAAACCTAATACCTCCCGGCTGTCATCTCCCTGTTCAGAAATCAATGCAAGTACAAATATAGCACTTCATTGTCTTGCTGCATTGACTGTTAGATAGGTACCTGTAACTTAAACTGCAATGCAATCCAAAACTGGAGATTACTGGTAAAGCACGAGAACAAAACAAAAATGAAATGTGAAATCTAAAAACAAAACTGGACAAAGATCATCATGCAGGGTTCAAATTACTAGTGGATTAACTTAAGCTTGGCTTCATAAGTTATCAGTGACTATGCTCATGATTTTGTTTATAATATAATGCTGCCATTTTTTAAACATTACACGCCGTCACCTTCAGCTATACCGTCATGACCCAATCTTTAATGCTATATGGAAGTGTGAGATCCTGGGATGAAATGTTCACCACAATGGAGCTAAATTGGCATGCAGAGGTGGAGATTTCAGGTCCGGAGAGTACAAATCCAGACCAGGATTTTGTTTCAACCAACCAGTTGAGTATAAAGAGTCACAGTACACTCAACTGGTTGGTTGAAACAAAATCCTGGTCTGGATTTGTACTCTCTGGACCTGAAATCTCCACCTCTGTTGGCATGCGATGAGAAATCTCACCTAGGTAAGCCCCCGAGCTCCCACTCTGAACAGATGTAGGGTCCTGGACGGAGAATCACCCAGAGCCCCACCCGGCCTGCTTCCCTGATGTATGCCCTGAGACAACAACAAAGAAGATGTCAGACCAATGGCGCTATGACATCAACGGCAAATCACGGCAACTGTCTCAAGGTTCCTATAACAATGGGACCGTGTTCCTTCATTTGGACACTTTGCTAATGAGGTGCTCGACGTGCCCAAATACACGCAAACTGCAAAACGGGACGTTAAAAAATTGATCCTATTTGCTTGGCGAAATAATCAAAAGACAAGATAATTAGCTAGTTTTTCAGCTAGTATTAAGGAAATTCATTAAATGGGTTGTATCTCGCTGCAGGCAAAATGCTACGGTCTAGAAGGAAGAGTGCATTACTGCCCAGCTGGAGGAAAAGCAGCCATAATGACCTGGAACTCAACACGCCTCTAAATGAGATTTTGGACAAACCAAAGCAGGCAATTTACAGAAAAAAAAAACTGCTGATAGATTTAATTAGTTCTAAATCTTTGTTTTGATTTTAACTTTGCACAACATCATTACATCTCTTCTAGGAAAGATACATTCCTTTGTGAGAAGGTCAGTTTACTTTTTAATGCTGCACCTTGGCATATATAAACAGTGATTAAACAAGAGACTGCATTTGTCTGTTTCAGAGCAATAAAATGAGTGATAAAAAACACAAGGTCAATCTCACTCCAGTTCCAACTGCCAGTTGAAGTTGAAAACACCTCTTTCTGGTTCATGCAGATTCCAGGCCACATACCTGGAAGGCAATTCAATACTTCAGAGACAATTCTAGGATTTTTTTTTTTAAGTGAGGGGCATAGGATCATACAAAAGGGGCCAACCTTACCATAGCCAATAATATTTTTTGAATCTCTAAGTGACAGGGGAAGGGGGCCAATCAGCTTTCAGCCGAGACCAGCATTTACACCCCTGTAGAGTGGCAACCCTGCATCTGTGGTTTCAGTAACCCACGGTTCACCGCCGCCAATGCCAGCATATTTATAAGATAAGATGTTTTTTAACAAATAATTTTCTCATTACATGTTATGTACAGATACATGATACAATATATTTCAATGTAAAATGTGTAACAGCAGCCTGTGGTTTTTCACTGCTCCGTCATCCTTTGACGCATGATATTTTTCCATTGCTATATTGTCTCTTAAGAATTCGGCTAAAAGGTTAGAATCCCTTTAATTTGAGAGAGCTGGAGAGTACAGTACTGTACAGTACTGCATATTAATGTACAATGTGCTTTATTGTTATTATATTTAATATTGGAAATGTCTACTTGCGTGTGATTTATCAATTCAACTTTACCATATGCATATACATGAAAAACACGTTATATATGGGGTCTGTGGATGGTATCTGCAGACCCCATATAAAACATAAAACCCAGATTTTGTGGGTAATATTGCAAATTACTCTTGAGTGGACCAGTGGGCAGGTCATGTACTTACGTGGTGAGAGTATTGATCCCACAGGCCTTCATCTTCAGCAAGCGGTCACTCCAGTAGGCCCTGGGGACCCGGAAGTAGTGCATGGATCCCCCGAGGATGCGGAATGGCTCTCCATCCAGTGTGAACTGGGATGAGTTGGCGGTCAGCCCTACTCTTCTCAGTGGCGTCTCCTTTTGGGAGTCTCTGGGAAAAAGATGGACCAGGTGTGCTCCCCAAAATTAGCTACTGAGGGAATGTTTCTCATTTGAATTCAACTGCAATGGTGACAACAATCTGTGAGAAAGTGCTGTTATTTATAATGAAAATTAGTAGGGCACTGTATTTCGTACCGGTTGCATGTCGACCTAGCAACCCTTGCAGCAATACAATCACTCCAACACATTTTAGCCATTTAATCAATGCACTTTAGGAGAGTCCTATAAAAGTGCAAAATGTCTGCACATCAGCAAAAAATGTCATCAGAATATAATCTCGAACACAAGCTACAATGAAAAGAAAATAACATTAAGATCCTTAAACGGATGACACCATGTGCATAAATATGAGGCAAATACAGAACCAGAACAATAGCAAAAGTTAATACACGAGGACCTGGCCAGACAGTGGGCTTCGAACTTACCTAGAAAAGTGCCAGATAATTATCCCCAGGATTCCCAGAAAGAAAACGACGCGGCGCCGCTTGTAAACATGATGCAAGTTAAAAATACTCATCGAGCTGTCACTTATGTCGCGATTTGGAAACGAAAAGAAGACTGTGCAGGATAATGTTTTCGGGCATCTGGCGTGATGATTCACGCAGTAGGAGGTTAATATTTTCCGGAAGAGCCGGAACCCTGAAGTGCGGATCGCGCCGCCCACGGTGATATTCCAGGCGTCAAGTGTCACTGCCTGATAACATAAATTAAAGATAAATTAAAAGCGATCGCAACCAGAAGAGCTCCTATCCTCATCTGCTGCGCTCGTTTTCAATCCGAGGGTATCATTTATTTCTATATAAGTGCTTCCCGCATCAATTCGGTATTAATCTAACGCGTGCGATTCCTTGAATAAAAGAAACGCAACTGAAACTACGGGATTTGATGTTTATCAATGGGTTACTGTACGCGATGACCCATGCCTTATACTCACAACTTCTACCGACAGCCATCTACGAACTTCTTCCCGAAGTTTGTTTCTGTGTCACTTCCCGCCCATACGCGGCAGTAACTGGAGGATCATGGAGATTGACGGGTCTCCCCGCCCAGCGACATGCGGCCGCCCTTTTATTACCGGCTTATTTACGGGGACCTGCTACAGCGCGCGCCTATTTGTACTGTGGCATTTTATGGGATCGGTCGAATTTTAAAATGTTACATTCGCCCCAAAGAAAATACAAAAACAGTTTGTGCATGAAAGTGTAACAGATACTGTAACATGGTTACAGGCCTATAACTATAGCTTTGATTTGTTTAGGAGTAATAACCTACGTATATTCTGCACGACATGAACTGCAAATTTTATAATTCGCCCTTGCACAACCATGGTGATTTTTTTTCATAATGATTGAAAATCTTGAAATGACGAGTCTGACAAGAAACATGTTGTACTTAAGCCCGACAAACAAACTTATAAAAGGCTGTGTTTTTCTTGGCCAGTTTTATTTCCAGTGGTTGCAAAACCAATCAATACTAATCAGACCAGTAGCAAGGCGATCATTCAGACCTGCCTGATCTATAAACCTGGTCAAGCAGATTAAAACCATGTATTACCATGAGTGCAACAGGGCTGCCAACTCACGCATCTGGCGTGACACTCACGCAAGAAATCCCACGGCAATGTATATTATTCCATTATAAACCTAAAATTAGCTAGGCCTACATCAAAAGCGTTGAGGTGGTTTGCAAACTCTATAGCCTATATATTTACAAGGTAATAAAATTCTTACATGCATGTAAATGTGTTTTCATGTGTTGTCAGACTTGTATCGAATTGAAAATCTCACTCCAGCCAGCTGACCGAGGTTGGCAGCCCCGGTCTAATTACCCTTTAAATCCACGGACTCAGATGAGGGAGCCTTGGCCTCACGTGGTGGTTAAATTTTCATTTGAACGTGAGACAGAGTTTCTAAAGTGAATACAGTTTAAGCTCAGACTCCCCACCCCCATCCACAAAGTAATTTTCTCTGGGACCGAATAAATTTCTTCTAGTGGCATTGTGTTCTTTCTTGGGTGAAAAGAAAACGTCATTAAGTGGAAATGATTGTTTGCAGACACACCTTATTGCGCATACGTTACGAATACGAAACTCCACAGCAGGATAAAGGAGATTTGGAGGACGTTAATTCCGATTCAGCTCCCTCTTCCCGATCTGCTACAGCGGCGTTATCCCGTTTGCTCGCCATTATAATCGATCTTGACGGGTGAAAAAGGGGGTTCTTGTTAATGCTAATACAAGCCGCATAAACACAACTTCTAGTTTTATTTCTGAATCTAAAAATCTATACATAAGTCACATATCAAAGGCAAAGTTTTCATAAACTGAACAAACCAAGTTCTGTCTCTTTATTTTAAATTAAGTTATGTTGTGATCTCATTTGGCAAAATCAAGCAGTTCTCGGCTTCTAATCTCACTGAATATTTTTCTGACAAACAGTAAGTCCAAAAAAAATTATTCTAGGTGGGACAGCCAACACCCAAATTAAATCTGATACGCTGTGAAACTCGAACCCCTATTTCAGTTTTATTGTCCCGGGTGATAAGCGTGTAACGGCCGTAAGCCATAGCTGATTTGCATTTAACCATTTCCGCTTTAGGCTACTTCTGTTACATCTAGAAATGTGAAAGCCTTGGTATTATGGTATGAGCAGAGTAATCATGTGCTGTGTGATGTCAATGGTATACTTCTTTAATTTGTTATTGGGGTGAATTGGTTGGAGGCCATTTCGACGTGTAAAATAAGTTGTTGTGGAAGTGTATATTGGTTGGACATGTATTTTGAGAAGCATTTGGTTTACCCCCATATAGAAAGCTTGCTCTCAAAATGAGAAACAGAACACATGTAACTAAAAAAACGGGGACTGAGTTCTGATAAACTGGCAGTAGAAGATTGGCGAGTAGCGACATTCATCCTTCTTAGTAATGCCATGATGTACAAGGCATACATGCAAGAGTAAAGTACATCCTCAAGATCTGACCAATGGAAACAGGTTTGTTTAGGGATTTAAATGCTGGTTGGCTCTTCATCGATGTCAACATATAGCCTACGCACCAGCCAATCCAATACTTGATGGGTGGGATATTTCCTCAGCGATTCAGATGTATGTAAGCCGTGTACGTTACATAATTAATGCTACCAAACATGGACAGTGACAGAGGTTTCCTGCGGTAACCTTAACTTACAGTTAGACACAGATACTGTAGTATGAGAAACCTATGTAGTATTAAAGTTGGATGCATGAATGAAAGTGTATTGTAAAATGAAAATAAGCAAATAGTCAAAATGGTGAAGATAATCAGAAAGCTGTATGCCAAATAGTCTGGGAAACATAAATTATAGAAACTCAACGGAAAACATAAAAAAGAACTCAAGTTTCCGTCGTTGTTGTTAACACATTTGAACAACATGGAGGCCTTTATGGTTGGTACAAGATGTGTTTATTCAGCAAATACTACCATTCAGGTTGTCTAAATACGTTTTGATTTTACAGCACCATCTATAGGTGAACCTCGAAATACTTTAGGGTGCGCACGGATCTTGCGTTTTACTGTATAGCTACCTAAATTAGGATTCTAAATCTGAAAATTCCAGCTCAACATTTTAACCCAGTAAGTGTTGTTAAATGCATTTTAATGAAAGTGACTCATATATCAACATACTTACTGTTATACATTTCCGTAGGTGTTTATAAAATAACTGAAATCACCAGCGCCATTTAAGATACAATGTAGCAAAACTTAGCTACTCTGGGTTTCCGCTTACCCAGTCTGGGTGGAGTTAAATCCCAGGCGGAAAAAAATAAGGCGAGGTTAAAGTTTATTGCAAGACTCTGCACATAGTGAAAGTATAATAGTGGAACCATTAACTTAGGCTCCCTAGTGTAAATCGGAGTACAAAAGGCGAAGTGCCCGCGGATCAGAACCGTGCTGATTTGCTGTTCAGCAAACGCATGAAGTACGTGCAATATATTGCTATTTAACTCTAAACATGACGCTTGTCTCGGCCTCTTTCATTGTGTGCCACCTTTCAGGTCCTTTTTCTAGATTTTGCCGTGCTGCCCCGTCCCTGACCAAAGCGGAAAGCACAGTTACTGTGGATGCTCTATAGTGGCGCACAGGGTGAGTTAACTTGGAAAAACTTCTCTTAACAGAAAATTTAATTACTGAAACCAGCGTTTTTTTTGTATTTCTCCTGCGGTTAACTAATGCGTTATGTCAGTGAGATTTACTAGACCGTTGCTATGAGACGTGTGTGGGTATGTAAGGAAAATATATTTAACGCATTTTAATAGAAAATTTGCATAAACTTAAAATTGTCCATGGAAAAAAAAACTGTACTCAGGACACGTAGCCCGTCTAACCCTGGTGATTTTACGGGGTAGTTTATACGTCGCGTTTGTATTCGTAAAAGCGCATTCATGAAGTAACAGACGATGGAAATTATATTATGATTAAATCATCTTTCCTTTTCACTGTAAATTATTGCAGCGTATACCGGAACGTAATATACACTATAAGGGATACTACGCATATACCCAACCTCCCGAGCTGCTCGTTCGCTATCCGAGAGAAAGACATTACCAGGCTTTGCTCCGTGCAATACTGATAATACCTCAATGAAATCGACATGAGTGCTTCAGATCCGTATACTGTACATCCATACCTGATATATATTGTCAGTTGCAGCTTCGCCAACTTTGGTCAGCTGGCTGGCGTGAGATTTTCAATTCTAGATAAATCTGCACACTCGTTTACATGTATGTAACAGATTTATCACCTTGTAAATAGTCTGTAGGGTTTGCAAACTGGCCCAACGCTTTTGATGTAGCGAATCTTAGGTTTGTAATGGAATAATATAGATTTTCCGTAAGATTTCTTGCGGGCGCCCGAGAGTCTGAAAGTGTGAGTGTCACGCCAGATGTGTGAGAGTTGGCAGACCTGCAGTTGGTTCTTAATTCTTTGTCATATACTCTTTAAACCTTGGTGTTTAAGTATGGCATGTACAGGTTCATAGGGGTGAACCATTGCATCTGAAGGCTGTCATAGAAACTTCACCCTTTGGTGTACAGCATAAGGTCTCTGAAGTGGCAGCCCTGCTGTATGAGTCCCATGTTGACAGCAGTTTTAGCGCAGCTCCCCGTGTTCCTGATTGAGTGCTTTGTTATTCAGGAATTACACCGAAGAAATGGCGAAGAATATGAGACAGGGGCTGACCGCTAATTCGTCCCAGTTCACGCTGAATGGAGAGCCAATCCGCATCCTTGGGGGATCCATACACTACTTCCGCGTCCCCAGGGCCTACTGGAGTGACCGCTTGCTGAAGATGAAGGCCTGTGGGATCAATACTCTCACCACGTGTGTATACAGAGCAAACCGTTACACCGCTGTCGCACTAAACCGCCCCGCTCTTGGCACGAGCCGCTTGGAGCTCCTTTGGTTTGCCCTTCACCGCTGCTGCTCTTCTTCCCAGGTACGTGCCATGGAATCTGCACGAGCCAGAACGGGGAGTTTTCGATTTCCAAGGACAGCAGGACCTCGAGTGAGAAAGACCTCCGCACTTCAGAATGCCATGACTCGCGCACATTTCTGCACAGACTGTCTTTGCTCTCTGTCATTCATTTAGCTTAAGCCTCTCAGAGGATTTTTCTGTACTTTCTGATCACTGTTGAGAGAAACCTAACTTGGAGCAATCAGTGCGATCAAATACTTATTTTGCGGAAGGTTTTATCCAAGGTGATGGACATTTTTGAGAAAGTAGGGTCAGGCAGCCCCTGGGGCATTTGGGAGTTCAGTAGTAAAATCACTCTGCCAACCCTGGGATCTTAACCAATGATCACAGCCAAATCAGCTTTGGAATAACAGTGCCCTGATACTGTTGCCCTGAGGAAAATATATGTCTCTTAGCAGCATGTGGATTATTCACTGTTAATCCTCAACAAAAAAAGGTTAATGTACTAATAGCACTTTTGTCACACAAAACACAAGAGGATAGGCCTTCGTTTCAGGAGATTATCTGTGGCCCTTGGAGTGCACTTGGCATCCAACAGTTTTCCTTTTCTCCCTCTTTGTTCAGAAAAACACGACAACCCGACAGCTGAAGCTACTGACCCAGAAAAAAACTGATCTCTCAAAGAGGTGGGGAGATTTGTCACTCTGGCACCATGGGTTTGATGTTTTCATGTCGGCATTTCAGGGCATACATCAGGGAGGCAGGCCGGGTGGGGCTCTGGGTGATTCTCCGTCCAGGACCCTACATCTGTTCAGAGTGGGAGCTCGGGGGCTTACCTAGGTGAGAGAATTAATATTTAATTTGTATGTTTTTCTATAGTTTGAATGGAGTGGACTTTGTATGTGTGTGGTAGGAATTACCCTCAATGCAAGCTTGTTAAACATGAAATGTCTCTACTAGTTTAATATCACAGACATAAAAGCAAAGTCCAGTTCCTGAGCTATTGTAAAACTTTCCCAGCTGCAGCTCAAAGCTTGCTTTTGACCCAGAAACATTGCCAGTAAAGCTTTTTGTTCTGAAATGCTGCTCTTTTGTTTTGTAGGCGAGTTAGTAGTGTGCTACCTCAAACCAGAAGCTCACCAGGTGGTCCAATTTATGCAGACACATATTCTTAAACATCCATTGTTTAAATTTCCAGTTGGCTCCTGCGTGACCCAAACATGAAGTTGAGAACAACCTACCCTGGCTTCATGAAGGCGGTCAACTCGTTCTTTGATGAACTTATGCCTCGGGTGGTGCCCCTGCAGGTGACTCACATTCTGTATGATATATATATATCATCCATTTTTCCCATCATACAGCATAACTGTCTGCTTTAGGGATTCTCGACCTTTCCAAACAAAAGGCCTGCATGATGACCAATATAAAGGCTCACCTGTAATTTTTGCCAACTGGGGGAGGGGTCTTCCTTGGTAATTTTGGATCTGGGTTCTGTAATGGCCTCTTACAGACCAAGCTTCCTTTACCTGATATACGTCCATGGTCCACTAGAGGGTGCTCACCTGGTCTACTTTCTAGATGCTGCATGTTAACAAGATCCTTTTCCTTAAATGAAAATGGAATGAGACCAGTCCATACAGAAGTTGGCCGTGAGGGTTTTATTGTTGGCAAGGCTGGTTACATTTCGTCTTTTACAGTTTCATAAGGGCGGCCCCATTATTGCCGTTCAAGTGGAGAATGAATATGGCTCATATGCTAAAGACGACCAGTGCTTGCCGTTCATAAAAGAGGTGCGTATTCTTGCAGTGTTACTTCATAGCTATTATGGAGAACATCTACTTGTATCTTTTCCTCTGACGATTCTTACGCTTGTAGATTGCAGATGATATTGCAATCTCCATATATCATTTTTATATAATGCTCTCATTCTGGTTATGAAATGCTCAGTCTAGATTAGTCGCTACATCTAAGCTATAAGGATATTTGGATTTTTAGAACCAGTCTTGCTTCCTCCTTTTGTGAGCGTTACAAAGTGACGGGCATTATAAATTTCCCAGTGAGATGTATATGTATAATTTTTTTTACGGTGGATGATTGTCTACTCCAATGGATCACTCTTCCTCAGTGGCAGAGCCAGAAAATTCTGTTGGGTAGCCAAGGTGGGGCCAGAGGTCATTTTGGGGCGGCACATACATCTAAATATGAATATAAGGCATTTAGAAAATAAGGGAACATTTAAGGTACCTAAATGCTATGACTCTACATTGTTTATAATTCAGGCAGTGGTTCCCACTACGTCCACAGCCACCCCTTGTCACCCCCCAGATCCGTGTATGTTCTTCCTTATAGGCTATGCTGTCCAGGGGAATCTGTGAGCTTCTGTTAACATCGGATGCCCATGATGGATTCAAGTGCGGAGGCGTAAATGGAGGTGTTAAACTGTTCCTAAAAGTTTTTCTCACTCTGTATTTTGTAAACTGTATTTCCAGTGTTCAGATTAAATATACATTCAACACAATGTGACCTCATTCTTCTTTCCTTTTTTTTTTTTTTACCAAAGCCCTGAAGACCATCAATTTTCAAAAATTAACACCTGAAGTACGAAAGCATTTGGAGAAAATGGCGGTAAGTTTCAACAGTCTGCCTCTCCTTTTGACCTCCGCATGTAACATGATTGTTAACCTTGGGTGACATTTTCAGTCAGTTGTATGGTGAGGGAGACCAAACGTACCAAGAAATATTCTGTGAGACAGGCTTAAGAATTCATGGAAGTTGGTTTTGTGGTGGACAGTTCATTGTTTAACAGCCATTATACGTAAAAGACATCAGCATCACATCTAAATGGTACAAAGTATAGAAGCAAGCCGATTCCTCAGGTACGTCTAGCTGTGATAGTCACAGGGCTCCAAGGATGATGGTGACATTAGAGGCTGTGAGCGGTAGCAGACAGACTCTTTGGTGATGCTGTCAGTCTGATCCCACGGGGATAAGGTGTTGCTTTTCATACATGCTTTCACAGCCTGAAAAGCCAAAACTCGTGATGGAGTATTGGACTGGGTGGTTTGATGTCTGGGCGGAGCCTCATCACACCTTTAAAGCTGAGGGTGAGGCTCTTTCCGTGTCACACCCACGCTGTCATTTTCTTACAACATCCTGTATGACCTTTTGCTCATGACAACTGATTTTTGGGGTCCTATCTGATTGTTTATTTCTGTCATCTCAGAAATGGTTTCCATAGTAACAGAGATTTTGAAACTGGGCATGTCCATCAACCTTTACATGTTCCATGGTGGAACCAGCTTCGGGTTCATGAATGGAGCTACAGATCTGGGGACGTACAAGCCACAGGTCAACAGCTATGGTGCGTGCATCTCCTGAATCCCACTTTACGGGGGTGATGTAATGTAGATAGTTGTCAACTCTTTCTGAAAATGTAAAAGTGACCGAAGGTTTGGTTGCATTTGTTATTCACCTCCCATCTACTCTGAATTCTAGTGTTCCCTTATTGGGTACTCTGGAGATAATGACATGACACATTTCAGCTGTAGTGAAGAGTGGGTTGGATCAGGGAAAGTACTCGACTCAAATCCGTTTTTAAGCATTTGCTACTCTAAAGGAGTTGCTTCTCTTCCAGATTATGATGCACCTCTGACTGAGGCGGGGGATTATACTACAAAGTACCACCTTCTGAGAGAACTATTTGCAGGGTACCACAGTAAGTATTTAGCTTTGGGGCCTGAGTCGGTATGTGTTAGAAGTCTGGGTTAGTTATCAGTCTCGGATATGCAGTAAATCTTTTAGTTTGATAACATTACTCTGTCTTTTTACATCACATCAGTCCTCTTGGGTTTTTTTGTTGAGGTGAGGACTTACCCGAGATGCCTCTTGAGACCCCCAAAGAGGCTTATCCTTCAGTTGTTATTGGTCAGTATCTGCCTCTGTGGGAATCCCTTCAGCTAATAGCGGTAAGAGAGGACCGTCATCATACCTTGTTTTGTTTTTTTTTAAATAATGTAACGTGAACACATCCCATGTCTGCTTGTGTCTTGCCTAGAGGGTTTCAGGCTGTAGTCGCCTGGTTGACTGCACTCAGAAGGAAGGGGTACCTTTGCGTGTCACTGGGGCAGGTTCTGTACCTTACATTACTGTACATTTTAAGGTACAGAAATGGACCATGGAACAAGCAACATTAATGTGTCCCCAGTGGTTTAAAAAAAAAAATAAAAAAATGTTCCCCATAGTCCATCTCTCTACCTTAAAAGGTACAGTTACCTAGAACTAGGGGCGCAATTGGCAGTCCCTTGGGGGTACAGCCCCCTGTGACACGCAAAGGTACAAATTGGTGCCCTTGTACTGATGTCGATACAAAAGATGATTAAAGCTGACCGGCTGCTCTGTTGCCACCTTAAGCCTCATGAGTCAGAAAGACCCGTCAATATGGAGAACCTGCCGGTGAACAACGGCAACGGACAGTCCTACGGCTACACGCTGTACGAGACCAACATCACCGGCGGAGGAATGCTAAACTCCAGGAACCACGTGCGCGACAGAGCCCTGGTGAGTCTGACTAACCGAGAACCGAGAACAATCCTGCCAGCATCTTCAGTCGAGGTGTTTGTTAGTTGGAGAACTGGATTTTTCTGAAAAGGGTGTGGATTCAATCCCTGGGGTCTATTTTGTATTCAGAAAGCTCAATATCCTCATTAAAGATCCAGCTATCTAATATAATTACTCTTCATTATGCAGTTATTATAAATATTGTCCATCTTCCTCAACTCATATCAACTGGTAACATTTATTACCTATTGCCATTATACAAAATATCTGGTATATGAAATGCAGGTTCATACCATTGGAAAAAAAAAATGTCTTGTCAATTCTAGGTGTTTGTGGACAAACGCTTCATTGGCATCCTTGACTACAAGACTCAGGAACTACCAATACGCAATGGGCAGGTAAATGTCTTTTTTTTTTTTTTTTCCCCATAGCTTCAAAACACTAAAGTTTGTGATGGTTACTGAACCACTGGCCTTGTGGTGGGGTTGGTGCCCCATCCTGGGTTATTCACTGGCTTATGCCTATTGTTTCTGGGATATGCTCCGGACCCCCGTCACACTGCATAGAAGATGGATGAACGAATGGACTGATCAACTGTAAAACACAGCTCTGAATATTGTTCTGTATTAGACATAGAGGCTTTAAAAACAAGGGTTGGTAGAAGGAAATTACTGTACTTATGAAGCTTATAAAAATATCAGATGTTTTTGAGAATGTTACTGATTTCAGTTCATGTAAAGTTTTGCATTTCCTCTTCGAAGAACATCTCACATTTCATTTACATGATGAAATATCACCAGGCCAGAGAGTCATATTATTTTATTGCAGCAATATTTTTCTCTGGATAGTTTTTTTTTATTATTTTATTAAAGGGAGAACAAAAGCTGAGTTTGCTTGTGGAAAACTGCGGCAGAGTGAACTATGGAGAGGCCTTGGACAAGCAGCATAAAGGTAGAGTGACAGTCACACCCATCTCTGCTTGCATGCTGGGAGCTCCAGCAGGGTTGAAGCGGGACGCTTACCTCCGTGTTTCCGAACCCGGTCCTTGGGGCCCCCAGATGGTTTTCGCTCTCTGCCAGTTGCCTGCTAGACAGACCACATCTTTGCCCATTTTTGAGCGAAAACGCAGCCTGTCTGAGGGTCTCCAAGGACTAGTTTGAGAAACACTGATCTTCTGAATGATTTGAGCAGGCCGTATTTTATTAATGTATAAACAGCAACGGGAAAAAAAAGAATAATTTTTTCTTCCTCATGTTTTCTCTCTTAGGCCTGATTGGTAACATTGAACTGAACCACGTCCCACTTAGAGATTGTACCATTACCAGCCTTGAAATGAAGCCTGGATTTGTGAACAGGTTTGTACTTCCTACTGTGTGCCGGTCTTCATTATATAAATATAAAACGCGCGATTACGAGTTGCCATTTAGTATCACCTACTGGTGGTTTAAACCAATTTCTTAGATTCTCTTCTGTCACTGAAGCCCTGGGGCTTTTCTTTCAAAAGTTAAGGTGCATTTGTACTATTTAGTCATTATTAGTTGCCTGTAATACTGGCTTCCTCTGCTGCCCCCTGGAGGACGGGCTCCCCCTTGAGTCTGGTTCCTCCCAAGGAACTGACCTCTGGCTTGCTCACTGGGTGCTTCTGGCGGGGGTAATGTGAAATGTTTTGAGACAATGTAATGTTGAGAAAATGCACTATACAAAAATAAATTCACTTCAGTTGAATTGAATATGAAAAGGCATAGTGGAGACTTATGGCAGTGTATCGTCTCCATGTTGACAGAAATAAAATTTGCCCAGTTTCTTCTTTTGATGAGAAAAGCCTTTCATGTAGGCTCTGAAATATATACATGCATTTGGTATAGCTGTATATAGATTTGAATGACCATAACACCTAAACCACTGTAGAGTTGGACGAGACTTTGTGTGGCTACTTGTCAGATATAGAAGACCATTTCCAAGTCAAATAGGAGACATATTTTGCCTTGTTGCAAAGATTTGAGCAAATATATTAGCTACCATAAAACCCATAGTATTTCTGCACTAGCATACTATGTGCATATGGCTTGACCACAGTCTCATCCCAAGTATTGAGTGAAACTAAACACATCATTATCAGTTTGGTTGTCCTTGTTGAAAAATAATTGTTGTACCGAGGCTGTACGTGGCAAACTAAGTTGATTTTTGATTCTGAGCATGTCCATTGTCTGCATCTGTGTGCAGCTTATCGAGTGCTATTTCTTTAAACGAACCTTGGTGCCTTTCATTTGCGAACTTGGCGATTTTTCTGTGTTTCAGGCTGAGCTCACTGTGCTGGAAACCGCTGGGGCAGGAAACTGGCCTCCCAGCGTTTTTCCAGGGTACGCTGATCGTGGACGGCGTCCCGTCAGATACATTTATCAAGCTACCGGTGAGTTCCATTCAGGAAACGCCCATCCTTGAGGAAGGAGATGTCGTCTCCAACTGATGTGCTGCACTGACTTTGATCCCCAGGGTTGGAGTAAAGGCGTCGTCTTTGTGAATGGACAGAACCTTGGACGGTACTGGTCCATTGGGCCTCAGCAAACCCTTTATCTCCCAGGACCCTGGCTCAAGACTGGACAAAATGAGGCATGTCCATACATCTTTTGCTGGGGGAAAAAAAAGAAATACTATTTTATAAATGCATGATATTTTCACAAGAATCAGTCCTATTCAAGCACCAAAATTGAACACTACACAAAAGTGGAAGTATTTTAAAATATTTACTTCATGATTGCTCAAACTAAATTTCAAACTTTGACACATACCTTTAGTGTGTTAGCATAGTTGTACACATCCTGCAGCATGCATGCTGGATTCTGAGACCTGTTCACTTGACTTTGCTGCATTAAAATGCATCGTTGTGATGTTTTTGGCGCATTTCTGCCGAAGCGGCGTTCGGCTGCTGCATTGACTTCTGTTCCTTTTCATAAACTACAGATCATTGTGTTTGAAGAACAGAAAAAAGGGAATGACATCCAGAGTACCTGCTCTCCTCATCTGGCAAAGACCAGCGTAAAAAAACATTTCATTTGTTCTCTCCATTAAACATAAATAAACATGTGTCTCATTTCAAAGTCTATATGCTATAATTTATTTGATCAACTCTGTGCTACAGCCTAATTTCTGGGGTACATCTCTCTCCACCCCCCCCCCCACCCCCCCATCCATTTACTCATGATTCTCAAACATACTTCATACACTTTTCTTCCCCACACTGACACTATGTATCTTGAATTGCATCAAAAAGAAATACAGTATTTATTTAACATGAGGATGACAGCAGCTCATGCGTGCCAAGTTGCCCCATAAATGTATTGTATAAATTTGTGCATTTTGTTTTTTCCCCACCAGTAAAATGGAGCAGAGGGCTTCCCACAATGCCAAGGACCAGAATACCACGTGATATGTGGGGCCCCTCCCTGTGAAAACCGAAGTTTCCCAAGTGTTCATGCTGCCCCCATACCTACAATGTCAGTCCCTAACAAATGAAGAATTATATAATAAAAATCAGCTTTGCTATCAAATCCCTGTCACACAGTTAAATTGAATGCCCCTGTCTTTAGAATGAACCGAATGTGTCATGGTGATAAATATCTACTGGAGAAATTTCTGTGATTTAATATTTCAATGTAAGGAGTCCATTGTGAGATTCCGTATGAACATTACCAAAGGTTGTAAAGACTAATATGCCTTTTAGGTTCATTATAAGATGAGGGACCGGTTGTCCCTGGAGGAGGGACCGGTGGGTCCTGGGAAAGGTACCCAGGATTGGATGCACCTTCCCTGGGGTGGACATCCATGGAAGTACCGGTGGGAGTTCCAAGAACATAAGTACTTAGGTAGAGATACATGTAATTACTTGTACGTACACACACACACATCCGTACCTGCCCTGTCATTTTCCTGTTTAACCAGCAGGTGCCACTGGCCATTCCATTCTTAAAGTGTTTCTCAATATGCACACTTGACTATACTTGTGTTGCCATGTTAGGTGATCTTCCATTGCCGAAGACCAGTTCCAGCACTAAGAACAGAAATGCAGAGGATAATAAAAATCCTCAGATGTTGTTCCTACCCCACCCCAAATATCAAGGTTGTATTGGTTGCATCCTTGCCAAACGAGACCAATCCCATGATTCATTCTGGCCCAAGTTCGTTCTTGGGGGGTGGAGTTATTGTCCTCACTGTTTAGTAATTATAACGATCACCTGTGTTATTCCTAGTCCTAGTCCTGTAAATTCTGACTTTTATCTCAGAATTCTGACTTTTTTCTCAGAATTCTGAATTTAGAAAAAAAAAGTCCGAATTTTGACATTAAAGTCAGAATTCTGAGAAAAAAGTCAGAATTCTGAGATTAAAGTCAGAATTCTGACATTAAAGTCAGAATTCTGAGAAAAAAGTCAGAATTCTGAGATTAAAGTCAGTATTCTGAGAAAAAAGTCAGAATTCAAATAATATTTTCATGGTGGCCCTAATCCTCTTCCGTAGTTTCGTCACCCGTTTTCAGTGTAACAACTTTTTTTTTTTACTAACCTAATCTTTCAACATGGCGACAACGCGCGATGCTTCAATCACCGAATATGCGGTTCGCATGTAGAGCGCGTCTTGTCATGAAACTGACTGGCTATACAGACACAGTACGTTCTCTGAGCGCATGTCAGTTCCTAAAAAACAAAATACAGTCTCTTTCTATTAATCGGCTACAGCTCTGACTGAATATGAGAGTGTTATTAACACACACATATAGGCCTAAAAGGTTCAGATTCCGTGAACAGGTGTTGTGCCCGATGAACGAGAACATTTTATTTATTTACTAGTATAAACTATAGTACTAAACTCATTAGTTTATTAGTCTATGAGCAATGAAGTCCTTGGGTTTATTCACAAGCCCAAAGAAAATTACACAATATGATTTCTTACATTTAATAGCCTAATTTGATCAAATGACAGAAAGAAGCAGGGGGTGGGGTGGGGTGGGGTGGGGGGTGCATTTTATGCACCCCTTTCAAAAGTGGTTGTACTGAAATTGAATCTATGAAACTTGCTGATGTAATACTTTTTGGTCCACTGTGAGTATTATCAAAACATTTTATAAGATAACCTGAGACGAAGATCCAGAGAGGGTACTTTTTGCAACATCTTATCTGTCAGGAAATGCACCCCCTTTAAGTCCTGGCTCTTTTGATATTACATAAATGAAACTTGCTCAGATAGTATATTTTAGTCCACCGTGTGTACTATCAAAAGCATGTTTTGATATTATCACCTGAGAGAAAGAAAATCCTGTACGGCTGGCAACCCTAGTCATTGGTCTGCCGCGGGGTTTCTTCCCACTTGGATATGCCCTAAGCAGCCCAACCTAGATAGGTGCTCGTATCACCTCAAACGCCTCCTTTACATGTGGAGGAGCAGCGGCTCTACTTTGAGCTCCTCCCAAATGCCCGAGCTCTAAGGCTGAGTCCACACACTGCGCGAAGGAAACTCATTTCTGCCCCTTGTATCCTTGATCTCATTCTTTCAGTCTCTATCCAAAGCTTGTTACCAAACGTAAGGGTAGGAACTACCGGTAGATAGATACACCGGTAAATACATAGCTTCGCCTTCCGGCTCAGCACTCCCTTCGCTGCAGAACGGTACAACGTCCGCACCGCTACTGCTTTGCATGTCGTTTTCTATTGGTCAGAATCTTTGTCACGTTGATCTGGGAATTTCAATGTGATTCACAAATATCTAATAGTAGACGTATTGTACGTAACCCTGGTTACGTCGGCATATGTTAGGGAAATATCGTACGGCTTCATGACTACATAGGAACTATTTGGTCGGTTCAAGTTTAAGCACCATACGGTCGGCATTTTTTTTTGAAAGCCTGTTTCGTGGGTTTAATTCACCGGCCTATTGGTGACAGCGGCGTTACCTGAAAAGGCTGATAAAATAACAAGCGTGTTTATAGAACCGAATGTAGAGGCGGTCAGGTGGCGATCCGATGCGCCTGGAACAGATATAAACGGAGACCTTTGAATGTTCTCAGAAGTATCAGTTATTTATTTTGTAGGTGTTACAAATGATTAACTCGGTTTGTTGGCGGTTATTATTCACATCTCCAGTACGGGTCCTGTAAATTCCTTGATTGCGAGTAGGCAGCTGCGTTTTAAACGGCTTTTCTTGACGATCTGTTTTTGTAGTTATATTTTACCGAGACATGGGCTTGATCAGTCACATTATCGCGGCGTTCGGGTGGACTGTTGTTGTTCTCCTTATAGTGTTGGCGATTGCAGCTTACAAACTTGGAGTGCTTTTCCAGTTGTTTCACAAGGTAGGTAACAGTGATTGAGTGAAGGTAAATATTCAGTTGCACGCCTGAAGAAATGACTAAACGTACCTTGGGCGCTTTCTGGTTTTATTGTGTGACTAATAGATGAAAACACTTCAGTCTGTTTGCACGATAGAGTGCGTGATCTAATATGCAATAATATGCAAAGCTGCATGTCTTGTTTGATGGGGACGCATTTCTCGGTACCCAAATTCTATTTTTTTTTTTCGAGAACATGTCACTTAAGCCATGTTTGCACATGTAATTATTTTTGTTGTCAATGATCTCAGACCGAGAACAAGAGCTCTCGGCACGGTGGGGAGAGTGTGGCCGAGGTGCTGCGGGCGCACGGGATCCGCTTCATCTTCACCCTGGTCGGGGGTCACATCTCGCCCATCCTGGTGGCCTGTGAGAAGCTGGGCATCCGCATCGTGGACACCAGACATGAAGCCACTGCCGTTTTCGCGGCCGACGCCGTCGCCAGGCTCTCCGGTAAAATCTCCTGGCATTACCCTTTTCTCCACAAGTTACCTGGATAAGAATTTTTCTTTTTTTGTATCTTGATAAAAAGGGTAAATCTGGCGGAAATCTGAAAGAATCGGGTTTATTCCAGATTATACAGTTTGCAGGATGTTAAGTACAGTAATTGAGGCTGCCGTGTTATCAGATTTGTGTGCACCTTTGGACCAGCATTGATTCCCTTCTTGCTCAAAGGCACCGTTGGGGTCGCAGTTGTCACCGCTGGGCCGGGTCTGACAAACACCATCACAGCTGTGAAAAATGCACAAATGGCCGAATCCCCCCTACTCCTGATAGGAGGAGCGGCAGCCACGCTGTTACAGGTCGGTGCTAAGCTAACACCCATCTACTTCCACATCTGTTGCATTTATCCTGGTCTCAGCTGCAGTCACCATCATCATAATCATCACTTTAATGCTTAAAGTGTAATTAATTGCTCTAAATGTCCAGGGTAGGGGAGCCTTGCAAGACATCGACCAGATGTCCCTCTTCAAACCCCTTTGCAAGTTCTGTGCCTCTGTGCGAGCTGTGCGGGACATTGTGCCCGTGGTGAGGAAGGCCTTGGTAGTGGCCCAGTCTGGAACTCCAGGTATAATGTCATTCAACCACTGCAAAAAAAAAAATGTACAGTGTTTTCAAGCCCAGCTGGATTTCATCCCCAGCTCAAACAGTCACCTCTTTCTTTGTTTCTGTAGTATGATTCCAATAATATTTGAACTGTTTGTTTTCAGGTCCGGTGTTTGTGGAGTTTCCCATTGACACACTGTACCCCTTTCATTTGGTGGAAAAGGAATTTGTGGGAAAAGGTGCTCCCAAGGGCTTCATTGGAAACATTATTACCTGGTACAAAGGATTTTTTTTTTTTAATTTTTTATTGAAGCTTTTAAATCCATGTCAATTGACAAATCAATTTGAATTTCCATATTTGAAGTAAAATAGATGACAGTAAAACTTTAAAGTGTAGTTAGGGTTGTTATAAATGTCTATGATGTAATATGATTATTTCTGAGACTGTTGGGAAAACATAAAATAGCGATAAAGAGCATTTTTTGGTAAATGAAGATGTATCGATGTGTGAAGAAGGGTTTTCCTGTTCTCTGTCAGGTATCTCCATAATCACCTGAAAAACCTGTTTGCTGGGGCCTGGGAAAACAGGGATGTCTCTCCATTACCTGTAAACGTACCTCTGGCCACGGATAATCAGGTAAGGGGGCCGTCTCCGACAGGCAGACTCTCCGGGCTGCTTTCGAGAGCAGAGGGCTCATTTGGTGCCTGATAGCATTAGCTTCTTATACATACAGTACAGTGCTCACTGGAAGCCTTGGTTGCTTAATTCTGTAAAAACATTGCAAATGCATTGGTTTTGTAGCAAGCAGTTTAACATGTCTGTACAGATGATGTGTGCAGATATTTTTTTTTTTTTGACTATTTTGCCATTTATCATTGGCTTCCAAAGGGATGCCAAGCACACATGTTTCTTTGTTTTTGCAAAGGTGTTGCTAATTACAAAGCACCCAATGAGACTATTTGTCAATTAACTTAACTCGGAACATAAATCCAGTAAATGTGCAATATTTTTACTGAATTAAGCAAGTGTCCCAAGACTTTCTGTGCACACTGTAAATGTTAAAATATTTAGTGATACTACTTAAAAGCAAAAATACTTTGTTGTATTTAAATTTTTGATTGTAAACCATTGGGTTTTTTTTTTATTAGAATAAGGTCATATTAGCTTTTAAAGTCCAGCAGGTCATTTTGCAGAACCTGTGCCCTCATGTTAATTGAAACTAATTGCAGATGCTCCTTGTATTGTTGGTTATTCGAAACTGGTTCCTCTGTGTTAACCTCTGTAGGTGCAGCTGAGCGTGGAGCTGGTTAGCCGAGCCAAGAAGCCAGTGATCCTGCTGGGGAGCCAGACGACGCTGCCCCCAACCCCTGTTAACGAGCTCAGGTGCCTGGGCTTTGTGGGTGGGGGGTTATGCTGTTACTTTAGATTAAATACTCCTTTCACTCTTAGTATAGTGATTAAATGACAGGAACTGCTTTTTGTCTTAGTCGATCTGCTCCACAGTGAGTTTTGAATAGAGCTGGCAATTGTTGATTTAAATATCCTGTCATATCCTGTTATATCTAATTATGGGTCCAAGCAGCGTAACTTATGGAACCCTATTGTTTTTCTTGAATTGAAATGACACTAATTCTAAAACCTTGGTTCCAAATACCTACTGCAGAACAGCCCTCGAGTCTATGGGCATCCCCTGCTTCTTGGGTGGTATGGCCCGCGGCATGCTGGGAAGGGACAGTCCTCTGCATATCCGGCAGAACAGGCGCGATGCCCTGAAGGAAGCCGATCTGGTCATTCTGGCCGGTGAGGTGTCGATCGTTTACGTACATTCTGTAAGCTGTATAATGACAGGGTAGATAAGTTCAAAATTCCACTTATTATTGTGCAATGACTGTGGTGATTTGTCTGACAGGTACTGTGTGTGACTTCAGGCTGAGCTATGGGCGGGTTCTGAGTCGGCGAAGCAAGATCATTGCGGTCAACAGAGAGAAATCCCAATTGCTGAAGAATTCTGACATGTTCTGGATGCCCACTGTCGCCATTCAGGGTATAACCTTAACTGAGAAACCCAGCTTGGGAAAATGATCTAGCTCGATCTTTACGGCAGATTGCTCCAGTGTCTACCCATCACTCTGCCAGTTTCATGTATTCACATGCATCAGTCCGTCTCACTGTGTCTCCTTGCAGGGGATGCTGGGTCCTTCCTGATGCGTCTTTCCAAAGGGCTCATGGGTCACAAATGTCCGCAGAGCTGGCCACAAAGTCTGAAAGACGGGGACAGAGCCAAAGAGAAAGCAAACCGGTATATCTGTTAGCATTCGCTAGAATGGACTTTACCATTATTATGAATAATTTATGAATATAAGACCTTCATGCTTAAAAAAAAAAAAAATAATAAAAAAATCCCCTTTTAGTAACGTATATTTACCTAGGCTCCGTTTCCTAGGTTTGACTATGATGGTTCTGGCTTAAAGCCAATTTAATAACTGATTTAGTTTGTCAATTTCAAAATAAAAGTAAAATTTAAAATATCTTGTTGCGTATAGGAGCCTGTGATCAGAAGGTCACAGGTTGAAACCCCGTGGTCGACAGTTATGTCGCCATTGGGCTCCTGAGTAAGACCCTTAACCTAAATTGCCGCAGGGACTCTGGCTGATCCCGCCTTCTCAGTTGTGTGTTGCTTCGGAGAAAAAACATCCGCTAAATAAATAAAATTTAAATTAAAAGGCTAATTCATCATAATCCATTTATAATTCTCTGGATTATTCAGATTAATGAAAAGGTAGGTTCCATTTTCGTTGTCTTATGTTAGTGAGTATTTTCTCCCGGACAGAGCAAAGGCGATTGAGAAAACGGAGCATCACCTGAACCCGCTGAGCGTGTTGCACTGCGTGGACGACCTCATGGCGGAGGACAGCATCATCGTGGCGGACGGCGGAGACTTCGTCGGCAGTGCTGCTTACATCATGAGGCCCCGCGGCCCACTTCGCTGGTTGGACCCAGGTTCGAGCTGATCGGGCACCAAGCCTCCATTCTTTGTACCTTGTGGCCTTCTACTGAAAGTGTTAACATTCTTTAACCCCAACAGGGGCATTTGGGACCCTAGGGGTTGGCGGAGGCTTCGCTCTTGGGGCAAAGCTCTGTAGGCCTGAGTCAGAGGTATGACAACCTGCTCTTAATAATGTCAAGTTATCCATTAATCTCTCATGCTAATTTCACAAGATGTAACGCGTGATTTTGTCGATGAGGATTTTGGATTGAATAATAAGCAATGCATGATGGGGATGGCAGGTATTTAATGAGAAATGGTGACTGAATGAGTTTCTTCAGGTGTGGATTATCTATGGAGATGGATCACTGGGATTCAGCGTGGTGGAATTTGACACGTTTGCTCGTCACAAGGTGTATATATATATATTTTTTTTTTTGAACCCTGATCATGAGTGGACAGAGCATGGAGAGCAGCCCCATATGAATCACTGACACTTTTTCCCTCTTCGTTAGACCCCAGTGATTGCCCTCGTGGGAAACGATGCTTGTTGGGGCCAGATCTCCAGGGAGCAGGTGCCCATCCTGGGCAGCAATGTAGCTTGTGGTCTAGCTTACACAGGTCAGCATATTAAACTTTTTCTTTTTTTTTTCTTTCTCCAGTTGTACTGACAAAGAATACCAATCATCATGTCTGTGTCATCTCTTCACCAGATTACCACATAGTTGCCAATGGTTTTGGGGGCAAGGGTTATTTGATTGGACGAGAGGAGGAAGACAGGCTGAGCGACACTGTGAAGAAGGCTCAGCAGGAAGCCCGAAATGGGAGGCCGGTTCTGCTCAACGTCCTCATTGGGAAGACTAACTTCCGAGAAGGTTCAATCTCCGTGTAGAGCTACCGCTGCATGCTCTGTGCAGTATCTCCTCTTCTCACTACAACCAACCACTCACTGCGGTCAACAAGCTGTGTTCCACGCTGCATAATGCAATGGTTCTTCATGTTCCTCCAGTTTGATGCGAGAGTATCTGGAGAACTTGATATACTGTGTGACATCTCCATATTACCTTTGGTTTGAAGCCTTTTAGAAATCTTTTTTGTTTCGTAAGGGATATTGAGTGTAATTTTTCAGTGAGTGATTCACACACTGTTTGAAACTGCAGTGGAACTCCAGTTTTATTGGAGCAGCCTATGCTAAACTTTGCTATTCGAGCCTTAAGACTGTACTGACTGACTCCCGAACAGTAATACTCCACCAGGCCTGTAGCCAGAAATGAATTTCATCTATCGACAGGTTCCCATTGGTAGATTTTGCCGACCAGAGCGGGACTTCAGAACTGTCATTTTACTGCCTGGCATGCCTGTGTACCATATTTTAATAACATTTAAATATGCCTGTATGCAAAATGTTGCCTTTGCTGTTATTGCTAAATTTACCAAAGTCCAAGGTATATTTAAAGGGATGTTCATGTTTTAAATGGCCACAAGTGATCATAGAGCGGTGATGTATTGATTATGCACATTGCTTAATTATGTAGCACTAACATTATAGGATGTTAGTGACATGATTATGCCAGATTTCTTTTATTTCTCTTTTAAGGTCCCGTGTCTCTGTAATTATGGGCTGGAAAATTCTGCCACTGAAACCAGGCATGATTCTATGTAATGCACGCTGAGCTTTGTTCTGAATTTTTGTTGAAGACAATGCAGTATATCAGGAGTGTGAAATCCACTGTATAGAGAATCACAAGTGTGTTTTCTCAATGCTACCTGTGCAAAATGGTTTCTGGTCTTCAGAAGCACCCGGTGGAATAGTCTGTTTGATTTTAATTGCACTCCATCATCCAATCTTGATATTTAAGTAATACAGTGTGCATTTTGGTATTCTTGTACTGGGTGGATTACTGTAAATGTATTACAGAATCATTGCGAAAATGGAATTGAATCTAGTGAAGATGTAAGCCCAGTTAATAATGCGTGTTATATTTTAAGAGAAATGATTGTTGCTCCTTTCTAATATTAAATATTAATTTAATTTCGGACATTGTTTTGTGCGTTGAAGTGCATTAAATTTTCCCGTTTAGTAAAGGCACTAATAAACTAGATCAGGGGTTTGAAAATTAATATTTTTGTAAGACGCTGTTTCCTTGCAATAAAGTGAATGAACAACCGTTTAAGGTGCCCGTCGTGACATTGAGTGAAAATCAATAATCTTACATACAGCACTAAATACGAATATGAAGCGGTCTGTCTTTAATGTAAATGCAGATTTAATGTGTTTGATCGATCAGCACCATGCTCTGGGTTGACAATAGATCTAGATATTTAATAATCCAATATTAGAGGATGACACTGCTCGTTTGCAAATGAATACCCAAAATGAAAGGAAAAGAATTACAAATAAAATTGTACTAATAAAGAAATTCAGACCGGCCTAAAGTTAAAAAATGGCTTGGTACTCGCGTTTTATTTGAACTACAACTCCCGCAAAGCCCCTTAAGCATGCGCAATGACATACCACAAAGCCTCTTGAGCATGCGCAGTGGCATACCACGAAGGGCCGGGGTGCTGTACTGGACTGTTGTTATGTGAGAAAAAGAAGAAACAGGACTGAAAGGTAACGGGCGAATCTAAGCATACAGCAGCCTGAGGTAAGTTCAGTGTCGGGACTGCTCGTTACGAACGTGTACACCAGCCAGTACTTGTAGATAGACGTGACAAATAAGTAATTCTGAAGGTAATGTGTTTAGCAGTTTAGCTACCATACTGGTCTCAAGCTGGTTGATGCTGCTAGCTAGCTATGCCCAGACTTGCCCAGTACTGACCTCCAGATGACAGGCTGAATTATTAATTTAAATAACCGTAAAACTTGTTTTTACATGTAGCAAAGTTATATGAGCGATGAATCTAGCGATCAAGGCAGCATGTAAATTAGCTAGCTAGCTCCTGTCTAACTGTGAGTCAGGTTAATTAACTTGCTAACGAGGGTTTTTCCTTTTTCATTTTCAAATTTTTGTTGTGGTCTGATGTATTACTACAGACTAGGTTCATTTTAGTCATGTTGTTAGCTTACTTGCCCGATATGGTGTACTCGTGTTCTGTTACTAACAAATCATGGCCACTGGTTAGTCTGTAAATGTCACTCCATAAATTAACACACAGTTTACTTATTTTTACTACTTCTTCCCCTTTAACTAACCTATGCATCTTCCTAACTGCCTTGCCTGTCGTCTTATCAAAATGACATTTTACGTGAAAAGCTTGCCTATTTTATTTGGGCATACTTGCATTGCAATAATACACGAATGAACAAAATCTGTCGCTCGAATCTAAATGGCAGGCAGTGAATTGTCCAGTTTTACAGCACGACACTTGTTATTAACTCTGTATTTTACTATTTATGTATTTTTAATACAATGAAAGCTTTGTGTATTGAGCTGCAATTTGTATAATGTGAAACTTTTTGTATAGATCCGTAAAGCCAACCCTGGCAAAAGTATCTGTGTCAGCAAAACAGGTTGAAGTCGTCACTAGATATACATTATTTCCCCTTTTAATGGATCTGCTTCCTTTCCTTTATCATCTGAGGAAAATCTCTCTGATCTGGTCTTCTCCTCCCCTCTCTTTACACCTGGCGTTCCTGCAGGTTCCCAGATCCTCCCCTGACACTATGAGCCATTTCCAGATGCCCAAATCCCTGGACGTGTGCAGTTGATGTCTTGGTGGCTGGCCTGGAAATGGCAGACAGCGTTAGGACCTTCCTCCGTGATGTCGCGACGGTACGGCGCGTTTCCTTATATGACATGGAATGGGCTTCCTGAAGCGCTCCTGTTTACTTGTACTGAAGTAATGAGCCCTGGATGGCAGCTCATCCGTAGCTCTTATGCAGCCATATCTGTTTGGTGTTTTGCATTGATCGATTGTGGCACGGTTGATGTCGATGTACTCAGTGCCCTTCTTCCCCCCTGGTGTCCAGTTTAAGAGCAGTTTCAGTGTTAGCGCAGGACACAAGGGTCACTAGTGGATAGCTGATGAGGAAGTCCTACGTCACAGCTGCTGGCTTGTGCTTTATTGAGACCCTCTTCTGGGAATGTCATGCAGGGAGATACCTGTACATGCTATTTGACTTTCACCAGCTGCGATTATTGGCATGTTTGAGTTTGCTTCATTTTCAAGTGCAGAGTTCTTCTTTAAAAAAAAGAAATCTACTTAGAACTTGAACTGCTAAATGCAACAGCAGTTCAAGATATTAATAATGGAGATTCAGTATCAATACGCTTGTAAATTGTTTGCCGCTATGGTTTCTATATGAGTATGCATTCTAAGATTTACTGATACCTCCCTCATTACCATGCAATACTTCATTGTTGTAAATTACTAGCTGTACTTAATGTATGCCATTGTATTGTACATGTTGTATTTATTCCATCATTCCTTGCCTTGACATGCACTCTTGCACTTTTTATACATTTATCAATTACACATGCGTGCATCAGCCAGACTGCATGCAACCATTGTTCTGTGTTGTTTGTATGCTTCTACCGTATGTATGAGAGTCATGGACCAGTGGAGACAAATTCCCCATCTGTGTGAACATTTTTAAAACTTAAATAAACCTGATTCTGCTTCAGGTAGCTGTGATTAATAGTTCTGATGATAGTGTCAAATTTGGCAAAATAGAAAATGTCCTTTCTTAGGAAACAGGCCTTTAAATCTGCCACATGACCCCAAGCCATGGTGATACGTAAGTGTGGTGTGAGTTAGAGGCTCCTGCTGCAGCGGTGAGGAGCTCTCCTCATGCTCTCCTACCCCGTGCTTCACACAGGGCATTAAGGACTCCATCCTGGGCATCCGCACTATCTCTAAACTGGATGCCCGCATCCAGCAGAAGAGGGAGGAGCAGCGGTTGAGGCGGGTCAGCGGGGCACTGGCGCAGAGACGGGCACAGAGCGAGGAACGCAAGCCGGAGAGGTAGGGGCGGGCGGCGAGGTTAGGGTTGGGTTAGGGTTAGGGTTAGGGCAGCGTGGGGAGGCTTGGTGTGCTGGACTTCAGGGAGCAGTCTGCAGGAGGCCGCTTGTGGAACACACTCTAGGATATGATTAAGGGATGGATAGCCATTTATCCTGAGCTGTAGTTATTTGTAACAGATCACGTCTTCACCTATGTTAATTTTTAATTGCCCCTTTTAATCTGATTAGCTTATTCACCTGATATTAGTTTGGAATCATATATTTGTCTTGGGCTTTTGTGCTTTCCGTCAAATTATTCATCTGCTTATCTGAAAGCATTATTAAATGAAATAGTCTAATTACACTGTCCTGGATTGACGGTTTGAGCTGATCAGATGGTGTGGGTTGCTATTCTCTCTCTCTCTCTCTCTCTCTCTCTCTCTGTGTTTCTCTCTTTCCAGTGAGCCCAAGTTAGCCAGTCGGATCTTCCAGTGCTGCGCGTGGAATGGTGGCGTGTTCTGGGTGAGCCTGACGTTGGCCCATTATGACAAAGCAGCTGATACCTGAACCACTGTCATGAGATGCTTAAAATTGCTTTATATATATTTGGTTGAGTGTTATGTTTAGATTTTCCAATTGATTGCCTTTATTGATTTTCCTTTTGCGCAGCTCAGTCTCTTCCTCTTTTACCGGGTGTTCATCCCGCTGCTCCAGTCTCTCACGGAGAAAATAATCGGTATGTCTTCCCTTTGGGGGGGGCTGTGGGCTGTATTCCTTCTAATAAGCCCATTGCTGAACACGGCACTCCCTTTCAGGCGACCCCTCCCTGCATGGGGACATCTGGTCCTGGCTGGAGTTCATCCTTAAGTCCGTGTTCAGTGCGCTGTGGGTGCTGCCCCTCTTTGTGCTCAGCAAGATCGTCAACGCGATTTGGTTCCAGGTTTGCAGGCCGTGCTCTAGTCGCTGTTTGTGTTAACAATGTTGACTTTCCTCTGGTTCTTGTCTGTTTCAAGTTCAAGGTTGAAGTTTTATTGTTATATTTCCAAGGACCGCAGTAAAATTCTTAAGCTACAGTTGCAGTGTAAGGGACAGGTGCATCGGGGATGAGGTAAACAGTGGTGTAATACAAGACAAAACAGTGGAAAATAAGAATGAACAATGGGGATAAGGATGCAAATAAAGGACAGTATTGTAAAATAAATATTGATAAAATGCAAGAGTTGTCATATTCATACAGTCAGGAGCTCCTGATTTCTTAAGAAGATGCTTGGTTTCAGGAAACAAGCAATGAAACGTTCTTCTTTTTTTTTTTTTTTTTAGTTTTTATAGGCTGTAGGTCTTAGCCTTTGACTGAGAGCTTGTTGGTCCCATTCAGTTGGTCCCTTGTACCGTTGAGTTACCTGCTAGTCGCTAAGTTACTTGCCTCCAAAAGAAATCTCAGTGCAGTTTTTGGTGAGTTTGTGGATTTGCACTGGAGCAGGCCGACTCTCTTGTCTGCTGCAGGACATCGCTGACATGGCCTTTGAAGTGTCGGGGCGTAAAGTCCAACCGTTCCCAAGTGTGAGCAAGATCATCGCCGACATGCTGTTCAACCTCTTGCTGGAGGCGCTCTTCCTTATTCAGGTGACCCGACTCTGTCGCGCGGCAGGCGTCCCCGATGATGCACATGCGCGGCATGGGAGGGCTCACCCCGTGGGATTGTGCTTCTCTTACAGGGTGTGATCGTCAGCCTTTTCCCCATCGATATTATCGGCCAGATGGTCAGCCTTCTTCACATGTCTCTGCTGTACTCCCTCTACTGCTTCGAATACCGCTGGTTTAACAATGGTAAGCGCACGATGTCGTCCTTTACCGCGCGGTCTCTCTCTTCAATGGACCTGGAATGATGGTCAAGGTTTGCCAGCAGCCAGCTACACAAGCAGCGATTGGATGGTCCTCCTGCATTAATTACTGCTTGTGGCCAACGGAAGGCCCTGCAGGGGGGGTTTCACGCAAATGCATGGTTTGGCATTAAACATTATTATACATTGCCGCTGTTAATGCGAACTGACTGAGAACCAGTCTTTACGATCCCAAGGGGGACAAGCATTGTACCTTTAAGCCTGGTCAACCTGAAAACCATGTAAATAAGCCATCTGAATATAAATGAGCTCTTTGTCTGTCGCTTCTGGCCGCAGACATACAGCCTAAGGCTTCACAGTGTGCATTTCCCCTGGTCTCAGGCATCGAGATGCACCAGCGACTGTCTAACATCGAGAGGAACTGGCCCTATTACTTTGGCTTTGGGATGCCGATGGCATTGCTAACCGCGCTGCAGTCTTCCTACATAATCAGGTGGGGCGCCCATTCATGGGAGGCGACGCCTCAGTACTCTAAACGCAGTCTTTTAATCTCTTTTTTTTGCCGTTTCCCCATTTTTTAGCGGATGCCTGTTCTCCATTCTGTTCCCCCTGTTCATCATCAGCGCTAATGAGGCCAAGACTCCTGTCAAACCTTAGTGAGTTCTGCTCTGTATAAAACTGCTCCGGGTGACACGGATTCCTTGTCTTCGAGTAACGCTTTTCAGACACCTTTTCAGAGGTGTGCCTGAGAATTTCACCTCAATCCTCCGTCTCCCCCTGCAGCCATTTCCAGCTGCGCCTCTTCTCCCTGGTGGTGCTCATTAGCAACAAGCTGTTCCACAAGACTGTGCACCTGCAGGCCACCCTAACAGCCTCTACCTCCTCGGACAGACTGCCCTCTCCTCATGCCTCTCCTGCGAGGCAGCGCTCCCTGCCAGTTCAGTGAGCGCCACCAGGGGGAGACAGAGCAAACCACTTCACTGCACGGAGAGAGCAGGAAGAAACATGTACAAAGTATTCTGGCTTTCAAAGTGGATTTCATTTTTTTTTTTATTTGTATGTTATGGGCTGGGTCATACGAAGGGGTTTTGTTAAGTACTATTCAAAACTCAGTACAATAGTCAGTACTATTCAAATCAGGCTGAATTATAACGTGGGAAGTACAATGACTGAGCTGCTTAGTCTCACACCTTTATGTCGAACAGTTTTTAACTTACCTTTTGTTTTGTATACGAGTTACGTGCCATTGTTTTTCTTTAAGACGGTCACAAACCTGGTCGAACACCTTTTAGTTAGCCTTTTGCAATTATGTTCACTGTGTTCTGTATTTTAAATGATTCTGTAAATCACAACGTAACCATGTAAAGAGTGAGATAGATTAGATACAATTAGTTGTAAGTATAGGAAATTATTCTGTTTAAAATCAGAAGAAACATGCAACCTGTGATATGGTAAGTCAGTTGTTGCAGTAATACTGAATCGTGGGCTGTTTGAGAATTAGATATCAGATACGATTTTATGATTTTTATATATATATATATATATATATATATATATAAGGTGCTTAATTTGTGCTTGATATGAGATTACCACAAGCTGTGTCTTTTAATGGATGTTTGGAGATTTGAAAGTTCAGCAGGTCTTGTGTCGTCATTGGTTCTGCCTCCTGCCCTCTTTGTTCGACAGGTAAAGCTTCGCCGTGTTTTCAGGACGTTGTTGATCTCGGTGGACTTACACCGCCGGAGCGTGTAACCCAGGGAAAGGGATCCTTTTATCTTTTTCCCTGTTGCGTTTTGGACGATTCTTCAGTTTGTCAGCCAGGGAGCTGACAGGAATTTGCCAGAAGACTTGGTCAGAATAGCTGTTTTTATAGGGAATGTGGTTTGATTGGCCTCTTGTATAGGGAAATATTTCAAGTCTCTTTCTTCAGTTTGAGCCTTTTGTAGATGGCTGTACACTTATATGTCAAGGGCTGAAACATCTGGGATGTGCTCAAGCATTCAAGCAGAAACAGAATCAGATTAATTTTCAGTGGCAAGGGTACAAAATCTTCTGATGCCCTGTGTTTTTGTTATGGTTTGCCATGCAAAAACATTTTTTCCCCCATACTGGTTACTATATGCTCCTTTGACTCTTTTGCTTCTGGACTTTTATCTAAAGGAAACATTGTCCATCTGCACAGCTGTGTCGATCCTCGCAGTCGTTAAGCCTGACAGGTTTTGGCAAAGCGTAGCTTGGAGGTGTACTTCAGCCAGCATTAACAGGCCGCTTCACAGGTTTTGCCGAGCTTTATGTTCGAGTCGACCTTCCAGCACCCCTTAAAGTGCAGAAAACCTGTGCTATGCTACAGATGTGGCTGGTTTAGCTGTCGTCGCAGCTACCGGATTGACGGTGGCATACTGACTTATCTCTGAGTTGCATTCCTGACGTGAATAATGCAGCGCTAGAGTGCACATTCATTTTAGACAGTCCACAAGATGGCTGTGTCGTTTCCATAACTGCGAAAAGCTTAAAACGGTGGTAAATGTTACAGGAAATGTGTGTGTGCGTGTGTTTGCGCGCGTGTCTTATGTTCGTGTATTACACCTGGACATGAGGAGATGGGGTGTCTAACTAAGGTATTTAATGATTGTAAGTAGTACGTACAGTGCTAAGTTTGCGGATTTAATTATTGTGAATTTTTTGTAAATGTGTCATGCATTTCAATAAAATTCATCTGAATATTATGTCTGAAAAATCTTTTTTGCTAGATACAATTAGGCTTATAAAACTCCTTTATGTATGGGGTTTGTCGTCTAATAACTAATATTTTTTTTAAAAAACGGTGAACGTTTGGAAATAATGAATATTTGGAAAAAAATATTCGTCAGGCTAAGTGGGTTTGCAGAATTGCTGCCTCTGTAAATGTCCTCCCGAACTGTGGGGTCGCTGTTGTAAATATTAGGGGTATTTCAACGTTTGAACTTGAATGCGACACGTCACTCCTGGAAGCCACAGGCCGCTCCGCTGCCGCACACGCGTGAACTTTGATTGACGTGTCTTCTGTACCAATTAGAAAATGCCCAGCGTCCTGATAGTCATTAGACAACCAATAAGAGTAAAGTATGAGAATGCTGGGCGGGCTACAGGCTCTTTCTCCGAAGTGTGTGAGGAGTGTAGATGTAGCTGGCTCTCTGAAGCTTGGGTTTTGCTGGTCAAAGCAGGTAAAAAGCTTGCAAACGTTTTGTTTTATTATACTGCAACACCAAAATACTATTACGATTTTTTTGCAGATTAAACGGTATAGCAGTGTGACAATTTTAATTGCATATATCCATAGACCACAGCTAGCTGTGTATATATGAACCCCCGTGCTAACTAGCTAGCTCAAGCAGTCCGTACAGAGGAGATGTGTATGATGTTTATGAGAAATGTTTTCATCAATTAAAACATTTGTGTTGCTGTAATTGTTAATAAATTTTCTGAAAGAATTGTAATCTTTACAGTTTATCCATTTAAAGTACATTGGCAAGCTGCTGACATTTTCTTGCTTGGTACGCTATTTCTCTTGCATTCTAATGTGCTATTTGACGTAGGTTTGTATCCTGTTTGCAAGTCTTCCGTTTTTTACTTATCTAGGCACTAATCTGGCTAGACCTAGGTTGGCTGAGATCCCCAAGGCGGTGATGCCCCGCTAGTGACCTTTAAAAATGTTCAGGTTATTTACTTTAGAGAGTGGTCTCTAAACAACTTTAAATACTGTGGTTGGAAGGAATTGATTGGGGATTATTAAGATGTATATATTGTTTTGTTACAAGGGTCTAGTAGCAAAGTATTAACTTTGTATATTTAACTTTGGTGGCTCTAAGGATGGTACACATGATTCGGCGCCTGCTCATTAGATATTGAGATCACGTGATTAATGTCAGGTGGCTGCATCTGTTTGTTTCCATGGTCCGCAAGTGTCTAGGGCTGGTCCTCCCACCCCGTCGTCAAGATGACCAAGCTGGGGTTCCTGCGGCTGTCCTATGAGAAGCAGGACACGCTGCTCAAGCTGCTCATCCTCTCCATGGCTGCAATTCTCTGTGAGTAACTGGGGTCTCGCCCAATCCTGTGAATGTCGTGTGTTGGGTGGAAGCACCAGAATTGGCAAATGTGTGCCTCTTTTTTTTGTTTTTCAGCGTTCTCTACACGGCTCTTCTCCGTGCTGAGATTTGAAAGTGTTATCCATGAGTTTGACCCGTAAGTTGTTCACTCTGTTCTCCTACACTTACTGTTAAAATGTAAACGGATAATTCTGTAGTAACCTGGAGCCTGTATCATGAAGATTTGTTGGCTGGTTAGTTAGATAACTTGTCGGTTTTAAGGTAAATTTGACAAGTTATCTTGCTAACCTAAAAAATCCAGCTTTGTGATACAGTCCCTCTGTATGAAAGTAGGGCTGTGGCACCGCGGCTGACGATGGTCTAAAGCATTTTTTGTGCTCTTATTGTTTAGGTACTTCAATTACCGTACCACCCGTTTCTTGGCGGAAGAGGGTTTCTACAAGTTCCATAACTGGTTTGACGATCGAGCTTGGTACCCTCTGGGGAGGATCATTGGTGGTACGATTTACCCAGGTGAGGATGCTGCATTGCTCTAGATTCAGCCGAGTACGTCATTGATGAGAAGGATGTGGAGTTCAGCTGCTTTTTCTGTGCCATTGAAGCATCTTCCCATGAAGTGTTCTCAAGAGTCACTGTAGTGAATCTGATTTTCTCAAAATGACAGATAAAATTGGTGCTGAAAAACATCTGTGGCCCGTCTTATAGTACATTTAGGATATCTGTGGAGGGAAATTGTCCTGCCCCATATGGCTGTGCAGACGTTTGGAACGCAAATATATGGGATATAGTGGTGATTGACTCTCTGCTGCCCCCTAGGCCTGATGATTACCTCTGCAGCACTCTACCACGTCCTGCACTTCTTCCACATCACCATCGACATCCGCAACGTCTGCGTGTTCCTGGCGCCGCTCTTCTCCTCCTTCACTGCCATTGTGACGTATCACCTCACGAAGGAGCTGAAGGTGAGCTGGGGAGCCGGCTGGGGGAGCATCCTGTGCAATGTTCTGCCTTGTGTTTCAATATGGTAAAAAGGCCTATATGAGACATCTGAGCTCCAGTAGTATAAGGGAATGTGTTTAAGGGAATGAGGTCCTGTTGTATCTTGGACCGTAATACTTTATTTGTGGCAATTATATTTCTGGCTTCACAAGTAACTACTTCCAAAAGGTTAGTACAAGCTAACCGCTGCTAAGTCAATCAGACCTTTCCTCAGTTGAGACCCAGGAATTGTGGAAGAATGGATCATGTGCTGGTTCCCATACAGCTGTTTCACTGTTTATCTAACCAAGCTTGTGCTCCTCTGCTGACCAGGATGCAGGTGCTGGACTCCTAGCAGCAGCCATGATTGCCGTAGTTCCTGGTTACATTTCGCGTTCTGTGGCCGGCTCCTATGATAATGAAGGTACGTGCATAACTTCCCCAACCAGAATGCTCTTCAACCTGAAGGTCATGCTATGCACCGAATCTCACTTTGTTTCCTTCGTCCTCTCCCCTCTCTGCAGGCATCGCCATTTTCTGCATGCTGCTCACCTATTACATGTGGATCAAGGCAGTGAAGACTGGCTCCATCTACTGGTCGTCCATGTGTGCTCTGGCGTACTTCTACATGGTGAGCGGCGAGCTGCCGTGTGTGTGTGTGCTGGGGCTACTCTAAAAAAACAAAAAAACCGGCACAAGATGAAACTGCACATGCAGACTTATTTCTCAGTGTATGTGGAAATGGACGTTGTACTGGAACACAAGTTACATGGGAACTAGTCATATCCACAACTCCCACCTTGGTTCTAGGAATGTTTGAGTGCATAATTTCTGTAGAGGGTCGTCGCTGTTGTCCACAGCGCCCCCGTGTGTTAAATGATGTGCCGTCTTTTCCAGGTGTCCTCATGGGGGGGCTACGTGTTCCTGATCAACCTGATTCCCCTTCACGTTCTAGTGCTGATGCTCACAGGCCGCTTCTCCCATCGCATCTACGTGGCCTACTGCACCGTCTACTGCCTGGGCACCATCCTTTCCATGCAGATCTCCTTTGTAGGCTTCCAGGCAAGTCCTGGCCACTCGCTCCTCCCTATCTGTCAGTCCGACTCTGCCGGAAGTTGGCACGCACACACATGGGCGTGGTGCCACACTCTGGCATGTAACCAAGGTGTGTCTTGTGGTCGTTTGTAAACTGTGTAAGCTGATTAATTTAGCCAGAATAGCTAGACTGGATCACTTTTTTCCACCTGTGTTGAAGACTGTGGAACCCTGTCGGTCCTGTTCCTCAGCTTCAGCTTTCATAACCGTGTTTTTTTCGAGCGTCCGTTCTTGCTGAAGTCATGAAGTTCCACTTTCTGTGTTCCTCCTCGTTCTGAAGGCTACAACCAGTGTCATTTTGGATAACATTTATTGGTGCATGTTAGTAAAAAAGTACCATCATGAATTGTTTTTACACATTTTTATTTGGAAAGGCCTTGCAGAATCATTCATGAGGTCCGGAGACTGTAGAACCCTGGCCACGGTTTTTTTTTTTACTTTTTTTTTACAATACACGCCCCCTGCTTGTGGCCATATAGACACGTCTTGGACTGTTAAACGATGGCCAAGAGCCTTTCCCGTGTGGTGTGGTGTCCTGCCCAGTCAGAGGAGAATAAACATGCATTCAGCCCTGTGCAGGGGGCAGGTTAATGAACAGGTTGTCCCATCACCTGGTTTGACCCAGTAATGCAGAGAGGTATACAAACGCAGCATTGTTTGTGACCTGCTGATCTTTTTTTTTTGTGTTTTACCCTTCCCTCACTTCTTGGCCTCCAGGCTAAAATAGAGAGAAATACTGAAGAGATGAACTAAGGTCCCCAATAGCGGTTTTACCTCCCATTAGCCTCACCGCCTGTTACCCCCCCCCCCCCCTGCAGCCTGTACAGTCCTCGGAGCACATGGCCGCCTTCGGGGTCTTCGGCCTGTGCCAGATCCACGCGTTCGTCGACTATCTCCGCAGCAAGCTCAACACTCAGCAGTTTGAGATTCTCTTCAAGAGTGTCATCTCCCTGGTTGGGTTTGGGCTGCTCTCCATCGGTGCAGTGCTCATGCTAACCGGTAGGTAGAGCTGGTTCTGGCTATGGAACAGTGATTCCATTAACGAATACAGTTTTTGCTGTCCTTTTCTGACGATCATTCGCATCCAGTTTTGATGCCCTCTCATAGTGTATGAGCTTGCTGGCCTCGCCGTGAGTCCATCTGCCCTGTGGGATGTGCTGTTGGTGTCATTTGTCATATATTATCCCTGACCTTTAACCTTTTATAGATGTTGACATTCAGTTCAAATTATACTGTTGCATTAATTGTCTGGCAGTTATTGCTTTGACATAAACATTTTATTTTTAGTTTTCCCTGGGTTGGAATAATTGAGTTGATCCTTGCTCTGCAGGTAAGATCTCTCCTTGGACTGGGCGTTTTTACTCCTTGCTGGACCCCTCTTACGCTAAGAACAACATCCCCATCATCGCCTCTGTGTCTGAGCACCAGCCCACCACCTGGTCCTCCTACTACTTTGACCTTCAGCTGCTGGTCTTCATGTTTCCAGGTAGGAGACCTTCACCGTGATGGTACAGCTATACCTCTTTATGTTGATGTGTATGCTGATGGCAGTTACGTTAAATAACCCCCCCCCCCTACCCTTCTGATTTAACAGTGGGACTTTACTATTGCTTCAACAATCTATCGGATGCCAGAATTTTCATCATCATGTATGGTGTCACCAGCATGTACTTCTCAGCTGTCATGGTAAACATTTGTTTGGGGGGGTAGGTTCTATTACATTTCTCCTAAGCAGAGTCCAGTGCTCTAAAAGTGGTGCCCCCTGGGGGCCTTTTCTAGGTGCGTCTCATGCTGGTCCTGGCCCCGGTCATGTGCATCCTCTCAGGCATCGGGGTCTCCCAGGTGCTCACCACCTACATGAAGAACCTGGACGTCAGCCGGCCCGATAAGAAGACCAAGAAGCAGCACGACTCCACTTACCCCATTAAGAATGAGGTGAGGCCTCTGGACAACCTAAGCCTGGATGTCCCTTCAGCCAAAAGCAGCTCTCGTTTTTTTTTGGCTTGCTCCCTTGAATTGTGTAGCAGATCTGCATTCATCCAAAGTCTGGACACTTTAAATAACTAGTCTAGCTTGTGATTATCAGAATGAGTAGCCCTGGTTGAACTGCATTACTGTTGTACCCATATTTAAGGTAATTTTTAATTAACTTTAATTGCTTTGGATGATGGAACCTGCCAGGTAACAATTTTAAATGTTGAATGATTCGCACTCTGTGCCCAGGTGGCTAGTGGCATGATCCTGGTCATGGCCTTCTTCCTCATCACCTACACCTTCCACTCCACCTGGGTCACCAGTGAGGCCTACTCCTCCCCGTCCATCGTCCTCTCTGCCCGTGGAGGAGACGGCAGCCGCATCATCTTCGACGACTTCAGAGAGGCCTATTACTGGCTGAGGCACAATACCCCGGAGGTGAGCGCTGCCTTTGGCCATAGTCCCATTCTTTAATCCAGATTAACAAAGTTCCGCGTTACGTCGATCTCTGCTCGCCGTTCACTCAGACCTACACAGATCTGACCCATTTTCTCAAAATGACTCCTCTTCTCTGCTGTGATCATCTGTGGTCTTCAATAGGATGCCAAGGTGATGTCATGGTGGGATTACGGGTACCAGATTACGGCAATGGCTAATCGGACCATCCTGGTGGACAACAACACATGGAACAACACTCACATTTCTCGAGTGGGCCAGGTATATTCCAGATGAGGATCTTCTGTTAGCAAGGGGGTTGACTTGCTTGAATACTATAGCACCAACGTCTGTGGTCAATGGATATCCCTCTTCTGACAGGCTATGGCTTCCACTGAGGAGAAGGCTTACGAGATCATGCGGGAGCTAGATGTCAGCTATGTCTTGGTGATCTTTGGGGGACTGACGGGATACTCTTCAGATGGTATGTGGTCACAGCCTTATTCGGCGACTCCATGCACACGCTATGGAAATCTTCAACAGATTTAGCAAGTATTTACTTAGGTATTTATCAATCCACGTCACTGCACATAGGGCAAACCTAGCAGCTGAAAGTTTGGACTTGTGACCTTTCAGCATAAGAACCAATAAGCTGCAGGTTCAGCCTTGTTGAGCAAAGGAAATGTCGCAGTAAAAGGTGACCAGCATATGTACCCGAGAGTGACCATTATGATTCCCAGGAATTTTTGGATATAGACGAAAACTCCATTATAAAATTATGTGATGACCTGGTCCATGTCAAACTGCAAGCCAGAAAACGAAAGGCAAACTCTCAGTATTTCAATATTAGATTGCAGAACAAAATTCAAAATGTTTTATTGGTAAGTTTGCCAGAAGTACATTGTCATTCATGTTCAGCCACAACCAGTACAAGGGACAACAGGGTACAGTAATTAGATATAAATGAGTGGCATTTATAGACTTAGACTACAGTAAATTAATTTCAACATCAGTCTCTTTCATATTAAGGAAAAATTCTCCCCTGTGTTCTGTCAAACCCATGGATTCTGTGTATGTGTTTCTTTTTTAAATTCACACCCCAGACATAAACAAGTTCCTCTGGATGGTGCGAATCGGTGGCAGCACAGACACCGGGAGGCACATCAAGGAGCACGACTACTACACCCCAACCGGGGAGTTCCGCGTGGACCGGGAGGGTTCCCCCGTGCTCCTGAACTGCCTGATGTACAAGATGTGCTACTACCGCTTCGGCCAGGTCTACACAGAGGCCAGTAAGTAACTTCTAGAAGCCAGAGCACCCGGATGAAGCCATTATGGGCGCTTTCACATGATATATATTTCCCCCCCCCCCAAGAACTGGGACCTTTTGTAGTGTTCTCGGCGCAGGAACTAGGCCCAATCTGTAGCCCCACGGATGCAGTTCCAGAACCCCTTTAGAGTCCCTGCTCCAGACTAGGTTCTTTTCGTTCAAACGCAAACTACCGGGCAGGTCCTTACAGCGATATCTTGCTGATTGGTTGACCACAAGCACCGACGTTGGTTACACAGAAATGCGGGGAAAAGAGGTTTAAGTAGTGGACCAAAAATTGAGCGGATGGAATTATTTTTGTACCTAATTTACATTTGATGCATCTCTTTTTTGTTGTTTTTTTTTTGCTTGCATCTGTTGCTGCACCAGAGAATTCAATGGATCACCTGTATATTTACCATCAGTGCTGGCAGTGAACCTTGCCAGTGCTTATTACCAAGATAACATTACGTCATTTTTTTATTCTGCGTAGAATGAAAGATCAATCTGCCCCCCTACCCAGATTTAATAAGAATTAAAAATGTTGTAAATGAATGAAATATGACTGTCCCGTATTGCTTCAGATTGATCGTCCCAGTAACTAAACGCTAACGAAACGACTTGTGCATCCTCCATTGGCAGCGTAATTTTGTATGAAATTACGTGTGAAGTTAAACCTATGAGCTTTTTGCGTCTCCCATGTTTCAGCGTAAAGGTTCCTGTTGCGCGGTGTGAAAGTGCACACTTAACCTATAAAAGTTCCCGGTAGAGAGAGCCCAGGAACTCGCAAACAGGGACCTGTTTCTGGAACTTTGCTGCGAAAGCACCTTATGTATAATAGCTCGTCTTAAGTTCCTCTTCCATTTCCCGATCTGTCGGGAATTTCCAGCCCGAAAGGGAAGTTGCATGCGACGCAGGTGTTTGTCGTCCGCTCTCACGATGTCACTCGTCACCTGTTCTTCCTCTCAGAGCGCCCTCCTGGCTACGACAGGGTGAGGAATGCTGAAATTGGTAACAAGGACTTCGAACTGGACGTGTTGGAGGAGGCCTACACTACGGAACACTGGCTGGTTAGAATATACAAGGTCAGGAGTCCCCTTTCCTCCAGTCTCTGCACCCTACAGTTCAGTTCCTTTGTATTTCTTGATCACTGGGTATGAGTTTGGGCTGACTGCTCTCTGTTTTTCATAGGTGAGAGATCTAGACAACCGGGGACTTTCCCGGACATAAACTCTAGTCTCTCTAAGCACAAAGCACTGAAGGCCTTCCTGCAATCCAGAGATGAGTGCAACTCCTTTTTATACTCTAGTTTTTAATTGCGGAAAGAGTTGTTTTTTTTTTTTTTGGCTTTATAAAAAAAAATATTTTGTGGTGTCTCATCTGGAATGGAAACGTCCAAACCTGTCACAGGATATCGTCTGCAGGTGTCTGAGGAGCTGATCTCACGGCAGGGGGGAGGGGGCAACGGAGTTCTACAAAATGATTAAATAAAGGGGAAAAATGGGGTGACTTGGTCTCATGTGTCTTTTTCTGCCTGAATGTTTCCAAAATGAAATACAGTGCCCAGGTAGGGGGGAATGTCCATGTTTTTTTGTTGTTTTTCTTCCCAGATTTTGTTCTTCAGCCATCCTACGACTGGTAGAAAAGTAAGTAAAGAATGTGAGGAATACGTAAGAAATATATTTCACATGCACCTCCAGCACTGCTCATTGTACTGCAGGCCACGCATTAGAAAGTGACACGGCTACACACGTGATCAAACCTTTAACGGGAGTTTCTTTTGCGACGCGACTGTCGCGAGGACACGGTCCTTGTCAGCGTAATCAAAGACAACTTTTCAGTACGGAATTAAATGATAAATGAGCATTAAGAAAATCCTGTTGGGTTCCGTAAGTTCACTGCATCAATCGTTCATCAGTCTTTTCTTTTCCGAACCTAAATTAGCCCATCAGTGAATTAGCCATACCTCATTTAACAAAAACATTCAACTGCATAAATAAAGAAAAAAACCATGGGCAGAGAGTTTATGACAAGCACTCAGAGTAAGTGTACATTAATACAAATTGCCTTTTAATGCTAACTACAGGTTATGTTCGTTCCTCTTACAAGGAGTCAGGACATTGTGTTACTACCACTCACAATTATTAGATGGGGAAAATATTTTCTAAGACCAATAATCAGAAATAATAACCCGTTTCGAATGCCCTGGACCACATTTCTATCAATGTAGACAAACGACTTCCGACATTTCCAGTACTAAATCAATCCGTAATAGGCAAAGCCAATATATATGCTTTTAACGTCCGCAAATGACATTTTGATTGAAATTGGCGAGAAGTTCCAGTACAGAAACTTTAGAAATTAAAGGCGGACTTTTCTTAATGAGATGTGCAATGAAATTTTACTGAATGTGTACACAGGCGTGACAAAAGGTTTTTTTTACACGTATTTTTATTGCTATTGCCCACGTTTTTTTCTTTCTAAGAGTTGAACCTGTTGTACAATTAGTCAAACGAAATGAGGCTTGAACAGCAGCATCAGACCGCAAATGTGCTTGTAACTACCTCCTTCTAGACCAAACTGGTTTAAGTTACAGGGGCGGTGTTTATTACTCTTAATACTCTTCGCTGGCCAGCTTCTACTTTAGTAGGGAGGTTAGTGCACTTCTGGTGCAACTGCAAAAATCATCATCATGTCAGGCAATATGGGACGACAAAGCAGCTAGTCATTCCAACTAATAAAGAAAAGACTTTAGCGGTGTCACAGGAAAGTTGAACCGCTTTCATCAGGAAGTATCCACCTTTTTCAGGGATAACGTAAGTGTTCATTTTATACATTATTGAAATATATGATTGATATTTGTCCATAAGTCTGCAATGCCGATTTCCCCTTCTATTCACTGCATTTAGATGGGCAAACTGAATAAACTTAAAACTGAAATTAACTAGAGGCAAGCTCCACAACACAACAAAAGTCGACATAACGTTGGCTATTTTCTGTTTGATTTGTACATCAAACAATATATTTATAAACGATGGTATTCAACTTGAGTAAATTATTATTAGTAGTAGTGCTATTGTTTTGCAAAGTATGTTCGGGGTTAACAGACTGATTTAACTTTTTCATAGAAGTATGAGGTCCGATAAGTTTGTGAATTATCAATGAACCCAAAATTCGTAGCAACGCGACTTTGCGGGGCGCGGATGACTTGTTTGCAGAATAGACGCCATAAATGAAGACGCACGGGGGGCTGGAAACAAACATTTGTTTTGAAAAGAAGCCATTTCGGCATCCAGATGTTTTAGACGTAGGGTTTTATGTTCGATCTGCTGGAAAAGCGGCATTAACCTGGTTTGCGTTTCACCGGCTCAGGGTCTAAGCATATGCGGGGGGGGGGGACCCGACATGCCGGTCCCGCTGTCTCAGGGCTGTTAGGTCAGCCGATTTTTCAGGACCGGTCAATGCTTAAGTCCTCACATAGGTTAAACAACAAAAATGGGAGAACCTTGTCAATAAAACGAAGCTGTCGATATGCTTCGCCTGCTTGCATGTTGTTTCCAAGTTAGATTGCAGCTGGTCATCGTAGGCCTAATTTTTTGAGAGGTTGCAGTAAACATTTCAAAAACGTAGTTTTTAATTAAGATGCCGCCCAGTAGGCTACGTCCGGTGTGCATATGGCAGTTACACCTATAATGAGGAGCAGCCCAGCCCTGGTTAAAGCGGCGCGCCGAATAGCTGATCCCGTGAAATGACGTAATGCACCGCGCATCGGACGAGAATGCACCCCCCTTGGCTCATCACTTAGGTGGAATTGTAACGTATGGCTGTGACCTTTTTTTTTAAAGGCCCCTAATCCCCTGTTTGTCCATTCACTTTACTTGTTGCACCGGCTTCTCTAGAAGGTTTACATTTTGTCTTAATGGCATAGTCACCATAACTGAGACCCTAGGAACAGGTATGAAAAGGGAACAAATGAAAATCGGTCGGGGAAATTACCACCCCCCCGCCCCCCCTTAAATATATGGACCGCTATAGGCCTATTATTAATGAGCCCTGAGTGTAATAGCTACATGTGGTATTACACTAAGGGCTCATTAATAATAGGCCTATAGCGGTCCATCAGCGATCGCCCCCGATTCCTAGCGCATCCGTGCCGGACACATGTCATACAGCCCGACTGTTCAAAGTACAGACTGGAAATGAATTTCAGACCATGACGCCGGTGAATTGAGCTGATTCTGATTTATGCTGCAATAAAATACAAGAGAAGTCGTTTTCCTGGAATAAATACGTCTATAGGCAAGAAGTGCGGGAAGACCAAGGTTAAATGTGATAAAGGTGGAGGTCTTTTTTCTCAGTAAACCTAGGAAACGATTTTAAAAATCTTTCAAAGACTTGAAATCCGGTGGCGTGTCGCCTTTCAGTGCCAGTAGCGATTGATTTCGGGGTTTTAAAGACGCTGCTACCAGATCACAAATTAATGCGGCTGAATGGTGTTCAGGGTGTCTCTCTTTGTGTCCAAAAACTGTTATATTTAGTTTGCATTAACAGAATGCATACACAGCTATAAAACACTCATTGTTGCTAGAAAAAAATGTTACCCCCACTTTTCCCTATTGACACAATTGCTTTAATACCTATTTTTAGTACAGCGGGTTTCTGAGAAACGCAACTATGGCGTTTGGCGGAACATACTGAACTGTACCCAGTTCGTTCATTTAGCTGTCATGCTGCGTCAGGTAAATTACTGCCATTGGAAACTCACCTTGCAGCGTTTTTACCGTATGCAGCAAGACATAAATGTTGCGTTAAAAAGTAATTACTCATGATACTTAAATGTTCATCCATAATAACCGTGCCCCTAAGAATTTATTTGTTGTATTTCTTACAAATTCCATTTTAAGACATATTGTAGGGTTTTGTTAAATGTTTACTCTAACAAATAACTGCATGTATTTGAAGTAGTGATTATATTTGACATTGGAATTGACACAGAGGTTTCCTGATTATTCTTTAGACTTAGAATTTCCCATGCTAAGAATGGCACACTCTGCATTATTGTAAAGATAAGATTACAGGAAGTAGGGTCTGGTGTGGGCTTTTTGTGCTTATTCTGTCTATAAAAATGTCTATGGCCCTTGATACTACAAACATATATGTTCTGTAAGCATATAAAACATTTAATATTGGGCTTAAAAGATCTTACAAGGTGTCAAGGATTTTAAAAAGGGAGTTAATATGAGAATAATATACAGCAGAATATTTTACTTGAGAAATTCCTGCTCTTGATCAAAGGTGCAGCAACAATGCGCCCCCTGATGAACCACTGAGGTACTGCAGCGTTTGTAACCCACTCTACGCTGGTGTGTGGATCTGTAATAGCCGAGGAGGCCTGTCACTCACTGCTGCTACTCTGCATCGGCCGGATGGCCTCCATGGTGTCCGTGAAGATTGAGAAGCGGCCTGCTCCCGATGATGTCATGAGCTTAAATCCCAAAAAACCAAGGTGCACGTTTTTCTCTGTGTAGGCAAGCTATTAACCTTGTAAAAATACTGGGAAAAACACTTGCAAAAAGAACATAAACAAGGTCTTTCCATGTGGGAGTTGTCGTGTGATACTCAGACAAAGAAAATTTGGCGGCCACTGTAATTATTCTAGCACTTAAATACTTCATAGCCTATCCCTTGTTTACATAATACAGTGTATTTTATCTAGAGAAGATGAATTTGATTGTGGAGTTTATGGAATTTCTGGAGTATTCTTACTCATTGTAAAAATTCTCACTCTCTGGCCCCAAGGAAATTGCTTCCTAGTCTGAAGACCAAACGGGCCCCTGAGCTGGTCCTGGTGATCGGGACCGGGGTTAGCTCAGCTGTGGCCCCCCAAGTCCCAGCACTTCGTTCCTGGAAAGGTCTCATCCAGGCCTTGCTGGACGCCGCCAACGACTTCGACCTCCTGGAGGAGGAGGAGAGTCGGCGTTTCCAGAAGAGCCTGCAGGAGGACAAGAACCTGGTTCACGTGGCCCATGACCTCATCCAGAAGCTGTCCCCGGTAAGCAATCCCCGCAGAAGATCCCCTTTGTAGAGCATTTTGGCATTGATTATGGTAAAGGAGGAAGGGATCTATGCTCGTACCTACCACTGAGGACACCGAGGTCAAGACCTCAGTATTTTTTCTGCAACTCAAATAACCAAGATTCTTTACAGGACACGACTACTAAGGGCTAACACTTTTGACCTCTATATTTTAAAAATCCTGGCTACGGCCCTGAAGGGAACATACCAAGTTTGAAATTTAGATATAGAGATTTCTTTTTATATCGTAATTTTGTAGGGTAAACTTTCTACAGGCTGACTTGCCAGATCTGCACAAATACAAAATGTATTATCTGAAGAGATGTGTCATAACATAGTAGCCAGTTGATTTTACAACAACATACGAGAACGTTTCCCTACTGGATGACCTCAGATGAAGTCACGAATTTCCTGCCCTAACAATTCTCACAGTATGTCTTGTTCCATATCTTGTTCAGATCGCGGCTGACGCCACTCTGAAAAGGGAAGTCTAAACATTCCCTGGGGAGGGCCAGATTCACGCTTGCTTATACTTTGCTATCAGATTATTCTCTTTATGATAGTGATTGTGAATAAATGTGGCATGAATGGAATGTTTATTTGAAATGAAGCTTTCAACATGAAGAAATATTATCAAAAAGATTCATTCATCCATCAATCCCGCTTTCAGTCACTTAGGAGGACTTTGATGGTATCAAAAAATTCTAAAATTCTACATTCTTAGTACTGGATTTTTTAAAACCAATACAGTAAAATCCAGTTATAACGGACTTCAAGGGACTTGGCAAAACAGTCCATTATATCCAGAATTGCTGTATGCCCAGAACACAACTACAGGACACTATTTACTCATGGCACACCCCAGCAGACACACTTGTGGTATAGATTATTATATTGTACATGTAGTAATCCAACTTTACCTGACCAGATGCGTGACTATTAATATGAATTCGTTTTAGTTAACCAAAACAGTTGAATATTTGAATGCAGCAGATTTAGCTCATTAGCCAATGATTGTTTGGGACTCATGATCTGACTCAGGGACCCATTACAGTAACACTTTTTTGTTGATGCCCTTTAAGCATTTGAAGCATAATTATGCCATTAGGCTTAATGCCTCATACTTTGTCATTGACATTTGTCAGGTGTCTATAACCTCTGTAGCTTTCTAACCCATTGTGCCATTGTGTTTTTTCTACTTAAGCTCACCATATGGTAAATGTGAACTTTCCTGTAACATTTAGCTAAGATCATATGAAATGTCTGCTGGATACTTTGCATACGGTTCGTCCCACAAAGTAAATCCCAGTCTATGGTGAACTTTGCGGGTTCCAGTTTAACTACTGTATATGCAGTCAGAATTGATCTTTTATTTGGTTCCAAGACTTCTGGATAAAAGGAGTGTAAATATTCAGTTAAAAAGACTAATATGACAAAGGTGTGTAGTTCAGAAGACAACAGTTATGTTCCTCCACAAAAGGTCTATGATCCCTGTCCTCACTAATCAAAGTTAAGCTAAACTAATGCAGGAATATTGTCGGAACTACTTCAAGCATAGCAGCCTCCCCATGCTTTAAGTTTCCGTCTGGCAGGAGATCTGACAGGTTTTCTGCTGCTGATAACAATAATCACAGCCAAAGCTGCTTTTAACAATTTAGGCCCTCTGTTCAGCGGTTGACAGATGTGTATTTAAATTAGGTCTAGCTTCAAATTTTGGCACCCGTTTCAGGTTAGAAGCCCTTGATACCACAGGGTTCATGGTTTGGGTTGAGTCTTTCTTCTCCATCGCGCTCCTTCAACCCAGAGGCCGGCAAGACCCACAAGACGCGTCCCCCCCTTGTGCCAGACCCGACTGAACCCGCGTCCCGCCCTGTCCCGCAGCGCACTGGCAACGTCCGCTCCACTTTCTTCAAGGACTGCCTATATGAGGTGTTCGACGACCTGGAGTGCAAGATGGAGAATGCCGGGAAGCACTTGTTGCGTTCGGTGTTGCAGCTGATGGAGAGCGGCGCCTTGGTGCTCACCACCAACTTCGACAACCTGCTAGAGATCTACGCCGCCCACCAGGGCACCAAGCTGGAGTCGCTGGACCTCACGGACGAGAAGAAGGTACCATCTCTGGGCAAATGAGGGGACAAGCAGTTTGTTAAAGAACCTGAATGTCTGGTGATTCAGATCCCACAGGTGGCTTTGCCTTTGAGTCAAGATAATAAACTGTAGTGTAGTGGTGCATTGATGTGAAAATTTGGGCAGATACCAGTAATCTGTATTTTTGTCTAATATTATCAATACAGATAACTGGCTAATCTCTGAGCTCCACAAATCTGTAGGGAGATTCATATTGGTGATGTTACATCTTAAGATCTTGTGTCATACACATAATATAATGCAGGCACTGAGACATCATCTAAATCCAACTTGGGAAATTTGCGAGAATCTAGGTGGTGCATGAGCTGAGAAAATCCCTCATGCTCCACTATGGAAAACGGCTCATCATCCAGTGCTATCATTTCCGTCATTTTAATAGTTATGCCTTTAGCTAGTGATGGCCAAATGAAGCTTCATAAGCCACTTGCTGTATTTTCTAACCCTGCTAGATGGTGCTCTGTTTAAAAAGCATGACCCAAAGCAAGCCAAGAGCACCATCTAGTGGGGTCAGAAAATACAGCAAGTGGTTCATGAAGCTTCATTTGGCCATCACTACTTTTAGCTCTTTAGATGGCTTTCAAAATTAACTGGTCTATATATTTGCCAGCAATAATGTTGCCGATTTTTAATGAACATCACTCAACATATCAATATTGATATGTTGAGTGATATATTGTGTATCTCTACTGAAGTATATAGAACTCCATGGGCATGTCAGTAAATTTGTGTGATTTAGTACTTGGTACATTTATCAGAGTTTGATTTGAATCACTCGTGTGTTCAGGTTCTGGAGTGGGCCCAGGAGAAGAGGAGGCTAAGTGTTCTGCACATCCATGGCGTTTACACCAACCCCTGTGGCATTGTTCTGCACCCAGCTGGCTACCAGAACGTTCTGAGGAACACGGAAGTCATGGTGAGTCTCTCAGAACATCCACAGGTACTGGGAACAGCTGGGATCAGCATTCTGTAGCTGGTCAGGGCACAGATTAATTCATGAATTAGTGTAACTTAAGGTCTCAAGGAAAATTGGCTAGTAAATGGACTGCCTGTATGTGTTTGTTTGGGGACTCAGAGAGAGATCCAGAAGCTGTACGAGACCAAGTCTTTTGTGTTCCTGGGCTGTGGGCGCACGGTAGACGACACCACATTTCAGGCCCTCTTCCTGGAGGCGGTGAAGCACAAGTCGGACCTGGAGCACTTCATGCTGGTGCGACGTGAAGACGTAGGAGAGTTCAAGAAGCTACGTGACAACATGCTGGATAAGGGCATCAAGGTCATCTCCTATGGAAACGAGTATGCTGACCTGCCCGAGTACTTTGAGCGGCTGGCCAATGAGATTTGTACACGTGATGTGGTTACCAATAGCTGGGGTGAGTTTGGCTTATCAGTGGCTCTGCAAAAATAGTTCACCTGGATGCTACTTCTACTCAGCTTTAGCCTTGAGACATGTGAGATCATGGACACTCAACCACAACACATATCTTCTGCAAGGTCAAATTCACCCTCAAGAAAGCTATCCTAATTATAGGAAGGTACTAAATGGTTATGGTTATGGTCCTCTTGCTTCCATCTACTTGGCAGCAGAGTGTATCTGGCTTTGCTTGGACACTTTACTTATACGCTACTGGCACCTAGTGGTACAATCATGCATATCGCAAAATCTGCTAGCCCCTTTGCACTCCACCTTCACTGCATTAAGGCAAATGGGACAGAGACAATCACGGATGACCAAGCTGCACTGAAAATGGGGTAAATGTGCATGTCCATAACTAGACTTCATTTATATAGTGTGCACATCTTGTCTTTTTTTTTTAAATCCAGGATCGACAAATCAAGACAATGAAGAAAATCAGAATGTGGTAAAGAATGGCCTCATCCAAAGTAAGAATTGGCTAACCAGTGCAGAAATTTACATTACAGATGGTCTTTTTAAAAGAATGATTTTAGAATAGGTATATTTCAGAAGTATTCCTTTTTCATATTCCATATATTTGTTTTTGGAATCTGAAGTATTGTGTATATATATCTTTATATTTATTTTTTCTGTAGACTGTCCGTCGTGACCTGAACATAACCACAGACCCATCTAAAGCCTGCTGAGCTCTGCTGTACATTTTGGCCTCCTGCCCAGATGCGACTAAAACAGGCCAAAACGGGAGAAAAAAAAAAGAATCACAGTTACTACCTAGTCATCTGCCCACTATCTCCGTCACCTGATGACAAACCGTGAAAATGCTGGAAAACTACGGTGCTATGAAAATGGCATCCAGAATTCCCACTCCATGGGCGACCTCCGAACCAGGACGTCTGGAAAAGTAACGGGAGTGGATGGAGGAGCTTGGAAGTGGAGAGTTAAGTGTGAGGTGGGAAAATTGTGAAGGGATCACAGGAGTCTTCAGCTGGGATTCGTCTGGATCTCTGGACTACAGAAGTCCTACCAGATCCAGCCCCAAACCCATGCCTCTTCCCTTCAGACTTAAGTGCTGTACTCTATCTATTCAGCATCTGCCACATGTCTTAAAATACGACAAAATGGAGCTTATTCTCTTCGGTTAGAAGCCTCACTTATCATTTTAACCAGTACACATTTAAAAATAATTCATAGGCAAAATCAACCTCCCACAAATCTCACTTTGACGATTACACAAAATATCACCAGAATAAACCAAGGAAAACTCGGTATATATGAACCATTTTTTGTGTGATTCTGCAGCAAAAAATACTTGTTACTCATAAGCTTTGTGTTTGTATTTTGTCTTGTGATGTTTTTGCACGTAGATCTCGTAGATCATTTCAATAAAACTTGCATGTTTTTTTGTAAATGACCCAAAACTGCATGGCGTTTGAACGTGTAGTGTACGGCTGGTCACCTCTGGCGTCGAGCTGCAAATCAAGATCCCACGAGTGGCTAGGATAGCAGCTTTATTTAAGAAATGTTACATTCTCAAATTCCATGATGCAGCGGTATAGCTCTGAATTCTCTCCTATCGATTGCACTACTGCAGAGTTAAAGGGAACTGGAGAAGCTTAAGACATGTTTCTCACCTTCAAAGGCTTAAACCGTGGGACACCATCCCCAGGACAAGCTGTACGGAAGCAATGGGGAGTAGATCATTCTGCTGGGACAGGTCTGGTTAGGCCTTCAGCGCCGACAAACCACTCAGTAAACATGGGAAGGGCAGTGATGTGGAGGACTTCACAAGAGTAGGCACTATGGTAACTTTCTCATGGGGGTGGGGTGGGGGATCTTTCAGAGAGAGTCGAATTGTGGTAGGCCTTAGAGAAGTTGAGCCACAGAAGCTGGACCATGACACGCATTCCTCTGGGAAGTCTGAATGGAAATGGGCCAAGGGTCACGTTCGGACTCGACCTCGGGATTAGGCAGGCAGAAAAACAAGGTACCGACCATTAGCAACTGAGAACCTGAAAGCTGAAGGGTGTGCATCCCCGTCAGCAAGCTTTTGACTGATTTCTGCTGGCTTCCCTTGGTTCAGTTCAATCCAGGGTCTCGTTCCCCACTTAAAGCTGAAGTACAACTGAGGTAAGAATCAATTGGCCCCACAGGTTATGACAGGTGTACACGGCTAAAACCCTCCCTTCTTTGCTTGTTAAATTCACGGAAGCACCCCCCCCCCCCACCGTGTCGTGTAAAGTTGAGGTGGATCTGTAAGAGCGTCTCCGGACAGTCAGTGTGTCGCAGGGTAGGACTCGGGAAAAGAAGCGGCTGTAGAGTAGAGCTGGAATTCTCGGGAGCGTGGCTGCACGGTGAGTCCGAGCGGCAGGCTGAGCCGCCGCCGACCCCCCCTCAGGCCTTCATGAGGGTGCTGACCACTGCCTTGGCGTTCAGGCTGCGCAGGTCATTGTAGGTCTGCCCTGTGCCCACAAACACTATTGGCTGCCCGGTAATGTAGGTCATCGAGATGGCAGCGCCCACCTGTCAGACAAGAACAACAGCGATTAAGAAAAGGGTCATCATAGAGGGACCTCGCCTCTGGCCGTAAATTTCCTATTGCCCGATTCCCATTTTTAGGAGGGCCACTACTCACGTACCTTGTCGTCGATGGTGTCAAACTTGGTGAGAACGATGCCATCAATGAGATGAGGCTTGTTAGAGGTGGAGTGGTCTGCCAGGGCCTGGTTAAACTTCACCTAAGAACAATACCCAGAATTGTTTGTGACTGTACCAGTGACATACGCTAAGCTTGGCAACAAAATAAGTTTATCCTTCAGAGTTTAAAGTAGTACTGCTGGAAGTTCACCAAGAATTAGACACTACCCTCTAAACACACCCTTTAAGAACCTCGAGGCTCAACCACCCAACTAACCTACAGCTGGATCGGGAAAACAACACAGAAGTTGTTGGTGGGAACTTACTAGCTGATCCACGGCCTCATTCCCGACCAGGGCTTCCCCCACAAACAGCACCAGGTCTGGCAAATTGACAGTAATCAGCTTAGCCAGTGCAGTCATGAGCGGAGCGTTGTCCTGCATGCGGCCGGCGGTGTCCACGAGAACCACATCGAAACCTTGGTTCCGAGCTGTTGGTCAAAAAAAAAGGGTCATTCACCCGGTGGCTGCAGTCATGTAACACTTGGATCCAAACATACCAATAACAAACCTTACTATTTCAACAAAATTTATGGCTGGAGTGTACTGAAGTGGTAACCATCCTGTACAGTGTGCCCCCCAGGCATTAGAGGATAGATGGATGGGTGACTGGGCAGCAGTCAAGTATAACAGCACAAACCTCCCTGGGACACAGATTAATCTTCTTGCTAAGACGCTTAGATCTTTGCTGACATTTGCTAGCCTTCTGATATTCATTAGTAAAACTTCCGATGCTGCCCAAAAGGATAAATGTTACCGTCACTCAACAATGAGACTTCATACTGGCTAAATAGCTTACTAGAAACTGCTATGCATAAACCTGGGTGTCACAGGTTCATTCTAGCAAAGAACAATGCTAGGATTTAGGTGGGTCTGGACCTAACAACCAGTTGGTATCACAAAATCTCAGTACCACTGTCAGACACTCTTTGTGATCCTCTTAAGGTAAGCAACAGTGATGGGGTCACCATAAGCGATGGCCTCCATGGCGATCCCAGCCGCATCCTTCCCATAGCCCTTCTCGTAAAGCTGCACCATGGACCGCCCACTGTTCTCGTCGGGCGGGTGCAGGGAGTTGAGGCGTCGCTGGTGTGTACGTAGCTGCTCCACAGCCCCAGCGCGGAACGTGTCGCAGGCGGCGATGAGCACCGTGAAGCCATTCTCGATGAGCCAGAAGGAAATCTGACCAGGCCGGGCCACAGAATGGGAGCAGGAAGTTATGACAGGTGTATGGCTCACAAAATGGGGGATGCGGGCAGAGCCTCTCTGAATAACACGTGTGATGACTGGTGGATGGGCATTGGGTTGCAAAGGGGCAGAAAATTTCATGGAAACTTTCCATTCCATGGGTAGTTAAGCTGGGGAATTTTGGAAATATTCCAAGTTGGAAACTTTCCATGGGAAAATTTCCAAAATTTTGCAACCCTACGTGCATGGGGGCAAGGAGCTCACCTTGGCCAGGTTGGTGGACTTGCCGACGCCATTGACGCCGCAGAAGGTGATGACGAAGGGCCGGTGCTGGGCACGAGCCTCCAACACGTCACGCAGCACGTCCACGCGCCTCTTAGGCTGCAGGATCTGCACCAGGGAGTCCTGCAGGGCCTGCTTCACAGTGGTGGCCACAGCTGCAGAGAGAAGCAGATCGTCAGGGATACGGCCCAATACCAACCAATCACATCCCCTGGTATTCAGGGTCCAATTCGAGTGGAACTCCCACTTGAGACCCAGAAGAAACAAACGAGACCATATAGTAATTGAACACCTCCTTTAAATCAGATAAGAGTGCTTTGGAAATGCTTCTCTATGGGAGCTGACAGAACTTCTCAGAAGCTCTGCCTGCTGGCGTGGAACTTACTGGTGAAGGTGCTCATGACCTTGCCTTCCAGCTTCTTCGCCACCGAGTCACAGAGCTGGCTGGCGATGTCCGCCGCGACGTTCTTCGCTGTGGGTAAAGGCCACAGAATAAGGGTTCTGTGACAACAGAAATTTGACAGTGGCTTCAAGGCTAATCCATGCTTTACTTTTCCCAAGTGTGCTTTTGGTCACGCACATAGTGAGGTTAAGTAAATCTGGTCAACAGGTGCACGTGATTTTGTTCGGTGCTTGTGCAAGGGCAGCACTGACTTTCATAGAGCAGAGGTCAACCAAGAAAGACTACAAGAAGAATTATTTCTGTAGGAGGTGTGGAGGTATCCACATACTGTATCTAATTTTTACTGACTAGATAATGTATACTAGCCAGACAATATACTACAGTATATGGTATTTATGGTATTTTCAAAAGCAGCTCTATTCTGGCATTTTGAAACTTTGACGATAAAATTCACCAGGGGTCCAAAGCTAACTTTGTTGCAAGTATTCAGGATTTGAAAATGCTGTGGTATGCCATATTACAGCAATTCCACCCAAACCTAAACTAACGACTTTAAAACTTGTGAAAATTTTCTCCTTTTCACTACATTGCTTGTGTTTGTTGCTACACATCTGCCCTCTCTTGGTCTGGTGGAATATCACTGCTGTGTGCAAGCCCCGACCGTGACCCAATTTCAGGGTCAGCTGCATATACCATGATGTCATATTGCCTCCTTTGTAGACTTGTTTTATACCAACTAAAAGGTAACAGTCCTAGGTTCAGATACAGGGGTCAGTTCCCCACAATGCTCCACAGCTGGATGACGGGCCACCATACCAATGAGGTGATCCCTCATCTTCTCCAGCACCGGCTCCATGTCCTTCCGGGTGAGGTTCTTGGATCCTACCAAGCCCTTGAGCATCCCGAACATGCCCCCAATTCCTCCCTTCTTGGTGCTTTGAGGAGGAAGGGAGAAAAAAAAAAAAAAAAAAGGATTGGGCCATTGTAGAGGAAGGGAATCCAGGAGCATAAATGCATAGATGTGGCGTATTTCTGCAGTTAGTCTACATGAGCAAAACAACTAAAGGTCCTGTAATCAAGTACAAGGGGAAGGCAGTAAGTCGTGTCTAATTTGGATAAGCATCTATTAAACAGGCAAGCAAATTTAAAAAAAATAAAAATAAAAAATATCCGAGGTTATGTAATGGTTACAGAAACATCGGGCCATTTTCCTGGCACTGATCTTGAATAAACCTACTTTTTATCAGCGACGGCCGTCACGTCCTCTTCTTCGTCATCATCGTCGTCGTCCTCCTCACTCGAGACATCAACGGGGCGAAGGTCTCCTTTCATAGGATCCAACTGCTGTTGGGAGACCACATGGTACAGACAGATTTCAGTTTCACCTCTTGCCTTGTTTTACTGAAGTCAATTAGCTCTGGTCACCACAGGCACCAGCCAACTACCTTCACACTGATTCATTCACGTAGGAACAGCAGCGTTCTTACATGTACACCCATGACGTCAGCCGGAGCGTCGCCAGAGGGGCCAGATGCATCATGGGAGCTATTGCCATTGCTGTTGCTGTAGTCCAGTTCCTTAGTGCTGCTGCCTCCATTATCCCACGTTCGCTTCTGCTTGCCTTTGGGTTTCTGTGGTTTGGGCGACTTACTGTGGGGCCAAAGATGAGCAGAAGACATGGCATCAAGGAAAGATCAACACCAGCAGCCCTCATGCCGGTCCGACGCAGAGTCCTGCTATCCTACGGACCTGGTTTTCTCCTTGTTCGCTCGGAGCTTCTTGCCGAAGAACTTCTCGCGGTTCATCGCCACAATCTCCTCCTGAGTCAGGTTCTGGCTGCCGTTCTCGGCTGCCTTCACGGTGGCGGCTGCAGCGCCTCCCTTCTGTGCATCCACTCCGACCGGCTCCGGAGCTGGAGCTGGGGGGCAAAGAACAGGATCCTATCATACAAGAGCTCCGACGTACAAAACGGGGAAAAAAGCTACAGAGGCATCAACCTCTCGGGGGCATTTTAAAGGACAATTGGACCAAGAGCACATGGACACTTCACTAAGGGTGATACACATCTTCTTTTCATTCAACCTCAAACACGAGCCTACACTTAATCTACATGGTTAGCATTTGTGTTCCCAGAAAGGTAGATCTACTGACTGGTGCCCCCTTGAACTGTAAATCATTGGAAACACATGTTCGCCCATCATATTTCATCTCCTAGGAAGCGCCACATTCTGTGACGTCAATCCCCAAGCCTCGCTATAAAGAGCGCCAGTCAGCACACGGAGCTCACCTTCCTTCTTCCCGCCCTTCTTGCCTTTGCCGCTGGGCTCCTTGCCCTTATCCCCTCCTTTAGTCTCGATCATGGACTTGACAGTCTTCTGAGACTTCTGCGACTCCGCGAAGGGCTTCATGGACACAGGCCCGCGGCTTTTACTGCTCTCCTCTGCCTTACTGGACACATACGTTTGCCATCATTAACACAGGCCTTGAGTTTCCCCATTTCATCATCGATTGAGGTAACGAGATTCGAGCAGAAAAATAGACTGCGAGGGACAGGGCTAGTGTGACTAGGAATCCTATTTATCTGTTAACATTAGCACAACAATAGGCTAAAACAAACTGGCAACAACAAACTGGCGGTCAAGTGCACTCCCGAAAGGATGCCAAATTAACTTCCTTTGCTGTCTCATCTGATTTGCAGGCTGAATCAGGAGACCCCAAGGGCATGTGTGCAAAGTGCTTACTGAAGAAGCCTTGTGAAGTCATCCTTGAAATCAAAGTTGTTCAACAGAAGCTTCAAGTCTCCCCTCTGCTCCAGCACATTTTTGTAACGGTCCCTGAAGTGAAGCTGGATGTCATCTATGAACTTGTCCACGTATGTCAGCATTAGGATCTTCTGATAGCCCACCTTTATTGCGGGAGGACATACATTTACATTTATTTATTTTTTTGTTGCATTTCAGGTTACTGTTGTACTTTACGTGGGCAAATAGCTCAAAGCCAAAAGGACCTAAATTATGTTACTTACCACAAACACCAGTTCAAACTCATTGTCCAGTTTGTATTTCAGGGTCAGGGCGTTGTGGGTGTAGGAATTATTTCCACTGCGCTCCTTTAAATACAGAAAGACGTCTTTAAGAATACATTCCTTCAAACGTATGTAAACATAGAGGATGTAAATCAGGAAAAAAAAAAGTAATCCCATAACAATACATCGTTGTCTATGAGCCCTGCGTTTTAACGCAGTTTAAACTTCAAGATTAAATCACATTCCAAATACTTGTTCTTTAGGCAAAGAACAAACTAAACGGCAATTATGAGACTCGAAACAAGAGAGGCAACTCGCCAGGTTATGCTCTGCAGGGACCACTATTCTGTGATTTTCAATAATGTAATAGGTGGGTTTCTCAGAATGCCAATGGTGGGTGTATTTCCAAAATCCAGCAGAGACAGTAACATGTCAGTTTTATTAAATAAATTGTGTTAGCTGTGAAATTACAGGCGATCGTGCTTTTATTCTCGCCTAAGACCACAGCAGCAGCTGACTTTTCAGCACTGCGATTGCACGGGCTAACCTGATAGCTGTTAAACTATGTAAAGAAATAGAATAGCGCAAAAAGCATTTTTCTATTACAGGTCAGCGGGTTTCGTTCATGACAGCCACCGCTGGTGTCATTTCGACTGCCCCCCGGTCTTCATACCTGCAGGATCACGGAGCGGATAAGTGCGTTGACGGGCCCCGTGAAAGATTCGGTCACCCCGACGCCTTGAAAGCACCACAGTACGATGCCTCCTTTACTGAAAATGGCGAAGAAGTCCAGCATCTTGCCACTGAGTGCCTACTGCCTATCTCTATTAGGAAAGAACACAAACAGCAACCAATATGGTGAAATAGAAACAGAAAATAAATAACCGGCAAGACCTCTATGTGATCGACAGACAACCCTCCTTCCAAGCCAGATGCTCGGAAACTCCGCTTTCGACACGTCAGTTGCCCAGTGTAAGGAAATGACGTCAGATAAAGGCGACGCGCCAGTCACGTGATCAGGGAGGACTCCGATTGGCTGGCACTGATTCGTACGATGATGAGAGTTTTATCGACCGATATATCCATGCAGCAGTCACTTCGACAATTGACATATTTTACCTTAGCATATTTTACATGATAATATGCATATTTTCTATGTGAGTGTGGCGTTTACATATCCCCCCGTTTACTCCGGTTTCGTCCCGCAGCCCAAAGACACGGTTAGGCTAATTAATGTCTAATAAAATTGCACGTATGATTATGTGTGTAAATGATCTTAGGGGTGTACTCCTGCCCTATTCCCCACTACTCCCAAGGATAGGGTCCAGCACCCCGCCGCCCCCCCCCCCATATTCCGGTGACCCTGCTCTGGATTGTTTGGAAAATGGATACACATACATCAATTCAATAACTGATTATCCAAGTAGGATTGCAGTGATTCATGGATTATGCACAGGATACAAGGCAGGCCACTGGAGGAAACCATGGTCCCTGGCAAAAATCCATGCAAACAGAGGGAGAGAGCAAGTATGCAAACTGCGCAAATGCTATGCCACTGATGGATTTAAAACTTTATAACAACCACTGAGGGAAGTAGAAATATGCTGACTTCAGTCACTGAGATTCATGCACATTAAATGCACAAACAAATATTTAAACAGCAATTCTTCAATGTCATAAATTTACGTCTGGTCATGATCCCAGGGAACTCTAGCTGTTATGCACTGTAAAATATAAATTGACTGATTTACATTATTTAAAACAAAATACAAAGACTGTGTTCTGCTAAATTTACATTTATTTGCCAAGCACGAGGTCTGGCTAAAAATCAACGTTAAGTATCTTGGTCAAGGGTACAGCGGGACATCTTCCACAGCAACCTTGGGGTGTATATTCTTAATTAATGGTAAGTCTCAGTAGATGCTGTAGGAAAGGGATCGATTGATGCATATGTGACGCATCTATTGTACTTTCTTCAGTCATTCACAAGGGGGCGCAAAGAGCACAAAAGCCGTCGTAAATAAACGTATTTGTACTATAACAAACCTAAACCACAATTTTGTAAATTTCATTCAGCACCTTTTCAAACCACAGGGAACATTTCAATCCGCAGAGGTGAGTGAATAGTCTGATTTTTAATGGGGTCAGATACTCGCCATGGAGATGGTTACCATTCAAAATAGAAAGGAAAATCACCTGGACGGAGAGCTGCCAGGACACCCAGAACAGACCCCAGTGCAAGGGATTATGGGCGTTACTCCTCTCTTAGTGTTTGTGCCCTGCAACTTCTTGTAAGCTACTTTTCAGTTGAAATCTGATTTTTATCTATTGCTATATTTCCTCCTGTACAGTATTATGAGTACTATACCAAACTCTTTTCATTCTTCGTGTAAAAAAATGCCTGTGTGTGTGTGTGTGTGTGTGTGTATATATATATATATATATATATATATACACACACACACACACTATATACAGCCCTCTAAAATGTCTGGATTTTAGCTCCCATAAATTTACCAGTAATTTAAGTGAACCTAATTGGCCTGTAGTTGGCAGTTTATTGGTTTGACGTTACATTGTCCATTTTCCAGTCTGGAAAAAGATATGGAGACTATGAATAATCTGCCAGCAAGACAATATACCACACACACACACACACACACTGCCTCGTTCCTCCATGGATGGGGGTTTGAATCCTGCTCTATGCGTGTTGAGTTTTAATGTCATCCCATCCAGGCATCTGCTTTCCTCCCACAGACCAAAGACACATAGTCACCCTATTTGGTGCCACTAACTTGCCCATCTGTGCAGAATATGCCCCTGCTTGGTACCCTGTGTCAGTGTCTTCGGGGAGCTCCCTGCTAGACAGACTCCAGAACCCCCCCCCCCCCCCCTTCCGTGACCCTGACCAAGATAAGCAATAAAAAGATGTGTGGATTATTTGTTTTAAGGTGAACTTTACTCCATCCTCAGGTAGTAGAAGATAGTGAAGTATTATAATTTGGAATCGTAACACTGTAACTTCGTAACACATTATCCTGTATGACTTCTGCTTCAGTAAGTTTGTTTTCAGGCACTTCATGTCTTTAGTGACATATCAGTCTCAGGTACTATATTCACTTCTGCTACGCAACATTCATCGATCAGTTCAAGAAGAGGAACACTAATGATGCCCTTTTTATTTATTTCTGCTTCTTGGTCCTGCAGTGGAGATGGTCACCTTTATTTGGATACACTTTGCATCATCGTTTGATAGGACACCCTTTGCGTTGACAATACAACTCAGTTTTGCAGATGTTACACTCAGGCTGAGCTAATGCATAGCCTTTGGTACACCAACTCAGCCGCAAGGAAAGGAGTTTATTTGTCTGTCAAATTATACAACCTGCATATAAACAGGAGTGCTACCTAAGATAGTAGTGTCAAGGTGTGGAACTGAAATATTATTTGGTGTCACAAAATGACTGCAGCCTGCACTTAGGTTATCTGCATATGTATATAGTATATACTGTGAAGGTCACTGACTTCATATATCCATCCATCCATCCATCCATCCATCCATCCATCCATCCATCCATTTTCCGCTTATCCTACTGGGTCCGGAGCCTATTGACTTCATATATATGCAATAATTATCATCTTGGCACTTTGCCCCATTGCTCTATGGTCTTTTGGCTCAAGTCCTTACTATACATACTGTGCTTCATTGATGATTTGTACATTTGCTATACATGTTTTTTTTGCTGTATGTCTGCTCTGTATAAGTACATTGAGCACAAGGGGAAAAAACAGAGACAAATTCCTTGTATGTGAAAACATACTTGGCCTATAAAGCTGATTCTGATTTGTTATTCATTGAGCGTACACCAAAATGAAGCGAATGGGATTTATAAAGCAGAACGTCGACATCAATGCAAGCTGCAGACTAGGCCTCCAGTTGGTTCCTTGTGTCTTTGGAGATGCACTGCGAGCATTAAAAACATGCCACACAGGGGTAAGTCAGAAAATAAGGCGAAAAGTATTCTGGGAGGTGCTGAGACGTTTTCAGTAGCAACATCAGGCTACAAATCGGGGGCTGTTTGTTTTGAAATCGACATGTTTGCTCTGTGCATGGAATTTGCATCTTCTCGCTGTGATTACATTCACCTAAGGTATTCTAGAAGCCCGAATGTCCTAGTAATACCTCAACCCTAATTGGTTACATGGTTGATGTGGTTGATGAAAAGTATTGTAACGATCTTTGTAGATGAAACTGTTGTTGAGCCAAAAGCAGAACAGGACAGTTTAATGTGGTAGTTGGTAGCAACATCAGTAAATCAACAGTAGAGGTTCTGCCTTGTCTTTTCCCACTTACTGTGATGATATGATAGTAGAGTAGACTGGCACTAGTTAGGTTAATGCCACAATAGTTAGTGCAACTTGTACCCGGAGCCAAGCATATTACCTAGAATGTTCTTACTGTATTGAATGTTCATAGTCTTCTCTTTCCAGTTCTAATTCGGGATATTGATATTGTTCAGCTAGCTTTCTCCCTAATTTTTCCATTCTAGACTCATTCTAAAGGTCATGTCCGCACAGACAATTTGTGCTTCGAATGGCAATATGCTTCATGGAAATTTCCCCCGAAGCAGAGGGAAGTTGTCCAGATTGCCAGCAATCCTAAAGGGTTAAGTGTCCAGCTCGTGAGTCTTGTGTACATGCAAGGTAGACCACGGCTGTACAGGCAAGTTGTCTGTATGCTGGTATGCCAAGCCAGAACCATTATGGGAGTGGGCTGCAAGGATTTGTCCATATAAACAGTGACGGTTCCAACACAAGAAAATGCACAGAAACAAATGAGATGTAGCGTAACACTTTACTTGAGGAGGCTTAAATGTTTAGTAGTAACCCAGTTGTACAAATCATGAACAAATACAGTAGGTACATGAGATAAAAGATACATCATGTTTCATTAAACATTCACTGATGCTGGCCTTGAGGTCACTTGAGGTCAGTATTTGTATTATTCATTATTTGTTCCATCGGTCACAAACACAAACATTTACAGAATTAACAGATATAGTAAGAAATTTAGTAACTGCCTGACATAAATGATGCTTCACAACTCATTGATGAAGAGCCTTCTGTATTTCCTGTAGCCTACATTGGTTAGTTAAACAAATACCTAATAGATACTGCAGTAAAAACAAATGGAACAGAACTCAAAATTCACTACAAACAACACGTTTATAAGCTGCTCAGCTTGCTGTTTGGAGTTCTTGGTAATGCTAAAATGCTGAAAATAAAGTTATGATTATGCTAACATTGTGTCTAGGTCAGGGGTCTCCAACTCCGGCCCTGGAGAGCTACTGTCCAGTAGGTTTTCTGTCCCACTTGGCTTCTGATGAGCCACACCTGCTCCTGGTATTTACCTGAGAACAGGTGTGGCTCATCAGAAGCCAGGTAGGATAGAAAACCTACTGGACGGTAGCTCTCCAGGACCGGAGTTGGAGACCCCCGGTCTAGGTTGAAGTAGGAGTATTATAGATCCATATGGCAAATTGTTCCAAATAAATGTACTACTCAGAAGTGCTCATTTGCAATCTCTGAGCTACTGGCTTTTCCTCAACATCCGATTGCTCCTCTGATACAGGCTCAAACACATATGGTTGGATGCCTAAATGCTCCATGTGTCACCTCATGTGTAGTGATCTATGTTGGTTTTGTGTGAGCCATTGCAGTGCCTCACTGTAAACCAGCCAATCAGAGGAGAGCTCATGAACATATTAATGATTCCACCAAATAGGGGAAATCTGCCTGTTTTGTTCAAGGGCTAAATTATATGGTTGTAAATGGATCTGTGACACCACTTCTGGACATTTCTGGACCAAACCAAGTCCACATACCTTCTGTTTAGGGACATATGGGAGGTATTTTCTGCAAAAAATAAAATTAAAATGATAAAATGAAAATACAGTCTCCACTTTGGCATTTAGTTTTCAGTCTTGCGCAAAAATCTTGCCAAAATGAAAATTAAAAGGAAATTTGCATTTTAATTTTCCATTCATATATGAGTCAGATTCAAATTAAATTAGATTCAAATTAAAAAATAAAATTAAAAGACTATTTGTCTTTTCATTTTCTTGGCTGACTTTTCATTTCTTGCTCTGCTTTTTCATATTCAAGTTCACAACATGCAAATATATGTTAATTGGGGATGGGAGGGGCGGAGCTTTGGATCACTGCTACGCTTTCTCACTGTGTTTGCGGATTCTGCTGTCGTTGTGTTTCTTGTATATGGTCACCCGTGTCACCCAAACCTATGGCAAATTCACGCGCAGCTTTAGTTAGCTACTTATTTGCAACTTCCGATTCATTAAGCTTCTTATTCGCAGCGTCCTGTTTCGCGTAGTAAGTTATTCCCAGCTTCATTAGGGGAAGCGTTCGCAGGCGCACATGCTGCAAAGTTTTTAGTTAAAATAGACACCAGAGAACACTTTGAAAAAAAATGCATTCTATGGCACCTTGAATTGATTTATCGGTGGCACATTTAAATATAATGCCATAATATAAAAATCATCTGCAAGATCTACAAGGACTGTCAGCAGCAATAGCAATTGTCTAGAACAGAGGGTCTATGTAAATGCAAATTTGCTGATAGCAAAGTCTTCATTGTATCTTTATATTCAGTATGTCTAACATCTCAGCACAAAGAACCAGGCTTTTCATGAGTTGTTCTGACTTGTCCTGAATGCAGTAATATAAAGTATATTGCCAAAAGTATTGTGGCACCTGCCTTTACACACACATGAACTTTAATGACATCCCATTCTTAATGCATACTGTAGGTTTTAGTATGGAGTTGGCCCATCCGTTGCAGTTATAACAGCTTCAACTCTTCCGGGAAGGCTGTCCACAAGGTTTAGGAGTGTGTTTATGGCAATTTCTGACCATTCTTCCAGGAGAGTATTTGTGAGGTCAGGCACTGATGTTGGACAAGAAGGCCTCTATTCCCACAAAGCTGGGAGCATGAAATTGTCCGAAATGGCTTCGATTGCTGCAGCATTCACTAGAACTAAGGGGCCAAGCCCAACCCCTGAAATACAACCCCACACCATACTCCCCCCTCCACCAAACTTTACACTTGGCACAATGCAGTCAGGCAAGTACCATTTTCCTGGTAACTGCCAAACCCAGACTCGTTCATCCCATTGCTTGACAGTGATTCGTCACTGCAGAGAACACGTCCTCACTGCCCTAGAGTCCAGTGGTGGTGTGCTTTACACCACTGCATCCGATGCTTTGCATTGCACATGGTGATGTAAGGCTTGGGTGCAGCTGCTCGGCCATGGAAACTCATTCCATGAAGTTCTCTACACACTGTTCTTGAGCTAATCTGAAGGCCATGTGAAGTTTGGAGGTCTGTAGCTATTGACTCTGCAGACAGTTGGCGACTTCTGCACACTGTACGCCTCAGCATGCGTTGTCCCCGCTCTGTGATTTTATGTGGCCTATCACCTCGTGGCTGAGTTGCTGTTGTTCCCAATTGCTTCCACTTATAATGCCACTAACAGTTGACCATGGAATGTTTAGTACCAAGGAAATTTCATGAGTGGACTTATTGCACAGGTGGCATCCTATCACGGTACCACGCTTGAATTCACAGAGCTCCTGAGAGTGACCCATTCTTTCGCACATGCTTGTAGAAACAGTCTGCATGCATAGGTGCTTGATTTTATACACCTGTGGCTAAGGAAGTGATTGGAACACCTGAATTCAGTGACTTGGAGGGGTGTCCCAATACTTTTGGCAATATAGTGTAGTTATCAGAGAGACATTACAGTATAAAAAAATGTGAGTACTCTACACACAACTCTTATGAAATAAGCACCTATCTTTGTTTTTGTTACAGTCCAGTTACTTTGCTGTGAAAGAATGATTCAGCTGCACCAACAGAGGTCTCTAAAAGAAAATATCCAAAAGGGTCACCTGTATGAGTTTGTGCTTGTGTGTGCTTGCATAGATCAGATTTGGCGTCCAAAATGTCCCCAAAATGCGGTAAAATCTGAAACTTCCTTACTTTTTGGGACATTTTTCAGCTCGCCATTTGGATAACCTCAATTTTATAAAAATCTGTGAATGCAATCAAAAATGTTAAAATGCCAAAAGTCTTGTATTTTGTTTGGTTACTTACGGTTAAGGTTAGGCCTGGATAGGAGTTAATTGGGATTAGGGTTTTTCCCATAGAAATGAATGGAAGGTCCCCATTTTGACAGGTTCGCCAACATGTGTGTGTGCGTATCAAACCGTCCACATCACAGGGTTTAGGGGTGCAGACCCCCGCGAACTGGAAAAGATATATAAAAGAAAAAATAACAATTGATTTTTGAAAGACAGTCCACAATGATTCAATGGGTACAACTGTTACCTCATACAGTCACCTGACAGTTTCGGTCTAGCGTTAGGTGTCTGCTTGTTCAACATTATAGTGAAAGGAAGGAACCTTTATTGAAAATTACAGGTAATATCCTGATATTATATTGCGGTCACGGTTAAATAATTTTTCAATGGAATCTGTTAGCTGACATTTGGTAAATGCATCACATAGCCATAGCGAGTGGCTGTCCTAAACATCTTAACGCTACTAGTCTGCTAGCAACTGAGATATTTATTTCAAATTCAAATTTTATTTGTCACATACACAATCATACATAGTATGACATGCAGTGAAATGTGTTTGCAGTGCCCGACCTATTAATAATAAGATAGAATACGAAAATAAAAATAGAAGATAAGAATGAAATGTAGTATAATGAAATGCAAAGTTAAAAATATAAACTGTAATAATAATAGAATATAGAGATAAAAATATAAAAAATATAAAGAGAGTTAAGAATAAAAATAGAAATGGAAATATGTACAAATACAATAAAATGTGCAATTAGCAGCAATATTTATATTTATTTATAATTGTTTTCTAATTTCATTGATTGCGGAGAGTGCTGAGTCATTAGTAATATGCTAATATTCATGCGCCTTTGCTTGTCTGGGGCAGTATTTGTGTTGTAAATGCAAATGTCAGTGCAGCGTTTCCCTAGCTACATCACAGACCTGGCGTAGCCCCTCTAGGCTGGAGTATATACCGCCAGTTTGACAGATTGAATGAAGAAACACTGTTTCGTTTTGTTGATTTAAGCTTGAAGTAAAAAAAATAATTAACAATTCACATTAAATCCTTTTAAACAATCTGCAATTCTTTTTTTAAAAAAAACAACAAAAAAAAAACAACTGATGTCAGGACTTGGCTTCCAGTTGCTCTTTCATGGAAAGATCATCTACTAGCTCAGTGGTCTCATGAAAAATGCCACTGTGGAAAGTCTGTGAAGTTAGACTACACACATCTTTGAAGGACCGTAGGAGGGGCTGGGCGGCGGTCTGGGATGAGTGAATCACGGTGGGTTTCTTAAAGACCGCGTAAATGTTTAGAAGAGGCGCACAAAGGAAGGTGGGCACTTAGCAGTGTTAAAAGAACTGGAAGGGATCACATTCTGGACACTTGAATGAGCTCGTTTGTCCTACAATATCCAGGTGTATAACTATAGGAGCTGGATGTTGAAGTTGGACTGTGAAGAAGCACGAAAGGAAGACTGAAATTTTTACATTTTTAAAACACGATAAACGACAAGGGTATGGTATGGTCGCTCAGCTGCTAGCACTGTGCATAACACTCCGAGCTGGCAGACTGAATCCTGTCCTGGCTCAGCGTGTGTTGAGAGTCTGCACATTCTCCCCTGTTTTTTGCAGGATTCCTTTGGGTACCTAGATTTCCTCTAAAATTCCAAAGAGATGCAGTTCATTTATGTCAGCATGTATACAGAAGAATTTTGTCTACGTAGGCATCAGTAACAGTACTTTAATAACAGGTCTAATAATAACTAGCTGTATGCATTTATTATTAGCAATGACTAAGTGACAATTAATATTTCTATTTATAAACGTGTTACTCGATTTGTCGGCACGATTTAAAAAACTTATATAGGTGCTTCGTATGTCCAGGAGGAAATTGTGAAACCGACTTTATTCATTTCTTTGAGATAAATGCATTGTCACTCAGCACAAAAGTTTGATTTGTTTGTAAATTAGTTATCGATAAATAGCGAACAAGATAGGGTCATTACTTTTGTTTCCATTTGGTACGTGGCTAATCATGTTAGTTCTTTTAAGCTGACTTTTAAACGCCTTGAAAAGAAAACGTGGGATTTAGGGTTAATTGTACAGTTGCTGTTGGAACCGCACCCGTCAGAATCTGTAAACGTAGACCTGCTATAAGAACAATGAAAATCCATACTGTAAGTTAGCATGTATACCTCCATTACCTTCCATAATCCACTAAACACGTGACACAAGTTTCATTGCATTAAATGTATGCATCCTGTAATATAGGCCTATACATATGTTGTAGAGAAGAAACCTTCATGATCACAGAGCAAGATCACCCAAAAACTACACTTTTACAGCAAATTAACGACCACATCAGTATCATCCACCCCTGACCTATAGGAAAATAATAAGACTCCATACATCCTGTAATAACAGTAGCGGTGCAAATCAGATTTTAACAACTTCCTTCAAAATTCCCATCCAGCCCATTTTGTAAGTAGGCGAAAGAATTGAGTTTTAAGCCACTATTTGGCCCCATCCAGAGTTGGGTTTTAATCCAGTGACCCGTCCCATTCATTCGGAAAGACCGAAAACATTGTCTTGACAATTTGTTGCGTGTTAATTAAAATGCTGTTGAAATCGCACAAAGAAGCTTTCAATTAACCGTAATATTTCCTCCTACATATTTTTATTATGAGTAAGGCACGTTTTCGGAACCACACCACCAGTACTTCATCACTCACATCGCATAAAGGCATTTCAGTTGTGCGTTTTAAATTTAGGTTCCCTGGCATCTGCGCATGCGCCAGAACATGTTCCGAAGGAGTGTGTCGTATGTGAAGCATATGGCACATTTATTTAATTGCAAGTATTTGTGATCGTAAGTATTTTTTTAAGTTGTTGCATAGTCGAATAACGTTGCGTTTTAACACGAACAGAGGTGAGGTTCCGAAGTTCAGCGTTGCGTTTGAACAAGCAAACATATCAAAGTATTCTCCTCCTCCTTCTTCTCAGTCTGGGGGACACTATGCACCAACTTTCTTCAAAGTAATACTTCAGCTGCGGCTCCCCTTCCATGCAAAGATGTGCATCGCCGGTGAGTTTGCTCAATCAGTGGAAGACACTGTCTTTTTTTTTGTTAAATAACGTGTTTTCCCGCGGACCGCCTTTAAACAGTAAGGAAACAAAGATGCGATGCCTTGTTACTCCTTGGCTCCGGCGCCTCTTGTGTGTTTCAGCTTGTAAGCGGATCATCCGTGTCTGTACGAGCAATTTCCGAAGAAAACGAGCGTCAAGCCCCTTATATATCGTTATATATATGTATTTTTGCGACGAAAAGGGTCCATTTTGGGATTTGGGATTTCGTTATATAACAGGCGATGCAGTTTTTGCAGTTAAACTGAGTCAGGTTTTCGTATTACGTGTCTATTGTGAAACGCTTTAGAAGTCATTTATAATCTTTTTTTTTGTAGTTTAAAAAGAACAACAGGCCGGGCATTCGTGCTGTATGTAGCCTTGTATATTCGGGTTTTTATTTTTTATGAGAAGTAACTTTTGCGGATGCAGGCTATAAGTTTACAGTAGTAAAGTAATTTGACATACCGCTTCTATGAACAGCACATTTAAACTTAAAAGGATACTTGTGTTTATGATGAGAGGGTTTAAGGGATTTCAATATATCTTTAACAATCGTGCTTTACCACAAGTTATTAGCGGATACCTTCACGCGTGCCTGAGTGCATTTTTATGTAACACTATCAGCTTTGAACACATGCTGCGCAGTGAGTGTTGCTTCACAGTCAGATGTTTACACACAAAATCAACTTTTTTGAACAGGACAGGACATTTCGTAGGACGGAGGCGTTTTAGACGCATGAAATACATGCCCCGATCAGCAATTTTGTGTTCCGGAGACCATATGTCGTTTATGCCGAACCCGACAAGTTGTAACTGGTAATTGTTTGTTTTCTTAAAAAAAAAAAACACAGCGTCGTGTACATCTGATGGCACCAAAATGGACACGCCGCTTAGACACGACCATGTCGTAGCAGAAACACACCTTATTCGTGGTTTTAATGAAAGATGAACACAGATTCATGACGTATTTATAAACTGGTTGAGGTAGGCTTATAACAAGATGGTGATAACGTTTTCATTTTTTAATTTAAAATGTATGGATTTAAAATGTACATATGCCTTGCTCTGAATGAATTCTTGCAAATGTGATTTGATGTTAGAAGTGTGTGTTAGGGAGAGGGAAGAGTGTGTGTTTTGGTCAGACTTATTACCTTGGGAACAATTATGTCAGTAGTTGGCTGGATTTACTAATCTGCCGCTCAGACTGTTTAATGAATATTGCTTATGAAAAGTGGAAAATTAAATGGCTGGTTTTCCTGCACTAATTTAATAGAGCACCCCTCATCATCTATATAAATATTGCCTGTAAAGAGTATGTGTGTGTGTAATATATATATATATATATATATATATATATATATATATATATATATATATATATATTATATGTATTATATATATGTATTTTGAATTCTTTTGGTATTGTGAAAACCTCCTCTGTTTTTATCTTCTTTGTCGTAGTGCAATAACCCTGACTCTTGTGCATCCCCTGAATTTTGTAAGGGCTGACAGTGTTTACAGTAGATAAGTTCCCAAGATGTAAATAGACTGACATACAGGGTTCATGGGATACTCTGATAACAGTGTACTGAGGATCGCCTGCAAATATGTAGATACAGAGACTCTTAAATGACAGTTGAACGTTTCTGAAAGGGGAGCGGAGTGAGTAGCAGTCATTTGTGGTATTAGGAGTGACTTGATAGGGGGTGAAGCCTTCGGAACTACATCTGTTATGACACAGTTTCCTCCACCAGCTCAGCATTTGTTTGATGCCGAAGCTTTTTTTTGTCATTGCAATACATCTGTGTCACTCTATACATCGCCGTGATGTTGGATTGTGTGTCATGTCAGATCAGCAGTACATCGATTGCGCATTTTGAATTCCCCTGGGAATAAGTTCTCATTTCTCCTTTGTTGGAAAAAAAAATGCATGGTTTAAAACTGCAAGGTTATCTACTGCAGTGCACTTTAATGTAAGCGAAAGCAGAAAAGGTAGATATCCTGTTCTTCAGCATGTATAAGTAACAGTATGTATGTGAAGGCCAACATGTTTCAGTTTGTCTGTCAATCATGGTGAGAAGATGCAAGGTATGGTCTGGGTCCCACACTGCGCCCCCCTGATATAATGGTAGGGGAAACACTGAGCGTAGATCAGGGCAAGGCATCCCTGATCCTAGAGTCCCAGCATCCTACCCGGTCTCTGATGACCCTCACCTGATCTCAGGCTCATCTAGTAGGATAAGTTGGATCGAAAACCTCCTGGATTCCAGCAGTCCAGGATCAAGGTAGCCTGCCCCTGGTATTGCATCATAGAACAGCAGGGTCAGTAGACTGACAGACTCAAACAAACAAATGTGAAGTGACCAGTGCCAGGGGGACCTATTTGAATGCTGGGGTAGGTCGTAAGGGGGGCAGCATGGGGGACGTAGCTGTTGCCAAACCTGGCAGAACTGTCTCTGATGCTTCTGCTAGAGAGGAGCAGGAGTCTTCCACGATGCTAGAGGCTTTGTGGGTGCAGAGTTATTATTATTATTAAGTGCTGCATGCACTATCCATTACAGGGACTTGTGTTTTGGTCCTTGCAATCCCCAAACCAAACCATGATGCTGCCGCTCAGAACAGTCTGAAGGCATGTTGTTAGTTATTGGGGGGGGGGGGGGGGTGACAATGGGATAAGCTGTGTCTCGTATAGGTTGAAAATGGGACACAGAATTTTATTTATATTTTATTTATACATCCCGCGACATGTTTTTAATTTATTATGTTTGACCAGCAGATCAGTGTTTCGTTTTCCACAAAATATAAAACTATGTAACGTTATTCCAGTAGTCAGCACCAGCAACATAGCCAACACTGGCTATGGTAGACAAAAGTGTATTGGCTATCAGTATCGGTCAGAATTTCCATATCTGCGCACCACAAAAAACAAAATGAAAGCCTGAGCACACAAGAGAAGACCTTTACGTTGAATTCTGGAGATTGAATTTTCCGATGCCAAAATATGGTGATGCAAGCAAAAAAAAATAATTCATTAATGCATTTAGTCTGATTGATACAAAATAATTCCATCCAGCATTTTTTTTCCTCTGCAACTCCTTTTTCTTGTACTTCTGCTTTCAAGTTGGTACTGGGGACATGTGGTCAGTCAGTCAGCAAAGTTTATTGGTATGAGCCCCACCTCTAGTTCCTTTTTGAACAAATAGTTCCTACTATAGAGCAGAACTTGGAGGACCAAAAAAAAAGGACCATTAACTACCTCCTAGGATCTACAATCGGGTTGTGGGAACGATGCTGCAATTTCTGCTGCAATCATACTCATCACTTCTCTCCACCATAAAAGAGCAAACCGATATGAGAAAAGCGCCCATAAAAGAGAGTTTCTTCTGCTCTCTTGCATTTATCTGCCCACATAACTCATTATGCTCGATTTAACTGCTTAAGGATTGTAAACATTAGACTAGCATGATAACCTGTAGGTACAGAACAGATGGTAGGCCGCAGGAACATCTAACTATTTGTTTTCCCTCTTGTAACCAGGCAGGATTCTGTTCTATATATAATAACTTGGATTTACTTGGGAATATTGCATTATCAATGTCTGTAATAGTCTAATTAGTACCGGTACTGAAGAAATGTGGCACTTCAGTGCCTTTTCAGTACTAGTATCCAATGCAATACTACTTCAGACTAATTTTTCTACTGGTAGTACTGGTACTCCTCACTGAAAATTTTAGGAATATCAGCGCAAAGTTTTGGCGCACCACTTAAATCAACATCCAACGCAACACATTCATATTTTTTTCCCATCTTAACTGTATTACTGATAAATGCTTTGACAATGAATATACAATTTATAGAAATAACAATGTGTTATTTTATTTTAAAGCAAAAAGTCACAGAGTGAAGTAGTGCTTAAGAGAAAAAAAAGCATTAAATTAAATGGTGTTTTTTTAAACATCAAATAATACTTTATGTTTACCTTTGTAAATTTATGTGGTCAGCTGCTCTTCCGCCAGTGCATCTGTCACTGCATAGTTTCTGCTATGTAAATTCAGGCTGTTATTGTGCTGTTGAGTGTTTCATGGGGCATTTTTCCACCCAAATTCAGGAACCTAGTTCCTGGTTCTGAGTTCCAGAGCCATTTCGACTGGCAGCTTTTGTAGCTTCTGGCCACTTTCGTTTATTGCTTTTCCACTGTACAACAGGAACTGGGACCTTCAGGCTAAACAAGCATGGGAGACGCAAAAAGGTTGTAGGTTAAACTTCACACGTAATTTCATAGGAAACTACTCCGTCACCCCAAAACAGTGGAGGATGAGCAAGTTGTTTTGTTAGATGTTTATTAGTTACTAGGTCTTTTATTTATATGACCTGCGACATGTGTTTATAATTCATTATTAAATCTGGCCAGCATATCGATCTTTAATTTACCACAGAATAAAAAAAAAACTATGTAATGTTTTGATAATAAGCACTGCGAAGTTTCACTGTCGGCACCATGCGTTATTACGCATAAATATTTTGGTTATCAGTCAAATTTCAGAATCAGAATCAGAATCCTTTTTATTAGCCAAGTATATTTCCATACAAGGAATTTGCCTTGGTGGTGCTTTTAGAAGACATTACAAAAAACAATTATCAAAGGTATGTACAGAAAGTAATAATCACTAGATTGGCAATTGGGTAATGTGATAATTATATGGTAATTTTTAACAATAGCAGTAATGATGATAGTGATATGATTAAACATGTAATATGTATGTGTATGTATGCACATAGTAATAATTGTAGTATAAATATTAAACTATATTTTACAATGCTGTGAAGACAGTTTTAGACTACGCCGTGATTTGCGATTGAGTAAGTGATTACACAATCAGCTGAAATTTCATATCCTGTCTGATGCAAGAACTGTTCAGATCAGCAGTAAAATTGAACCATTTATTTTCGCAAGTATAT